TTGGATCTCTCTTGTGTGCTTGTGTTTCACTGATCCTCCACGGATTCCTGTTTGAAGCACAAGCAGCATCAAAGATCACGGATGGTGTCACCAAGAGGAGGAAACTGTCTGATGTAAGTGCCATCCTTTTGAAGAAAGGATCAGGATCAGTGTCGCTTCCTTGCCGTATGAGAAGTAAGACATCATGGCTCTAAGATACTCTCTGTTGATTGCGTTGTAGATGAGGCGGCTGCATAGGTCTCCATTTCCATAGGTTAACATGATAGAATCGAATACTTCTGTTGCTGTTCGCTCCAATGACAAGCCTTGTTAGGTAGAGCATACTTGGACTCAACTGGATAGAGCAATGCAGCATGGTCTGGGATCGAGACCAGCACTCTGCAGAGTTGGCATCGATCTTCTGTTGCAGCTTCCCACAAACCATGGACATGACTATACACCAAGAAGGAGGACAGTGATGCCAAAGATAGGGAACAAGGTCTTGTTCTTGACCAGTTTGCCTCGCATTCTTGAGTTGGCCAAGCATCTTCCATCGGGACAAGGTACTGTAATTCCACATCGATTCCAGTCACAAGGAGTAGTTTCTGCCAACAATGGAGTGGTAGGTGGAGATTTGAATTGCTCCTCTGTGGATGGAACTGTCTGGTGAGTCCTTCAAAATGTTGGTGGAATTGTGGATTCCTTGGCTTGATAATGGATTCTGACACAGCTTCTGCCAGTGCTAGCATGCCAGTGGTGCTCCTTTGGTCTTGTGCTTTCCACAAAGGCATTATCATTTACAAGAGTGTTACCTTTTGACAAAGAGCTACTGGAGTTGTGTTGGTTGTGGATTTTTCTGTTGCGGCTCTGATTTGGTTTGGGTGTTGTTCTAGCAGAAAAGAAGGCATCTCCATTCTCCTTGTTGAGTTTGAGTGCTTCCAGCTTCCTCTCTCATTAGTGGAAGAGGAGCACTGAATGCCTTGTGAGTCTTCTGCTCTCCTGATGGTTTCCATTGTCAGCTCATTCAAATCTCCTCTTCCTCTTGTTACTGTATTCTTAATACAGAGAACGTGGTGTGATCTTTTTGGGACTCTGAAACCAAGATGTCTGGCCTTACAGATGACACACTCCTTGAGTGGATCAAAGACTTCTGCTACCTCTCCTCCCAGCGTTGTTTGGGGTCCTTCTTCTCTGGCTCTCTTGGATCTGTTGTTGTTCAATTTGGCGAGTTCATAAGCTCTCTTCTGCTGGGAGTTCCTCTGTTGACTTTGGCAGCCCATTCCTCCATTGTGAGTGGTAGCTGCTGTTGCTGCTGTTGCTGCTGCTGTTCCGGTCATGATGGTGCTGCTTTTGGCTGAGATAATGACTCTCCGGTGGTGTTGCCGGTGGTTGGTTGGTTGAGTGAGCGGCAGGATGTCATTGTCGATTTTTCGCGATGGAATCCTTCTTTCGGTTTTCGCGAAAGAAGAAATCCGCCATTTGGTAGCACACTGTATCCGTAATATCTATAAATGGTACGTTAAGTATATTTGAATATTTGCTGACGCACTTGCTGATGTCATAGGTTGATTAGCCAATCAGATCACTGCCTTCCACCCCTTTCGCCCTGCAGCAATATAGAACGGATTTTTCTGTTATCATTTTGTTTGCTTGCTTGCTGTTGTGGCGCATCAAAAGATGGGATGATGCTCGTATCGTGACATCATACCTCGTACTACTGGTAGTAAGCCCGAAGCAATACGCAGCTCCGGTACTCAAGTTCTCATTTTAAGTTCTCATTTTGGTAGCTAGCACGCTAGCACTGCTTTTTATCTAAAAACTACTCGAGTGAGATATCATAGTAATCATCACGATACACGTTATCCGGATCCAGAACAAGATGCCCCTCCGGACCGTCCGACGGTTTTTGGTGAATTTCGGGTCGACCGCATGCAGGGTCTTGACCACATCCGATATGCATTGCACAAACAAGTGTACACGCACCCGGTGGGCAAAGCGATCGAGTACATGATCACCGATGCACTGGTTCAAGCCCATGGCGGTCGGCTAGCTGGATACATGTACCACCCTCCCTACCGGTACATGTGACTGATCCTATCGTATTTTGTAAAGGCAGACGGTTTCACCTCTTGAAATCTCGTCCAGCTAGTTAGCTTGCTAGAGCCTCAATCGGAAAAGCAAACCAATTAGTCTCTAGCTAGAGCTAAAGAGACCATGGCTTGAAGAATCTGCAACCAACTGGCGCTTGGCTACCGCACGGTACCGGTACCGGTACCGGTACCGGTGTACCAGTATTCAGTGTAGCGGTACCGTACCAGGTACGGCCGTACGGTAGTGGATGTCGAGCGCACTTTTGCAAATCGGTATCCGTCACTCAAAACTATCCACGAATGAAAGGTCAACTTATTTTGCCACGGAAGCGCAACGCACGCACCATGCCGACGGCTCAGATGAAAATACCACAACCACAGCTCTCCAACACCACGAATCCATCCATCCTTCCTCATGACCAATCCAACGTCATCAGTAAAGTCCTTGAAGGAGAAGAGCTAAGACATTCCACCCAGTGCGCATCCTCGCCAATGGTCAGAATGAAGAAGATTCTCGGAAAGGATGCGACAGTGCTGGAGCAACCAGCAAACAACCGTGTTGGTTAACACAACCTACCCCGACTGCTACAAAGCTAGTTGCCTCTGCTGGAAGACTTGATCCTTACCTTTGGATGCATGTCGGGTTCGGTTGGTCGAAGCTTTGCATGGGGGTATCTCGATTGCACAATATGGCTGGGGTTGGACGCAGTCCTACTGTTTGCCGTCTGCAGTTTTTCAAGACACAACTGACTTGATCACTGTTAGGGCTCATCCTGCCCAAGGATTGGTATCCGCGCCTACCATTCCAGTAGACAATACACAGAGGCTCAAAGTCAAAAGAATGAAGCACATGAAGTTGTGGTTGGAGCAGAAATGAAGCAATGCATCGAGGAATTGGGACAGCCACGCAATTTCTTGTTTCTATGCCATTTAGTTTGCTTTTGTCGGCAGATCAATATCAATGAACACCTTGCGCAGGTTGCAATCCGCAGTACCGGATCGTTGCGGAAGTCTGGCTTTGACAGTTGCAAAGTGGAGCAAGCACTGAAAACGATGACAGTTTTTTCTTTGGCTTCTGTTACATCCAATTCACAAATTTCGGATCGGGTCTGGAAACCTATCTCCAAAGGACAGGACGTGTTTATGATGAATATCGTGGGCATTGGAATGAATTTTGAATCGAATCTTTTTTGATTGAGACATGCTCTGAACTCATATTCTGGTCTGCCTCATGTTCATTGTGCTATTATGATGACATGGCAGTATATTGAAATTCGTAAGGGTTCTCGACAATCAACCGCATCACGCTCGAAAACGACCCGACACAATTTTATCCAAGCCAACGGTCTCAAATACCAAGATACAGGCGCATAACAACGCCCTGGCCACTACGAAAATTCTGCTTTGTTTTTAAATATCAAAATGAAGGATTCCAAGCTCCCACAAAAAACGTTTTGGATGTGATAACAGTCCATTTGGGCAGCTACGAACAACCCCAAGCCAATTCTGCCATCGTGTGCGGTAATAGTTGGGCGACCTCCAATGGATAACAGAACTACCCTGCCAAAGAAGGAAGTACAAGTTCTATCGTGGCTGAGTGCAAGGAAGTGCCGATGAAGGGATTTTGCGGAAGCATTGACGTGAGTGGCTCGAAGTCTGCGACCATGCAACCGCTGATTACCTTCCCATGTTCGCTGCACTTCTACCTTGACGTTAAGATATTTGATTGATTCCTTGAAGATCTTAAAACTTCTGCAGACCATAATCCTACCCAATGTGACACTTCCTTTCTACTAGCTGGTACGAACTAGCTAGCTCCGGATTTCACATTTCTGCCAGAAGGCACTAACTAGTAGCCATGGTACAGCAGCGTCTCTCTTAACCCCTTTACCAGGCATCCCTCTCGGCATGACACCAGGTATCCCTACCGGCATGAGATATGAAAACAGTCTATCTCCCCACCCTGTTTTGAAGGAATCGAGGCATCAACTCTTGATATCTTCCAATGGGACAGTAGCTACGTTTGAGCTCTCATCCAATCTGGTTCCCTGCTCTTGATTCTTGATATCAGCTTCTTATCTTGGCTCTTCTTGAGAGGGAGGAGGTGGGCAACAACAGCTTAGTAATAATTTCCTCGCATAGATGACAATTGGGTAAGCGGAAATCGTGAGGACGAAGGAACATTAATTAAAAAATCAAATCAAGAAGCCATCGGCTTCATCAAACAGCCCATCGAGATGCACCCGTGTCTGAGTTTGGAGATGATGCGGGAGTATCTGATAAAGATGGAATGCTTTTGATCGTTCAAAGTTTTTAACGATTGGTGTCATTCGCACCACATACCTCCTCTTTCCCGAAACAAGGGAGGGCTGGTGTTGGCAGCAGCAGTTCTTCGCAATTCTGGTTCGGTGTAGCCCTGTAGCCGATTCCGCTGTAGGGTGTTCCGTTCTGTATACCTGTAGTAGGCGGGATGCTGCTGTCAGATGCATGACGTTTGATTTGCTAATCGAACAAGAAAAGTTGCAGTACAGTACGGTACTCTACGGTAGCTACCGGTAGCTAGCTAGCTAGTGTAGGCGAAAGTGATATGCGCTGGATGAGTGCCGAGGGCGAGCAAGCTAGCAACTTGAGTTCTACTTGAGTTCCAGTTGATTTGACACCACTTTCTCCGTAGGATCCCACGCAGGATGAGTACCAGAGTCGATCGGCGGGTTCTCAGAAAATGTTCTTTCATCGAACCTCATTGGAGTTTTTGACCATTCTACCATATACTAGCTCGCATCATCTTCTATATTCCGATACCTGTCAACAAACATGATGGAGCCCAACATCAGTTACGTTCCTCCCAGTCCCTTGGATACCATGGCGGCCGCCTCTGCCATGCGGTTCGCCGCTCGAAGCGTTAGTTTCGGCGGTGAAAGCGATCTGCTACCCAAGAAAACTTCTGTGGCGAGTGCCGATGATCCCTCCGATGCGCGAGAGGCCGCTCTTCTTCTTTCTTTCACCAGCATCGCTGAGAACGAGATCCGTTCCATGGGTACGTCTGCTCGCCTTTGGGACGATGAAGATCTCGATAACTTTCCCCGGCTTCCAAGCTTGGATGATGGAGCTCCGGTTGCCGCAGGTATTTGTTCTGTGAATCCATCTTGGACGCCTCTGGTCCAACCTCGTCTGGCTTCTCCCATGATGTACGAGTCCACAAGCGATGACAACTCCAGTGACTCGACTTACACGGGACGAGACTCTCCCATCGTCCACCAAGGCACCAAGGGAGCCTGGAAGCGTCTGCGGGCCGTGTCCATTGACGCACCCCCAGAATCTCCACCTGTCGCTCTTAAACCTGGAATTCTCTCCAGTATCAAGGCGTCAGGAAGATCTTCCACTTTCGCCAACATTGTCTCTCCTCTCAGCACTCCTGTTCTCCTCAAGCCCTCCAAGCTTCCCATGAGAAAGGCCAAGCTCCGACAGTCCCAAAAGGCCAAGCGCAACAAGAAGAAGCCAAACACGACTCCTTTGGCGCCACCCGCCAAAATGGAGGCCGCCGAAGATAACAAGAAACGTTCCCTCAAGCCTGTGGCCGTCCCTAAAGGAAAGACCCTCAAGACTATCTTACGCAAAAAGTTCTCTTGGAAGAACTACCCAGAGGTATGTACGGTTTGAAAAGAAGAGAAGCCAGAAGATGGTGTACGTTTCGATATGATATTGGCACTCACTCCACTGTTTTGTTTGTTGTTCACCCGCAGTTGGAGGCCTTTTTGATTACCAACCGCGAAGAGTACCTTCGCCATTCCGCTCTCAACTACACTGTGCAGCAGAAACAGTACAACAACCGCCTCACGGAGCGCTTGTTGGAGTTGGCGGCGGAGCATGGGTACGTCTTTGATGATGTCGAATTCTCCTTTGTCACGGTCCGCGACCGTATCCGCTGCTATTTCAAGTCCTATGTCCAGTCCGCCAAGAAGCGTGGCATTATCATTGGCTATGCGGCCCGCAAGGCTGGTCTCTTGACCACGGATGACCTGGAAAAGTCAGCCAACCAAGAGGGTACCATTTCCGGTTAGGTACGGCCAAAGCAAAAGCCAACCAACCCTTATTGATTTGACACCCATTACAAGAGAAGACTGTGCATGCATGCATGCACATGTGTTCTTTCCAAAAGTACCTATCTACACACACACAAGACAACCTTCCCCTCCAGAGTCTCCCGCCTAGCTTGGGGGGAGACGGATGGCTCCAGGGGGCACAGCCGGTGGGGTGGGAGAAGAAGCATTGGTCGGAAGACTGCTTGCTTCGCTCTTGCTTTGCTTGCTAGCTGCCTGGGAGCTACTTACATGATACGATTGCACGAGTCTCGTGCTTCATCATCAGAGAACTGATACCGGCTCAACTATATACGATTCATTCAAAAGGCAGTCTATTGGGCGGCTGCCTGAAAATGGATTGGTTGATCGTTGCATGTTTATTTTTTATACTATTCTTCATAGTGCATCAGGAATACACAATTTTAACAGTGATTCGCTGGTACAAGCCTACACTCCATCTATCTTGTGATGGTCTGTAAAAGGCTGCTGAGGACGACCTTTCTTCATGATCTCCTATCTTTCATAAAAAGAGGTACTCTAAACTGCATTCATGTCATGGCCTTGACTGCTAGCTAGCTTGCCGATACCGGTACATGTAGCTAGCCAGCGCTGGGTTGCTAAATCCTAGCTAGGTGATCACCCCTTCCCAAGTCGGGTTGGTTCCAATTGTTGGGTAGCACGCAAGAGCGAAACCAGTTTTGCGTGCCAAGTGATGGATAAGCCGATGAAACGAGAAGCAACCCAGCGAGCGTGGTGGCGACGACAGCATGAGGCACGACTGGTGACAAGATATCCAAGCGAGCCAGGATTTCTCTTGCATGGATCATTACGTACCGCTAGATGTCACCGCTGTCAATGATGATTGCAAAAAGAGGGTGGGTAGCTATGGAGCATCCAAAAGCGCTGGCTTCGCACAGGCTAGTTTGCGCTAGCTGGCCAACCAGACAAATTCAATGTTTGTGTTGCTGATAGCGTTCCCAAGAGGTGCGAGCCCTTGGATATTAGTACTAGTACCGTGTTACCATACTGTACGGTAGCTTCATGGATGATTGGAAGCAGCCCAGAGGAACCAGCTAGTATCAAGCAAAACAACAGAGCCCAGATTTCATACGGTAGCCTTGCCAGTACCGGTATACCCTCGGCAGCTAGCTATTACCGGTTCGGTAACAGGAGTTCAGAGGCAACCATCCTTATTAATGAAATTTTGAATTGCTTATTTGTCATCTTTCGGGGGGATACCAGGAGCCGCGGGATGCATTGCGGAGGAGCTGGTTCCAGGTGGCGCATATGGGACACCTGTATAGTACGGATCGAACTTGGGATTCATGTGAGCGCCTTGTTGTCCAGGATAAGGAGGGTGCATCATTCCCTCATGTGGTTGTTGCCCATAGGCAAGGTGATGAGCATCCTGGTGAGGCTCGACAAACGGTCCGGCAGGGCCTTCCAAGTGCGCATCCACACCAGCTGGCGGAACAATTGGCTGTTGGACGACTGGATGATGTCCGTCATGAACTGGCGCAGTCATGGGAGCATATAGAGATGGCGCAGGCTGATGGTAGCCCGCGCCATTGTACATTCCGGGGTGATGGTGGTACGCAGGATAGTAGGGCGGGGCCATCATCGGGTAATGATGGTGATGCCCAACCATGTAATGAGGATCGTGGTATGCAGCCACGGAAGGATGAGCACCCATCGGCACATGGTGTGGAGCGCCGCCTTGGCCACCGACACCACCGGGGCTGGTGAACGGCTTATCATAGCGCCGGTTCGGTGTGCCGCCTCCAAAACCTTGATTCTGATACCCACGACGAGCGGATCGGGAAGCTTCCTTGGGCTCCGCTGCCTTCACCTCGCAAGTCTTTCCTCTCATTACCAAACGCCCCACACGTTGCCCGTTGGCCATCTCAGCCGCAAGTGCCCCGCCGGTGGCCTCGTCATCTTGTCTCGTATTCAATAACCTCTCGGCTACCTCCTGGTCACAAAATAAACAAAATGAATTCCATCGATCTGATGAGCCCATGTCAAACGGCATCAATCTGATAGTTGACAAAGTAGGGGTATCTTACCGGATCACGGAAAGTGACAAAACCAAATCCACGCGATCGCCGCGTTTCTCTATCAAACATAACCACAGAGTCTACTACCTCACCAAACTGCTCAAAGAACTCTCGGAACTCACCCTCCACCACTGGTGTTATGCGGAAACCGCAGGTGAGCAAGCATACTTTATAACTCAACAACCAGAACATTGGCGATCCGGGCAGTCACTCACCATCTGCCGGGAGACCTCCCACAAATAGCTTTCGGGAATCCTTTTTCGTGGGAGGGCTTTTCATCATGTTTGTGCGGCCGTCTACTGTTCCATTATTATTCTGAGGTCTCATGGGAGTCACGGGATTAGCGCTCTCCGTGGGTGCTGTCTGGGTAGCACCACCACCACCAAGCTCAGTTCCTTGCTGAGGATTGGAATTGTCGTTGGTCTTGCGAATTGGCTGCTGCTGCAGGTGTTGCTGTGACTGCTGCTGTTGCGGTTGAGGTTGCACAGGAGGAATGGTCACGGTTGGGTTGTTGCTACTATTCGTCGTCATGATCACTCCTTCAGCCATGTATTATTATGGTCAAACACCACAATCCCATCACCTACCAAACAGAAAAGGTATACTCTTTTTTTTAATAGCTACCCGCAAAAGTCACAGTTGCAAAAACTGACTCTACAAGTCTGCAATCTACCTGCTACTCAAGCTACAGGAGAGCAGGTTAGAGAATAGAAGAAGGCAAGAGGGGTATCAATGAGCCCAAGAGAAAGGATTCCAACTGGTATTCATAAAAGAAAAGGCCAACCACGAAGAAAACTATCGAATCTTTTCGATGGTTGGAGTGACCGGTTGCTTCTTTGATAGAGGGATGCCACTCACCAAAAAAAGGATTCTTCCAAGTGGACGCCTTGGTTGACAAAGGGATAAGGGGTGTCTTCTTGGGTATCCTGGTTGAGATAGAAGCAACCAAATGGCACTTTGCTGCTGTATTTGCAACCTCTCACTCAATCGTACAACGATCGCCCAAGCAGCCAAAAGAAGGCAATGGAGCTTGTTGGGTTCCATGTCATGGTGGTGACTGCGGGAAAGGGATCGCATTGATGATTCATGACCTCCGATGGGCTTCCCACTTTGGTCTCAGTACATAATCTACGGCAGATGCAGCCTGGCCATTCAACTGGCAAGCAGGGCTTCCGAATTTGCCAGCTTCGGGCAAGACTTGTATCACCGCTGCTGTGCGTGTACCGGTATATGCTGCCAAGCAAGACACGAAAAAGTCTCCTTAGGGAGAAGAACTCAAAGACTCATAAAGCACTTCGTGTGTTCCGGTATTCAGGGCTGCTGGGAAAGTTGCTCAAAGATCCTCTGACCCATCATTCTGACGTGTTACACTGTAGCTCGTCTTAGAATGGATTCCAGCGGAAGTCACGTCATGTTCAGAAAGAGACCGTGCAGAATGCTCGTCAGACTTAACGGGGAGATGATGTCATGTCTCAAAGATCCAGCACATTTCAAATTTCCACCCACTCATGCAAAATCGGGTTCGCATCCTCACAGGAGATCGCGTTTGACTTTTGGTGGACTTGGGAACTGGCAGCTGTGGAAGATACAAGGTTGCACCGGTGTCAGCGTTACCCGGCGAACCTGTTGGCAGAGCTCCACCCGTATGGCTGTCGTCGTACATACACAGGTAGTACCAGTCTGGTACCACATGTATGTAGCTCCCCACCACGATCTTGGGCATTCGAGTTTGAGAAGAAGTTTGCGAAGAGTTCCCAAAGCATCCTTTGGGGTGGTGAGAGGTGCGTCTTAGGATGTGTGCCTGGAGGCAGGAGGCAGGTTCATAGCCCGGCCGGTACGTGTACTTTTGAACCAATTGGCTGGATGTGCTGGTAGGAGGTTATTGACATTCACGAAGACTCTTTTGTGATACAGCTACATGTATTTCTTTACGCCCCACTATTTTAGCTACCGGTAGAACCGTATGATCTATTGAGGATCATCCCAGAACCTGTCGATCATGGCGTTTGATAGAAGTATATCAATTTGCAAGAAACAAATTGAACCACATTTTCGTGCCAACTACCAAGAGTTGGTTCTGGCAGGTGCTTGAATCAAGGGTACCATAGTTAGTTAGTTTGGGCCTGGAGTTGTTCCAGGAGCTGGTACTGGTAGCACAGGAACGGGGCCAGAGAATGATTGATCATTCGTCCACGGACATCAAAGACTTAAGTGGGAGTACCAGGTAGCACTTTAACGCTAGCCCTAAGTTGTTCATGTAGCCGGTCGCACGTCAGAACGAGTGACAGTCGAGTCTCGTGGCGGCAAAAGCATGCAGATCTCGAGGAGCTCTCACAACAACAAAAACAAAAGCCGAACGACCAAGAGCCAAGAGAAAGAGTCAAAAGACTTTGAGAGGAGCGGAGGACCAACAAGTGCCAATGTAAGTAGCGCAAAGGGAACAATGCAGTGTCTAGCTAGAGCATGTACTGTGGCAATCTGGTGTGAGATTTGGAATGGGGGACAGATGGCTGGAGCCATTAATTGGCTGGTCGGGTATTTTCTGGCTGCCGCACAGACTCGCGTGTCCTCTACAGCGATTGGCGGCGGCCTCAGTGACTGCTTTTCAGTTTGGCCGGAACCGTCCGCGCTATCGTTTGTTGGTGGAAAGCAACTGTTCTGATACACTCTTGGGGACTCTGAGGCTCTCTATTAGGGCGTCATTGCTCTGGAATTGGGTATCTGAAGTTAACTGGCGGCAAATCTGATTGGATCCAAGGGTAACAACGAGTGCTCTTCGCTGTATAGTCTTACTTACTGACCTTTCCGTTGCGTCTCTCATTTCACCAGATGGAAGAAGGATCCAACAATGACGATGGAGCTGGAGAAACCCCCACAGAGCCAGAAGAGATGAAGGCAGACGACGATGAAACAGAGATAGAGAGCAATGGAGAGGGACCTGCCAGCCCAGCTAACAATAACGACGAAGATGACGACGGTGACAATGACGAAAATGAGAATGAAAATGGGGCCAAGGCGGCCAAATCTGGTAGTGCTGCTGCCAAGAAGAGGGACAGGTCAAAAGCAGCTGAAGTTGCCAAGAGAGGGACCAGCAAGCCATACATTGAGCTGGTTCATGAAGCTATTGTGGAACTCAAGGATAGGACTGGAAGCAGCCAGCCTGCCGTCATGAAATATTTGCTCGCAAAATACCCCAATCTGCAGACCAGTGCGCCCAACAATCGGTTCAAAACACACGTCTTGGCGGCTCTCAAGTCAGGGGTCAAGTCAAAAAGATTCATCAAGGTTAGAGCATCCTGGAAGATCAATGCAGAATGGAAGAAGAAACAGGTCGCTGCGCAAAAGCGAAAGAGACTTCAGGAGGCAAAGAAGAAAAAGGAGTCTCGGGAGAAAAAGAAAGAGGAGGAACTGGAGAATCAAAAGGATCCTCTGCAAAAAAAGATTGACAGTCTGCGAGCCAAGAATCCTGACTCGGGAGAACTCAAAAAGCTCCTCGCGGAAGTGAAGCGCAAAGAAGAAGCGGAGGCACGAAGAAAGGTCATTGCCGAGCGTATCCGTAGAAGACGGTTTCCAATGGAAGATACCAAACTACATGCCGAAGACAAGGAGCTTGGCGTCAAACCGCCAAAGGAAGTGCTGCCGAGGCCCAATCTACCCATATTCTTTTCCTTGACACAGAAAGATGTACAGCGTCCCAACACTAAGTATACTGCAACGGCTTCTCGGTGCGAAGGACTAGAAAAGGGAAACCGGGGACTGGTCTCGGACCTGTTGCAAGTGTACCACTTCTTTCGTGGTGATGTACACTACGTGGGATCAGCAGATCATCCCATCATTCCAGAATTCTCATTGAAACACTTGATTTATGCCGTGGATGACGTATTGAGCCAAACAGCCAAACGGTCTCGCATGGTGCCTCCTCTGATTGTACATTTGTTCGTTACATGCTTGCAGTTGCTGACGGAACCACCAGAGGCTCAGAGCGAAGATAGCCCCCACAGACGACAACTGCAGCAAGATTTTGCCACCCACTTGAGAGCCATGTTGTCGCCGACAAGTTGGGCCGATGTTTGCTTCTTGTACATGCACGCCATTGATCTGCACTTCAAATCAGAAACCTCGGAGGATAAGAACCTTCTGAAAGGCTTACCAATCGACGCAGAATACCTCCTTGGCCTACATGATGAAGAAATAGCCATGGATCCAACTGATGAGCTTGAGGGCTATCAGGGTTTCCTGGGACCCCCAGAAGGTGTTTTGGCCAAAGCTCACGAAAAATTGGGGCGACAAGACCCATGGCTACAAACAGCCGAAGAACTGATGGCCCTTCTGAGGGCTCTGACCGACGAGGTTCTTGCCAGGAAGCCTGAAATTGGCGAAGACATTTCCGGGCGCGAGGAAAAGATGTATGAGCTTCTAAAAGCGAAACGGGCGGCGGATGCAAAGCTCCGAAAAGTGCGTCTCGCCTTTGAAGGGCCAAAGCAACCTCCAAAGAAACCGTCAGCGAACAACGAAGAAAGCAACAACAACATGGACGACGATGACAAGAGAAAGTCCGTGGACTCTAGTGGCGGGAATGACGACAATGGGCAAGGGAAAACTGAGTTTAAACCAACTGCAACGAAGAAGCAGTTTGAGGCCGCCAAGAAAGCACAGCAAAAAGCAAATGATGCCTATGAAAAGGGTGTACGGAATCTGATGGCTCGGACTGAACCGATTGGAAAAGATCGCCTCCACAACGCTGTTTATTGTTTCCGCCACGATCCAGAAGTGTTGTATGTGGAGGTGGCGAAACCAATGGGGGCTACTGGGGCTCTTTCTCCAAATTGGCAGAATCAAAAGTTCACTTGGCACGTCATTGACAAGAAGTCACTGTTTGATGAATACGAAGGAAGCCTGGACAAGCGTGGAAGGCGCGAGAAGGCCTTGCAAGAGGAGCTTACCGGTGCTCCTGGGACCCAACAATCTTTGAGACGCTTCTTGTTTGATGACGTCAAAGAAAAGGCAGCAGCCAGCGCACAGAAGAAAGAGAAAGAGGACCTGTTGCGTAAGATGGAAAACGCCAAGCACAAGTGTGCGGAGGAGGAAGGGCGTCGTAGTGGACGGTTGGCCAGCCGAGCAGAGGAAGAAAAGGAGCAAATTCAAGAAGAAATTGACGAACTGAATGAAAAGATCAAGAACGGTGCTAGCGTCAAAGACCTGGACTACTTTGAACTGACGGGTCTAGATCTGCTTCAAAAGTTCGACTCTGCCGGGAAGATCGAAACACGCAGGTCTCGGGAAAAGAAGAAAAAGGCAGTAACGGACAACAAACTCCAGTCCATGCATTGTAGCAAATTGTGCAGCACTGGTAATATCGACGGAACGGGATTCTTGGGGATGGTTGTGTCGAAAATGTTGGAAGTTGAGGAGATGTGTGAATCCTTGGTGCCATGGGACAAAAAGAACGTAGAGAGGAAGACGTGGGTCATGGAACTTGAGAATTTGGTGGCCGCCTGGAACGTGGCCAGTCCGGTGTTGATTGGACCCTCGGACGACTCGTCTCAGCAGACTGCTTCTCCAAGACCTTCAATGGATATGTCTACACCACCTTCCGGGCTGTCTGCGACCTCAAAAGGCACCAAGAAGCGCACTTCAACTGGGGGCTCGACGGCTTCGAAGAGAATGAAAACAGAGGGCGATTCCCCGCAGTCTTCCTCCATGACGGTCTCACAGGCTGTAGCCAAGCTGAAGGCAAGCAACCCTTTTTGGCTTTGTAACACGAGATGGTAAATGAATTGGACCTTCTAACGCGTTGTTTGTTTCGCTTTTCGAAGACTCCCTTGCTGGATCTGGAGAAGCGTGTGTACCAGATCACGGGACTTTCCATGGCGGCGAGAGACATGGCGATTGCCGATGAGAACATGTCTGTGCAAGAGGAGGGAGGGGAGGACAATGAGCGGGAGCGAAAGAAAAAGCTGGCCTGGAGAAAGCTAATCCACAAACTTCGCAACGTGCCTTCTAAACGCCACGCCGTGGTGAAACAAATCTTGGTGGATGCCCTAGCCGCTGCCAGAAAGGCCAACCTGAAAGAGGTGGTTGGCGAGTTGAAAGACGCACTACTAGAGTACCACTCCACTGCGGCTGGAGCGTGCAAAACTGCCGCATTGAAAGTCTTGGATAGCCATGGCGGTTACGACGACAGCGAGGATGATGACGACGAGGAAGACGAGGACGAAGAAGACCAGGAGAATGAAGGTGACAAGAAAAAGAATGAAGTATCATCCTCCCTTCATTTGGATGCCATTATTGTGAATGGTAGCCTCGATAGCAACTCGGAGGACGTCAACCATGATGATTGGGTCGAGTACGTCAAGACATGCAAGACATTGTCACGAATGGGATCACTCGTCACTTCGTTTGCCACCCGCGCCAAATCCAAACTAGGCAAGATCCAAGAGGAACGCGAAACCTTGATGGAAGCAGTGGCCGGTTGGGAAAAGGAAGAAGAGCGTCGTGCGAGGGCCAAGAACAATGGCAAGGCGCCAACAACGACGAACAATTCGGGGTTCAACAAGTTGAAATCCTCCGAAGTGTGGGCGAATGTGGAGTTTACGGAGGAGATGGTCATGGCATCGGTGGATTATTACCCGTGGTGGCCCGCCAAGAAGTGCGTTCCCAAAGACGCGAGCCTGGAGGCATCGTTGCAATCAGCCGAACGTTGTTTGGTTTCGTTGATTGGTGAGTCCGGAGGTCTTCGTGTCTTGAGTTTGGATCATGTACGTCCCTTTACGGGTGAACTGGTGCCAGACGATGACACCGTCATCAAGGACCTTGGGAAGGTGACTAAGGAGGTCAAGACGCAGTTGGATGAATGCATGGCTATAGCACGACGTCTGCAGCGGAGTCTGAACGGCAAGAAAGCCGGAAGGAAGCCTCCGGCTACCATTGCCGTCAAGACCGAGACGGAAGTCAAGACAGAGAACGGCACAAATAGCGTCAAGGCAGAGACAGGGGTCGAGCGAGCAGAGTCGGATGTCATGGCAGAATCGGATGTCAAGGCAGAGTCGGATGCCAAGGCAGAGGAAGCCTCTACCGGTACTAGCTAAGCGCTGTTCTGGCATCCGGGGTGCCGGTCGATGAGTTGGTTTTGTCCTCCTATTGAACTTGTAATAAGCACGTAGCTATTCGCTAACTATAGCAAGCTCGTGGATAAAACATCACTCCGTCGCAGCGAACGTCGTTGGGCAAAGGTACCACTGTAGGGCTGTCAATATGAATGCTGTCACTCTATCCACACTAGCAAGTACGAGAACACCGTCTACCCACCCACGCAACTTGGAAAACTAGATAGCCAGCAAACTGTGTTGACACAAGTAGCATCCTAACTAAGTCAGTTGCGGGCGTGTGTGTTTGACGCAGTCAATCAAGATGAAAAAGAAATCAGAATGACAGGAGCACCAATTTCACCTCCCAAGGTTCTTGCTTGGCTTGTTTTTATTAAAAAAGGTAGATCGTTGTGGATTTGGCAGATATTTTGATTATATTCAGTCAGTCAAGAGGGGGGTTGTGGATTGTCGTGGTTTTAAAAAGGATCAATTGATTGATTGGTTGGTTTTGGCTGTTGCCTGGATTATCTATCCATCCAAAAAAGAATGGTGGGTAGATACTCCAATGTCTTGCCTGTTTTTTAATTACCCAAGAATTGTGCTCTAGCTTGACGAAAGGCTTGCCCTATGGTCATATCACCAGCCGAGACACCGGGAGGCAGTCCCTGCTGGGAAGCTCCCTGGGGCATTCCTCCTTGATCCATACCTCCCTCTTGCATTCCTTCATCATCTCTAAGCAGTACAGCCGATGCCAACTTGCTTCCATCGGTCTCCAAGATGATTCCTCCATCACAGTGTTCATCAATGAGCAAAAAGACCAATTCCAGATTATCCAAGACCATGGTCCGATCGGTGGATCCACCCATCAAATGGGCCAAGGCATCGTACATGCCTTCGCACAAATACGCCAAGACGAGTTCGGATTCTCCCGGTGGTCCGACGTGTACGACACGCACATCACCACCGCCGCCACCACCCGGATTGACACCCCCCGCAAAGGCGGCCGTTCGTCCCATGACGGTAACAATTTCGGCGGCATCGGGTCGAGCGGCAATGCCACCAATCTTTTGTTGCAGCGATTTTTCAAACATCGTTTGCGTCTCTTCCAAGGACTTTTCGCCTTGCTGTTTCTTCAAAAAGTCACCGTAGTACTTGCCGGCCAATCGAGTGCCGTCGCCATCGAATACCAAGACGGCGTCCACTTTGGGGAGAAGAGGGGGGAACGCGGACTGTTGTTTCAATTGCAAATTATAGATAATTGATAATAGTAACACAAGAGAGGTGTGGTAGGTTGTTGTGAGAAAGGGAGATACGATTGTTGAGATGAGGGTAAAGCGAAATGAAACAAGCAATGCTGGAAGGCATTCAGTCATTGGAGAGACCGGACCAAGCCACAAAAACACTGTAGCAAAAATAGTACAGGCGGGAATCTTGGTCTTTATGCCGATGGTTGGATCTTTTGCACCATGGCCAAGCAAACACCAAGAGTCACTTTCAACCGTAACTTTCCTCCTTCCACATCTATGCTCTCTCCATTATCTCTCATAGTTCCTCCGTTAACATCCTTCAAGACTTACCATTGTGACTAGTATTATTCAAAAAGGTAGGCAGGCTAATGAGTATCTCTACTACTATGTATCGGCAATGCTGGTGCTGTTGGTGGCACGAGCGATCTCTTTGTTGCGGACAAGGATAAAACAACAAGACAGGAACGGATCTCACTCAGGACTGCTATTCACGTATATGCCGTCACCTATCTTGCAGTGTGACACCAAACCGTTGGCTCTGAGTGCCGGTTTGAACCACGTGGCATGAAATCTTCCTTATCCGGAAGACACATGATGAAGAAAAGCCGACCTCCACTCCTGTAATCTTTTCCCCACCATCACTTTTCTTCCGCACCACAGAACAAAACCAAGAAAAGCAAAGCCCATTACTTTTGTCTACTGTATCCATCCATCCATCCAACTAATCTCTATTCATTATCACTACCATGATCCGATCTCTGATATCCAAGGCATCCTTGTCGTCGTCGTCCAGACTGACCATCAGACAATGCAATCCAATGCGAGCGTCCAGTTCGCTGCCTCCCCGAAAAGAACGCTTTTTCCCATCCTCGGAATACCCCACCGACACGATGATCCAGCGTCAAAACAGTTCGGCGGCGGCCACTGATGATAGCAACACGCCTAATACTATTCAGTTCGAAAAGGTGGCCTTTTTGGGAACGGGCAAAATGGCACAGGCCATCATGTCGCCACTCATCCAGACGGGATTACAGCCGGCCGAAAAGGTGTCCATTTTCGATGTCAGTGTGGCACAAATGAAACAAGCATCGGAACAAAATCCAGGAGTCGTCATGGCACAGTCCATTCCGGAATTGGTCGATGGAGCCGATCTACTCGTGTGTGCCGTCAAGCCACAAAACATTACCGAAGGATTGTGCAGTGAACTCCGCAAAGCCAACATTCCCGAAAATGCCACACTCTTGTCGGTCATTGCCGGATTGCCACTTGACATGTATTATGCCACGGGATATCAAAAGATTGTACGAAGCATGCCCAATACACCCGCCATGATTGGAAGAGGAATGACGGTATGGTGTTGCACGGAAAATATGACTGTCAATGAACGAGATGGCATTAATCAAGTACTCGGGTGTTTGGGAAAGACGGTATGTCGTTGTTTGTTGGATGATGTATACGTTTATGTATGTGTTTTGCGGCAATGTGTCCTGATACGATTCTTCTTTCTTCTACTAGATCTTTGTCGACGAAGAGAAATACGTTGACATGTCGACAAGTATCTCCGGTTCAGGTCCAGCTTATATCTTTATGCTCATGGTACGATAGTCTTGTGCTCTTCTGGAAGCCACTCACAATTGGTAACTCACCGTGATTTTACTTATTTTCATTTTGTTGTTTCAGGAGGCCATGATTGATGCCGGTGTGCACATGGGTTTTCCACGGGACAAGGCCACCACTTTGGTATACCATACTCTGTTGGGATCCACGCTTTATGCCATGGAAACAGGCGAACATCCCGCCATTCTCCGCAACAATGTCACCAGTCCCTCGGGGACCACTGCCAGTGCCCTCTATGAACTAGAAAACGGACGATTCCGAACCGTAATCAAGGACGCCATGTGGGCATGTTATCGAAGAAGTTTGGAAATGGGTGGTCATGAATCCAATGTCGGACCTGGCCGAGCGCCCGTGCCAGAAGGACGGGTCATTCAACAATTCTTGGACGATCATGATGATCTCAAAGTCAGTATTCAGAAAAAGGGAGACGCATCCGACCATGAGCCAAAAATGTAACTAGCTAGCTAGTAGTGAAATGGGTTGTTGGTTCTACTAGCTATCTTCTAAGAATAGGGGTGAGTTTGCACGTTGTCTGCGCTGGCTACTACCAGTAGTCTAGCTAGTAGTAGACAGTAACGGCGATATTCGGTGGGCATCCATTAGACGATGACCCTCTCAGCTGATTGAGGTCAATCTGGCTGCCCATTGAACGGGCTACACTGGTGGGAGGAACTGGCCTCAATGGATGGATGAGATGGTGAGGGAATCAAGCTGGCAGACCAAGGCATGATAAGATGGCGTCTAACTAGCCAGTACCGTAGCGGAAAAGACACGACAGGAGGGTTTTGCCACCTCCAGGACTCCAGGGCAACTGGGGGTGATATCTTCACCGTCAGGGCGGGTTGAACGGTTCAGGATGGTGATGCGTTTATTGATCAAGGAGTTGCCAGCTGTTCCAGGTCATGCTGTGGCCTGCCCAGCTAGGTTCAGCCTCCATCCAGTTTGCTGGAAAAGCCAGGCAAAACGATTTCTCTGGACAACGTCTCATGGTGATCTGTGGCAGGCATAGATCAACACAGAACATTTTACATGACTTCAGCAAGACACAACACAATGATGGTGCATGGGTACATGAAGAGGTGGCTTGATGTTTGGTGTGACCAATCCCTAGAACAACCACCACCCAGCTACATGAGCGAAAGGGAAGAAAAATGGACGACCCCAGACGACCGAAGTGGACCCGGTGTGGTTTGGCCAAGTACGAACTCCTAACAGCCCAATCAAGCAGAAACAAGGGATCGGACAACAATTGTATACGAGCAGAGAGCCCAGCTCAATCAAAGTCGTTGAGGAAAGAAGCGCAGAAAGAAATTCGGTTCCAAATCCACATTCCCCAAGCACGACATGATTTCCAACAAAGGACCTGAGAGGAGGTATTCTGCAATATCATCACCCCTTGTAATGATTTACTTTTTCAAAAAAATCCATTATACTGTTTCTTGGCATAGCTTCCAACCTTCTCGTTGACCAATATCATTTAAAACCATCATCATAAGAAAGCCATTGGTGGTTGTAGCGTGTTGATTCTCACTGTCACGTCATTTTTTAGTTTTGTCGGCAAATATCTCTCTCTGTACACGGGTCGATGTCTTGCAGCATCAAATCTACGAGTTTTGTGCCTGATAAACACCGTACAGAATGGCCATCACCGCCACCAACACAACCAGGAGAGTTGTAGCAGGAGATTTCTGGACGGCACTTTTCTGTTTTTCTGCCTGTTCTGCCAGCGCTTTCTTGGCGGCTTCATCCAAATAGAAATCTCCAATGTAGTGCTTCGCCAATTCTTCTCGTGCTTCCTTGGAATGGCCAATATCTTCAAAGAATTCATCAGCATCTTGGCCGGCAACGTCCAGCATCACTTCGGCGCCACCTGGATGGTCATCCAAATACCCTGTTACATCGTACACCTTGGGTCCTCCTTAAAAGGTGTGACGTAGATTGGGGTAATAAAAACAAAAATAGGTCAGATAACTTGCCTTTAGAGGAAAGCATTTCATGATACCCATGATATTCCCCACTCGGTTGGCATTATCACGGGTGCTTGAAAATGACGTACCATTGGTAGCATTCCCAATAATCAACCAGCAGCTCTTGGAGGTTGTGTGCTTGGAAATTTCGTCGAGTGTGTACTCTTTCTTTGCGGCTGGTTCTGGTTCGCCCATGGTTGCTTTGATTGATAATAGGTTTGAATTGGTTTTTGCGTTCTCAAGCGTGTTGGTTGTTGGTTTCTGGGGTTTTGTGTGGCTGAAGCACGAAAAACCAACGACGTGTTGGCTTGGGAAAATGATGAGGTGGACACACACTCGGGCGCATATTCTCATTCCGCCGAGCAAGCCAGGTAACGGCAGCGCACCGAACCCACCAAACATGGCATCCACCGAGCTATCCAAAGCAACGAAACGCAATGACGGCCAGAGCAACTCCGTGATGGGTCAGAGGGACAACTAACTGGTCTTGCTGGGCTACTGGGTAGCACGGGTAGGTAGGTGGTACTATGGTACCACCAGGTAGTATGTGTGCACCGGTTCAATGTGTGCAAGCGATATCCCGACCTTGGTGTCTCAGTTGCTTGGAAAAAGCGGTGGGTTTGCTGAGCAATCCGTCGCAATCCGTCGCAATTCCCACAGTCTCAGCCATCCAGCCTAGTGGACTAATGCCGTCTGGCCAGAGCATGTTGCAGGGGAACGTCGGGTTGATATTCCAACTACCGGCGATGGCAACCAAGGTAGCTAACTGGAGGCAGTTGCGCCCCTCTCCTTTATTGGTTTTCCTTCTCCTGCCAACAAGAGCTGAAAGCTGATCTCGTGAGGCAAAGGAAACACTGACAGCTGCCGTACAGCACACGGTAGAAGTTGTCTTGTCTGGCTTCAGGTGGAAGGTCTATCTATACAAGGGAACGGAGATCTGATGCACCAAAGAGCCCAGCCTGTGCTTTGCAATGATCCTGCTGGATGCACACTCGGATAGACTCAAGTCGGAGCTGAGAGCTGAAAGCTTCGAAATGATTTGGACACAACCAAGACAACCAGGACAACTTAGGATACAAGGATCCAGGCTTGCCCTACAATGGACGCTGCTATGATTATGAACTAGCTAGTACAACTACAACTACTATAAAGAATGAAGCCATGATTTTGTTTGTAAGGATTGTCTACTGTGAGTTATTGTTCTATGTCTATGTTAGGTTGTATTTAAGATTGTAGAATAGCATCAACAATGATAGAGGTTGGTTGTCGGGTGTCACGGGTATTAACTTTGGACTTTCGTCGCGTGGAGGACGTTCGGACAAGCACTCTGCAATAGAGGCTGCCTAGCACAGGAACCACAAACCTGGCTACCTTATATGTGACCCTTCAATTGAACCAACTGTATTCATCTCCGCAAAATTGTTGTATAGCCCTGCACCCCACCAGATGCTTGCTCATTGTGTATTGTAATAATGTGTTAGTAATCCCCGCAATCCGTCGTTGCCGCCCCCACTTACCTGTTGTTGTCCTAGACTGGAATGTACCGGTTAGGCTTTTGTACTCGCCGTCCAGAAAGAGTTGTTGTTGTCTGAACTGCTGTTTGCTGCTGTGTGTCCGTCACAGGTTGTGCCGTCTGCTTCTTCTTGCCCTTCGCCTTTGGCTTTGTCGACTTCTTGGCCACCACGCGTCTACGTGTATTATTTCTAGGTTGCGCTGCCACTCGCCGTGGCTTCGTCTTCATTTGTTCTGCGATTCTCTGAGATGCAATCGCCGCCATGCGTCTCTTTGACCGCCGCAATGTTGATTGTGCTGCGTCCACATTGTCCTCCTCATCGACTCGGTTGTCGACCAGTGGTTCTTCAGCATCAACTTGTTGTTGTTCCTCGACCTCGACCAGTGGTTCTTCAGCTACCACTTGGCCAGTCACGAATTCGTCATCCATCTCGTCTGAGGCAACGCCTGCCTCCAATCGTAGTGTCTTGTGACGCCGCATGTATTCCTTGACAAGGTCTCCACCATCCTGCATCAATGCTGCGAGAATGTCGTTGGGTACCACTCCAAGTAGCACACCATTCATCATTCGCATCTCCAATACAAATGGCTGTTGTTCGTGCACACTGATCTTGAAGTGTTTCACATGCCACTTTTGAACGTATGGGACCACTGCTGTGCATGTGGGAACCACCTCTGCTTCGGATGTGACTGTGGCATCGGATGCCATCTTGTTGTCGTCGACGGTCGAGACTTTTTCTATTGCCTCGACATTCTTAGTTGTTGTTGGTTGTTGATCTACTTCTACGGGTGCTGCATCTTCCATGCAGACGTCCTTGACCTTGCGATAGACAAATCGTCGTTTGGCAATCTGTTCTCGCGTATTCAAGGTGCAAATTTCGTCGTCAGCGTTGCGCTGAATTCCTCCATGATGCAAGTGGCACATGGCGAGTTCGAACATGTAAGTGTTCTTTTCGTTGACCATGAACCAGTGGGCGACTTGCTTGTCGTTTCCTTTCTTCGCCTGGATGAAACGAACAAGTCCCTCCAGGTCTTGATGCACGGCATCAATTTGAATGTACAGTTGGGCTTGTCGTAGGTATGCTTTGTCGCTTTGGAACCATTTGTTGTTGGTGATCCATTTGGTCACTTGTTGGTATCCGTACTCTTGAATCAACTGCACAAGATCCAAGACGCGTTCGTGGGGTGTGGCTGTGCCGACGGAAATGAATTGTTGTTGGGCTTCCTGCCAGAATTCATATCGGGCCTGTGGCACATGTTGGTTCATGGCTCGATAGACACGGCTGTTTTCCTCTTGTTCGCTTTCATCAGAAGAGTACCCCACTACAGTGTTGACGGGAGCAAAGGATAAACGGTTTCCATTGCTCCGTTCGGTGTCTTGACCGTAATGGGCCTTCCAGCGAGCATTGGCTGATTGACTGGGTTTGATGCGACAGCCCTTGGGCCGGTGCTGGTTGTACTTGTCGTATCCGTAGTGACCATGCTGATCTACAGGAACCAGGGAAAGGTCGTAGGCACCTAGGCAGCGACCGTGCTGCTGGAACTCCACATCAGGATGCGTTCCGTGCAACAGTGCTGCGGTCTCGAAGACCGACTTGTCCAACTCGTCCAGTTGGAATGTTGGGACTTCCTCTGCCACAGGAACGTCCTTGTTGTTGTTGTTGTTGCCCGTCGTCTCCTTGGCGACCTGGAGAACGGGGGTCTTCTTGGTGTTGCTGCTGTTGTTGTCGGTGGTCCATGACCACGAGATCAGCTTGATGATAGAAGAAGAGAACTTCATTTTGCAATTGATAGGTATTGAATAGAAGATTGATAGAAAAGGTAATTGGGAGTAGGGGGGTTGATCTGGCCTAGGCTTATCAACAATCGCGAAAGTCTTCCTTGTTCGGTTGGGTATGCAACTCTAGCAATCCGGTTGAACAAAAAAGTGAGCTCATCATGGTGACATCCCATTTTTCCACCCCAATTTTCAGATGACAGATTCTGCCAGATGGAAAACAACAGGTGACGAGATGAGACTGAGCCACAGATGAGCACTTATTTCATGCTCTATACTACCCAACAACACACCTCCTGGGTCTCTCAGAGTAGCTGGATGATAGCTGGATGCTTGGTTGGTGTTGGTGTCTGCTTGCATCTCTTCGTGGTGTTTGTTTTGCCCAGCGGCGGCTGCGATGGTGTTGCGGTCGTGCCTGCTGCGGATCAAGCTGACCTCCGGACGATCTTCGGTTTCACGAATCGAATCGAATTCGGATCGTATCGAATCGAATCGAAGAATCGATTTGGGGCAGATGGTAACGGTACTAAAAGGTAATCGTATACCGTACGGTAGCAGATGCGTGTTAAATCTTTCATCCGTGGAAAGTATCTTTTGCCCATCAAGCTGAAGCGCTGAAGCAACACCCACGGCACCACCGTATGGCACCACTATCGGCTATCTCGGTCGACATCCACAAGCAGAATTCATTCTACCATCATATTCCCACCTACTAGCTTGCTAGAGATCAACCATGCCTGATATCGAAGCGCCAGCTCCTAGCGAAGCCACCCCTTTGGTGACTAAGGCTGAAGGAGCAGGAGATATCGAAGAGGGTGGTGAACTAGATCTGGATTCGCGTCTCCTAAAACCCGTCAAGGATGGTTCGATCATGGAAATCGTTGTGGGAATACTAGCGGCCATTACATGTGAGTACGGTAGACACGTTGAAGTGGAAGTAGATCGATTTGAATTTGCAACCAACCACGTATCCCTGACTTCTGGTCTTCGTTTTCTGTATCTATGCAGTCGCGGCGTCTGCCGCGATCCTCATCCTTCACCATGGCATCCTTGTTGTCGTATCAGGAGTCTTTGGTGTGGGGTTGGCACCTTATGCGGCTTTTCAGCAGACAAAGATAACACATGCAACTGCCATGAAGCAAACCAATGAATTCTTTCAAAAGCAATTGAATATCCTCAAGGCGCTCAACAATCAACTCATTGGTCAGGTAGCCGACATGACCAAGTCCATTGACAGGTAAGAGATATTGCATGGTGTGCATTCTTAGGCTAGCTAGTTTGAGTCAAAGGACACACGTGTAGACTTCATCTCTCATCTTGGATCGCCGTAATCTGCCACAAAAGTCTTGAGGACATGGAGAAGACACTGGAAGTGGTTCAATCTATGCGAGGCGACTGCCAGCAAGGTCTAGAGGAAATACTGAAGACTGAGCGTGAGATTGCGGCCAAGACTAAGTCCAATGTCAAGAATGACCTTCTAGGGAACATCATGGAGATATCGCTCAACTGTGACCTTGATGGAGACATGAAAATGTCGGATGATGAGGTGGAGGCGGTCATTCAGAAGATCGAAGGTATCAACGGAGTGGATGTTCGTGAGGAAAAATTCCGAGCCATGATTGAGAATCACGGAAGGGATATTCTCTGTGAGTTTGGCGTACCAAACTAGTAGTTTCCTGGTGTTGGTTGCTATCCATTTGCATGGCATGCCCTCACGCAACCCTTCTTTCCTCCTGCAACGTTAGCGCTCATGGATGTCGCCAAGAACCTTCTCAGTGATGATATCCCTGATGAAGACAAGCTCTTTGTGTACTTGAACTAGCCGCATGCATACATGTATTATTCACCCTCCTCCCCTACCTTGTCAATTGTTCCTGATCCCCTACACGAAAGGATGTAATGCATGTCCCCTACTTACCACGTCCTTGCAAGGCCCGAGTTTTATCGGTCAACGTTCTACCTCATTCCATAGTTCCAACGATGGCATCCTCAACAACAATCCTCCCCTTCTCTTCCATCTATGGAGCTCGTGTAGGCAGCAACAGCATCTCCCGGACTAGGTGCTCTCATCTTCTGTCTCTTGGTCCTCCCAAACAATCTATTGAACACTCTCAATATACACACGCAATTTTCATCTCTTCAACAACAACTACAGCAGAAGCAATTTCCCAAAGTTAAATCCCTTTATCTGCTAAAATAATCTTCTTATGCATTGCTAGCTATAGGCGGGCATGTACGCCAAATGTTTGCGACTATCGCTTCGGATACGCCAAGGAATCGCTGCTGTCACTTGTCGAGGCATCAATCATTCGATCCAACTTTGGCAGCGACGAGTTGTTGCTGTTGTTGCCAAACGACGAGTTCATGGCAAGAGCAGAGTTGTTATGCCCCAGTGACTTGGATTCGCCACGGGGCGGTAGACTTCGAGCGGACGACAGGCCTTGTTGTCGCATTCGTCGTCGCGCATCCCCCAATGCCGACGACGACTCGGACATTAGTTGTTGCGTCACTGCAGGGGTTGTGTGAGCCGAGTCGTCCAATAGATTGAAGGAATCATCGAAATTGATGTTGTTGTCAAAGACGTCGGGAGCTGACTTGTTCAAGAATTCAGCCAGTGACTTGCTGGACTTGGACCGTACAGGCGTGGGTTTTTTCTTGAATTTTGGTTTGCCCGGTCCACTGTTATTGTTATTGTTGCTGTTGTTGGTATTGGACTCCAATTTCAAAGCGTTCCACCGTTCGCTCGCCGCTCGTACAAGCTGATGCCTTGCCGTGGTGGGTCGACCCGACCGAGGAGATCTTCCGGTTTGTGATGCGGACAAATTGGGAGGCACGGGAAATCCATTCGACGGACTTTTGGGAGCCGCCGGTTGTGGCTGTGCGACGGGCTTTTTGGCTCGGCCCGTTGGCGACATGAGCTGGTCGTCCATGGAACGCGCTTTGCTGACTTTTCTCTTGGACAAACAGGTTGGTTCCGTTCGTGACGTCGGACTTGGTTGTCGTTGTGGCTTGGAATGACCATTTTTCAGTCCATTCGCTTTCGCATGCCCGTGAACCGCTTCTTCCAATTGCGCGATTCGTTGCAACATATTGTCTCGTTCTTGTACATGTTGCATCATCCCCAAAACGGAAAATGCCTTGATGAGTCCTTCCTTATCCTCTTCCAGTTGTTTGGCTTTGGCTGTTAGTTCGTGCATGTCATTGACCATGGTGGATTGTGCCTGCAGCAGTTCCCTTAAATTGTTTTGTGCATCCGTCTTGTCGGCCCGTAACCGGAAACAATCCTTGTGCAAATCCTTGAGTTCGGTTTCGGCGGCATGTTTGGACGACGCCAAGGACAAAAAGACGGCACTGGAATCAAATGGGTTTCCCTCTTGTAATCTCAAATGGAAATCACTTGACTTGGACGCAAATCGTTCAATGACTTCCAGAGCTCCCTTTCTCGCAATTTGATTGTATTCCAGATTCAAATGTCTCAAATTTTTCGTGACGGCTCTGAGGCAGGATAATTGTGCAATCCAAGACGCTCCCTCGCAATCAATTTCATTGTGGGAAAAGTCAATCGACGACAATGGCGGTCGGGCGGATCGCAGTGCCGTGACGATGCGTTGGATATTTTCCGACGTGAGTCCGCATTGCGATACTTTTAGGGTTTGCAATTTGTGAAATCCTTCCAGGGCATTGCAAAAGGTAGCAATATCGGCTGCCGGAATGGTCCCTCCCGTGAGTTCCAAATGATGCATGGCTCCAAAATCATTCTTGAACATGTTTTCCGACAGTTGGGCCAATCCCAAGACGGGCACGAGGCCTTCTCGAGATGGTTTGCGGGAGGGTGATGACGTCTGTGAATTGTTGTTATGATTATTGTTGGTATGATGATCGGCAGGCTGAAACTTGTTTTCCCACGAAAAAGATCTCAAATTTCGACAGGAACTGAGCAAATGTTCGAGTGCTTCACACGCTTCAATGCCGGTTCTGGAATAATTGGATATTGTCACGTCTTGCAATGTCTCTCCACAGTTAAAAACAATGGCTTGTAGTTTTTGGAAACTGGAATCTCTCATTTCTACATCACTGAGGCAGATTGATTTGAGTTTGGTTTGTGCCCCCAGTGCATCCCATACATACTCCCCCAGGAGATTGTGACTCAAGTCCAGTATTTCCAAATTGGGAGCCTTTTGGAATGTTTTGCAGAGGGCATATACATGATCTTCATCTTGTCGTAGTATTCTGCCTCCAATAATATCATGAAAGACCAGTGTCTGGATGGTGGGTAGCACATTTTGCATGGTCAAAAAGGTCGCAATGGCATTGATTCCTCCCTGTGTAAACCGGACACCCGTAATGACAAGTGTCTGCAAATAATAATTGTTCCATTTGTCCAACAACAGATCGACGGCGCCCCCCGCATGCGCCGTGTCCACCAAGCGAGGCAGCGTCACCACCAAACGGGTATTTCCCGTCTCGGCATCTCGGACGATCTTGTCAATCGAAACGCGCACTTGTCGACCACTGCTAGAATTCGTCTTTTTGCTGTCGTCGTCGTCATCGTGGGTACCCACCAACTCGACCGTGAGAGGAGTGGTCGTAAGGGTATCCAGGTGAAGCGATTCGTCCATCTTCACGACACCAACCTAATACCTCTTGATTCTTTGGATGGATACCCTACTAGTGTAATAACCAACCTACTAGCTAGTTGATCTCCCCCAAACTTGTCAACAAGCTTCATGTACTTCTTTCTTTGGTTTTCTGGCAATGATAATACATGTAGAATTCGATGTGTAAGTTGTTGGGAATGTGAGATGCAACGGCCTTTAGAAAACACGCACAGAACACACAACAACCCAGCCGGTACGGTACAGGTCACGTTATTTCTTGCTGCATCCATGTACATGTACACGTAAGTGACCCAGAAAAAAGGCTTCTATTAGCTATTCTATGATCCAGTTGGCATAATGACGACAATAATAGAATTAATTGACAGATACTCAATAAATCTCACCATAAATCTCAACCTATTCAATTTTCTCTCAAAGTATACAAGAAGTCATTTTAGGCATCGAAGTGTGGCAGTTGGGTCTCGTTACTCCGAACTCGGAAGTGGTGCGCATCGAGAGGCCCCCAAAAGCACGCACCTTAAGGTTTTGAGTTTCAAGGGTATCATGCATATAATTTGTATCGTACGTATTGTATGTATTGTACATATTGTATGTATGGTATGTATTGTACGTATCATATGTATTGTATGTATTATACGTATTATACGCGCGAACGTGGACCAATGAGAACTCCCTTGATCAGCAGCAGCCATTTTTAAAAAAGCACACCAACAACAAAAACCACACCAACAACAAAAACACCACCATCCACACTTCTTCTTCTCTCCTCTTGTTGCTCCTGCTATTGTTGCTTCTGTTGTTATTCAGCTATCACACCATCGTCTCTACCACTACTATCAGGTACATTTACTCAGCTTCCTGCTTGTGAAATGGTCAGAGAGAGTGGCTATTCATCAGATGAGCAAAAGTTGATGTCATATCACCCTCTTTTCTTTCCTCCCTCCATGCCATACCCAAGTCTCTCAACAATGCTTTCACTCTTTCTCTACTATTCATAGACTGATAGAACAAGGTGAACAAGGCAGGACACCACCCAGGAAGTCAAGGAAGTCAAGAAACAGCACATTTCCATTTCACCAGTAGATCACAGTACTGAAATCCTGTAAGTACCCTTTGTATCGTACGTATGATATATAATATGCATCGTATGTATAATACGTATGGTATGTATTGTATGTATCATAGCTACCTTTTGTATAATATGTATGATATGTATCGTATGTATGATATGTATCGTATGTATCATATGTACTATTGCAATACACGGCTCTTAGCCTTATTCGCGACTCGATCCTAGATAGGGTTTGAGTTCGACTCATGACTGAGTCTCTCGTGAATAGTCATTCGAGACAGGGTTCTCAATGACCGCGCTAGTCATACTAGGTTGATGATGAAACATCGCTCTAGATATTTAGCCAGCGTGGAGTACTTCCACGCTACTAGATCCAGGCTAGACAAACCTTCCACGCGTTCCGTTTTAGGATCGTGGAGAGACGTAGGATTACTACCACAACCTACTCTATCACACTTTATAGTCTCCCGCGGGAAGCCAGATCTACGATCCTTTGATGATGATCTCTCTCGTTGATTAGTTTTCATAGCTTTCTAATCTCTCTCATAACTTTCATTCTCTCAAACTCAAAACACTCGAAAGATCTTTACACTAGCTTTTAGCGTAGTGCACTATATCTATTATATGTATAATGTATATCATACATATTTCTATATTGTACTGACTGCAATCTTTGTTTCTGCTATTGTATATGGCTTTATTCATAGGTATCATGGCTGAAGGTGACACTAACCCCATGGGGGACGATGCCTTAGCAGAAATCCCTCTTCATGGCAGAGTGTTCAACTTCACTTATGGTACTCGTAATCATTCCAAAGTGAGCTCTTTGCTTCAGATGATACCCAAAGAGGAGATCCCTTCGGGGAAGAAATGACTCGTTTATGAAAACCTTCAATTTGTCTCTCAAAGCTTCCCCCAGTTGCCCCTGATGGAGAGACTCATCTTCTTCAAGATATTCGGTAAGCAGCTTCAAGGATAGGTCGGATTCTCCCTCGGTTTCATATCGTGCAAATCTCCACAGCCATGAAGGGACTTGCGTTTCAACACCATCAGCTGACATTATCGAGAGCACAATCCCTTGCCGGAGATTCCGCTTCACGCCCTCCAGCTGCTTTGAACTCAGGGTAGCACCAGTGGTTTCGTACAGCAAAGTTTTTATCACACTGGGAGGCAAGTGATTTTTCAGGCACTGATCTGCCAATGTGACCGCCTCGGAACCCAAATGTTTGATCTGGACTTGAATTTGGCTAGGGTCGAGCTTCGGATGTCCAATGTGTTTGGTGCTTCCGCCTTGTTTGGCTGGCAGGAACCATCGCCTGTGCTCATTACTGAAGTAAACATTAAAATAGAAAGGACAAACTTTGTCTTTTCCAATTATAGGTAACTGAGTTTGGGTAGTAGGACTGTGTTGGGTTGCCTTTATGGTGCTTCCTTATAATACCTATGTCTCGGGCACACGACAGTAAGGTAGGCTCTTCGTCTGTCATAGCCTCTGTTTTTAACATTAAAGCCTGCTTCCTTGCATGCAAGTGCAAATACAGACATCAGTTCCTCTTTGATAAACTTTTTGTCATCTTTGTTGAATTTGCTTGGCAGCCAATACACGTCGGTCTTGTCAATTTGAGCATTGCCAAGCTGGCCAAGCGTTTGCATAATGTCAATTGTTATAGGAGTTTCATTTATTAGAGACGTTGCCACAGCTACACTAATAGAAGGAGGGATCCACTCTTCTACATTGGTATCATATTGGGCAACATCATTCAGTTCAGCAAGATAGGTATCCATATTGGTTGTTGTGACACTTTGGTGGGTGCTTCAGTTCAGAGAGATCTGGCAACTTAGAGAACTGGCAAAAATTCGTCATATCATATGATACATATTGTATATATTATATATCATATATATCATATGGTTAATATATATCATAATATTATATCATCTGATTTTTATGATAATTGTGTTTTGTATGATATGTATCATTCATATGATATATATGATACGTATTGTATAGTATAACCCTTCCTCTAAGGTGCGTGCTTTTGGGGGCTTGTCTCCGAGTCACTCTACAACCAAAGCCACGAGTACAACATATCGATACTAGCTAGCTAGTAGTACCGGAGCGTAGCAGCACGGAAGCACAGAAACTTGTTCTCGAATGGCCATTATTAGGCAGCTGTGGATAAACCTTCCTCGGGCTATGTTTCTACTAGCTACTGGCTAGTAGTTAGTTGAATGAATGGAGACGGCAAGATAGATACATACCGTACGGTACCGATACAGCAGCAGTATGAAACTCCCTCGTCCCTTCTCGTCAGCCCAAGCCGCCACCGCGTTGCCCAACTCGGTCTTTGTCTACGGTTCGCTCCTCTCCCCGCAAGTCGTCGAGGTGTTATTAGGTCGCATCCCCAAGAGCATTCCGGCTCCGTGTCGACTCTACGGGTATTCCCGCCATCCCGTGAAGGATCAAGTCTATCCCGCCATTATTCCAGCATCCTCTACAAGTACTAGTCTTGTCGATGGTATGATTTGGTGCGATCTTTCCGACCGCGAAAAGTCCCTGTTGGATTGGTTTGAAGACGACGAGTATCAACGAACCTCCGTCGTCGTGGAAACATCCAAGGAGCTGCACTACTATACTACGGATGCCTATATTTGGGGCAATCCATTATCCGAACTAGATTTGGAACGAGATTGGTCGTTTGAGAATTTTTGTCAGCAGCATTTGGAGTGGTATCTAGCCCATACCGTGCGGCCCTGTCGGGAGGAATGGGACCGTGACCAAGACCTATGATGAATAAATTGGAGAGGTATAACCACGTACGAAAATATTCTACATGTAGCTAGCTAGTAGTTGTCTGTGTGCCGTGTGCCGGAAGGGAATATTGCAATTTGCTTCCCCCCTTCGACCGTGTTTCTAGAAAATTTATTTATCCTATGCTCCGTTCACAGAAGTAAGTAAGTAAGTTAGTTAGCCATGTTGATTTTTGATTTCGTGGATTGGAATGATCAGTCTCCTTTCGAGGAAAACATAAAGCCATAATTGGTAATGCTACTCGTAGATGGGTAGAGTATATACCCAATGCCATCACGTTCCATTACCATTGTGTGAGATTTGTAAATTGTCATTTAGGCCTTGGCTCCCTTCTTTTTTCCAGTAGTCAATCCAGCATTGAGAAGATCGTCCAAGTCTTGTTGTTTCTTGTTCTTGGCTTTGCGTGCGACAGGTCCCTTGGACGGAGCATTGCCCGCCTCGGCGTCTTTGGCGGCCTTTTTCGCGGCTACTTTTGCTTGCAAGGCGGCAGCATCATTGGCATTCCGGTCTTCGGGGCGTCCTTCCTGGATACATGAATAAAATCGCAGAAATAATAGGTAAGATATTTTTGTGGAGACAAAGATGAGATGAGAAGATGATAACCCTTCCATTCGACTCGAATCGAATCTCTTCTACTAGCTAAGTTGCAGGGCTTACCCTGGCATTGGCCTTTGACTTTTGGGCCAGTCTCGCCTGAGTCTTGGCGCGGTCTCTGTCTCGTTTGTCACCTCGTGACATTTCCAATCAGTTTTTTCCAATATCGACTCTTGTGTGATGAATAGTAGAGAGAGAGTTTGTTACAGAGCAGCTTTGGTTGCTTGCTTGTTGCTTGTTGTTGTGTGGCGGTGGTGATGCGGAACCGAGCCTGCATGATCGCGTCCCTGTCACGAACGTGACGCAATCAATGTCAATCCCTCCGGATCTTTGTTTGTGGTGGATGGAACTCGAGCTCGTGATGGCCTCACAAAACGAACACTGACAACTGGAGCTGCTACTGATACCTCTCTTTCAATTGCTACTTGCCATACTATCCAACCTTGTGCTTGCAACTAGCTGGTACTAGTTGATACCGTAGTGGACAGCCTCTTCTCTGAGAATCCAACTTCAGAACCAAAGTATCGGTTAGATCCTCAGTAGTCTCTCGGTCACTTTTCAACTTTTGGTTAGCTTGGGTACGGTATACGCCCGGATACCCCACAGCCATTGGCAATCACACAAGCGAGCAACCAGCTATCTATCTAGATAGTTATACATCATCATAACAGAACAACAAGGTATCCATCAGGATGAAATATCGTGGAAATGCGATCCCGCAAGTGTGGCTTTTCTGCTCCATGATTCTCGTGGCCTGCACTACTGTTCCGATAATCTTGGTACAAGGGAGCCGCTCTTCTTCCTTGGCATCCATTCACTCCTATACTAAGAATAGTAATAGGCACAACCACAAGCTGGCGTTTGTGTCCACACTCTCATCACCAAGAACTTGGAGCCAACGACTCCAACGTCTACGAGGAGGATCATCATCATCTTTATTATTGGCATACAATGAATCTTCCACCGACGCGGGGAGTCTCTCCATTACCGACTTGTTGGATCAACTCCAAACATCCCCCACCAACGGATTGACACAGGAAGACGCACAACAACGATTGCAACAATACGGATCCAATGTCCTGGAGCGACCACCCAGCAAGAGTGTCTGGCAACTCATTCTCGAACAATTTGAAGATCGACTCGTCCAAATTTTGTTGGTCGTGGCGCTCCTCAGTGGCGTCTTTTCCTTTCTCGAATTGCGCAACTCCGTGGCTGTCGGCGCCGAAGAGGCTTCACTATGGAAATCCTTTGTGGAACCACTCGTCATTCTCGCCATTTTGGTACTCAATGCCGCCGTGGGAGTCTGGCAATCCCAATCTGCCAGTGATAGTTTGGAAGCCTTGCAAAAACTACAACCGACATTGGCCACGGTCGTTCGGCAAACACAACAACAACAACAACTAGACACAACAATTGCTAGTAGTGCAAGTGCCGAAATGGATGCATCGAATCTAGTTCCTGGAGACATTTTGGAGATTCGCGTCGGCGACAAAATACCGGCCGATTCGCGATTGCTCTCCCTCAAGAGTTCCTCCCTCAAGGTAGATGAAGGAAGTTTGACAGGAGAATCAGTCACTGTCAGCAAGTTGCCGGGAGAGGAAGGAACCGTGGCTCCCGATAGTCCCGTACAAGATCAGGTTGGAATGTTGTACAGTGGCACCATGGTCACCAGTGGAAGTGGAGTGGCCGTCGTCGTTCAGACGGGAATGGATACCCAGTTTGGAAAGGTACGTACACGTGTGTTTTGTTGTGCTGTGTTACTTTAAACCCATGGCACTCATTGGTACTTGCTTGCTTACTTGCGTTCTTGGATGACAATAGATTCAAAAGGGCGTCACCCAAGCCAAGGACGAAGAAGAAAAGACACCACTGGCCATCAAGTTGGATGAATTTGGAGAGACCTTGACAATCATCATCGGCGTCATTTGTCTGGCCGTTTGGGTGGTGTCTATTCCAAAGTTCAATGATGCGTCATTCTCGTCCCCCTGGGAAGGAGCCATCTACTATGCCAAAGTGTCCGTGGCGTTGGGGGTCGCTGCCATTCCCGAAGGACTCCCAGCCGTCATTACACTCTGCTTGAGTCTTGGAACGAGGAAAATGGCACAGAGAAATGTCATTGTCCGCAAGTTGCAGAGCGTGGAAACACTGGGATGTACCAGTGTCATTTGTACCGATAAGACGGGAACATTGACGACAAATGAAATGACATCTGTGAGCCTTGTAGTGGTGGGAGAAGAAGGGAAGAAACGGCCAATTGTAGAAGAACATCGCATTGACGGCGTTTCGTATAGTCCCATTGGCAGCATTGATGGGATAGAAAAGAACAGAGAAGTAATCGACAATCCCGACGGAGCCATTGCTGACATTGCCGCCGTCAGCGCTTTGTGCAATGATGCCAAGATTGTGGGACGTGCAGACGAACCTAAGAATGACGGCAATACACCCTCGAAGAAGAAGAAGAAGAAAGATGATTCAACAAGTGAAAAGGAGTATCAAAGGATAGGAGAACCAACCGAGGCAGCCTTGTGCGTGCTCGCAGAGAAGATTGGAGGAATGGCGCCTGTGGCCACTGATAACGATCAACCACCACCAACTCCGGCAACTCTTGCTAGCGCCAATGTACTTGCATGGAGAGACGTTCATCCCCGGCACGCCACACTTGAATTCAACAGAGATAGAAAGTCAATGTCTGTGCTGTGTGAATTCTCAAAGGAAGCAAACAAGCAGAAGAAAGCAAAGTCGATAAAGGCTGGCAACCGGTTGCTGGTCAAAGGGGCCCCCAATCTTTTGCTTCAGAGGTGTACTCACGTGAAAACCCGCAATGGTAATGTGGTCCGGCTAAGCGGGGAGCTTCGAAGGAAGGTTGAAGCCAAGATATCTGAAATGGCTGCGCGCCCTTTGAGATGTTTGGCCCTGGCCGTGAAAGACAATGACGATTTGGAAAGCAGCCTGCGAAGATTTAGTCCATCTAGCGAGGGAGACGTTGCCAAGCATCCCCTCCTATCCAAACAGGAGAACTACAAGAATATTGAAAGCGGTCTTACGCTTGTCGGAATCGCGGGTATCAAGGATCCAGCCCGCCCGGAGGTTGCCGACAGCATCAAAGCCTGCACGAAAGCCGGCATTCGAGTCATGATGATCACGGGAGATGCTAGAGACACAGCGGTGGCAATTGTAAGTTTGGGTGGACTTCGTTCGTCTTGCTTCCCAACGGTGCTTTTGCTGCCATTATCCAGCATGAGCTTCTGCTAATCGTCCAACCACTTGCTACTCTGTTTAAAGGCAAGAGATGTCAACATTTTCCCTCCCGACGATGCGGAGGGGGGGAACGTCAAGGCATTCGAGGGCCGAGAATTCTTCCATTTGCCGCCAAAGAAGCAACTAGAATTGTTGAAAGAAGACAACCTTGTGTTTTGCAGAGCAGAACCCGCCGACAAGCAAAGGCTAGTGAAAATGCTACAAAGTTTGCACGAAGTAACAGCCATGACTGGGGACGGTAAGGGTGCAACGTTGATGCGCCGCACGGAAACCTATGCCTGGCCACTAACTTCTTTTGTCTCAAATCAGGTGTCAATGATGCTCCAGCACTCCAACAAGCTGCGATTGGCGTTGCTATGGGGTAAGTTTAGGCATCTTCAAAGGAAGATCACTACTGCGCCTGCACTAGCGCTAGTGCGAACTAATGCTTGTGCAACCATGCTACCTGTGTTCTGTTTGATACGAAACAGAAAAACCGGAACGGACGTCAGCAAGGTGAGCATAGCGTTGTCGTGTTGGGCAATCCATCTATGTTCAAGAGTTGCCCATGTTCAGTTCCTTTTCTGACCTCTCGCCAGTCTGCAAGCGACATGATTCTGGCTGATGATAACTTTGCAACTATCGTGTCCGCAGTTGAAGAAGGACGCCGTATATACGCCAATATGCAGGCATTCATATGCTTTCTTATCAGCTGTAACATTGGAGAGATCTGTGCTATCTTTTTCGCAACGGTAGCTGGTTTTCCCGAGCCACTCACAGCCATGCACCTTCTTTGGGTGAACCTTGTCACTGATGGACCACCAGCAACAGCACTTGGTTTCAATCCCCCATCACCTGATCTTATGGAACAACCTCCTCGTCCGAGCGATGAACCGATCATGACGACATGGCTGCTAACTCGATACTGCCTGACAGGGCTGTATGTAGGCTTGGCAACCATTGGAGTCTTCGCGGGCCACTACATGGCACAAGGCATCACCCTGGCGCAACTGAGGAACTGGAGCCAGTGCGGCGTCTTTTGGTCGCCTTTGGATCAAACATTGACGTGCGTTGACTTGTTCCAAGGATCGGGCAGAATGCTCCCGCAAACTCTGGCCTTGACGACATTGGTTTGTATGGAGATGTTCAAGGCGCTGTCGGCTGTTTCAGTAGACAGTTCGCTGATCCGAATCGGTCCTCAGGAAAACCCTTGGCTCCTCCTGGGCGTCTCAGGACCATTCTTGCTTCATTTATTTGTTCTCTACAGTTCCAATCTTGGAATGCCGGCTCTGGGTGAGAGTTTCGGAATGGTAGGTTCCACTTTTGTGTGTGCTCTAGTACCAGCTTTGACCATCCCACATCTGACAGAGCAGGGAAACCGCTTTTGCTAGGTGCCTTTATCAATGGATGATTGGATCACTGTCCTCCAGTGGTCTGCTCCAATCCTGGTAGTTGACGAGGTTCTTAAGGGAATCGGGCGATGGCTGAAACAGCGGAAACAACCAGAGATGGTGGCCAAAGGAAGTCGATAGTCTGATTTGGCGGGTTGGGTGCTAGGAGCTCTCCAGAACTTCACTTGCCAGATATGGCGCCACGAATCGCGTTTGAGGTGATGCTGCGCATCAAACGCAGCAATCTTTTTCTTAAGTAATCCAATGCGATTGCTTGAAGCTGGGAAGATTGAGGGTTGGTCTCCTTCTAACTTGGAGAAAAGAACTATTCTTTATCTTTACAGAAAGAAGTTGCGAGAAGTGGAATCCGGAATGGATGTCAGAAAGAAAGGACTTCAGCATTTGACCGCTACGAATCGAATCGAATTGGAGACGATGCGGGTTTCCCAGCACGAACGCAGAAGCTCCGGTTGTCATCGTTAATACTTGGAGAGTTGGCGCCCGACTAGAACCTTCTCAAGCCTTTAGGCAGCATTGGCTCAGAGGTTCACAGAGTTATTGCGGGGGCGAGGGAACCGAAGGAACCCGACTGCCTCCTTCAATCAGCTTGGTTCTTACGTGAAGGTGCAGGTTTCCTGACAACTGTAGCTACGGCTTCTTGCAAAGAGTCAGTTCTTTACCTGCTTTGGTTCGCTCCCCGCCGATCCAGCAGGTTCTCAAGTAACAGCATACGCATGGATCGTATTGGACCACCTCGTCGATTACATGGCAATTGTATCGCTGTTTTTCTCCATCAAAAGAAGTCTGCTCTCCTCACTATGCGGCTAGCAAGACCTTTGCCGGTGTAGAGAACAGTCCAGCCGAGGTTCGCAGTAACCACGAACGAACCTTCGTCGCGAAGCTTCTGCCCGTCAGCATTTGGAACCTGCGCTTCCAGAAGGAGAAGGCGATAGCTTCGCCACAGCCACCAGCGTAAGCATACTAACAGTGGGCAGAATTATTCTACGGAAATGGATTATAGCTGCTGTGGGAGGGCTTCGTAGTTCGACTGGTACATTGCTTTTTTCCCCAGACAGAGCTTTCCTATTAACGAGCTAGAGGAGGGCTTCCAATTGGAACATCAAAGTTATCTTCCAAACCATTATTTAGTCAGAATCGAATCCTCAATATTTGGTTTGTACCGTTCTGAACCACAGAGCGTCGCCACTTCTATCACTGTTGGGCGTTCGAGCTAGTATCCACGTCTCACGCAGCATCATTGCGGCACTTCCTTCCAGTTCTGCGCTGGGCTCACAAAATCAGCAGCAATTAATTGTCCAGAACTGAAGCTGTAAAAACGAATCGAAGCAACATCAACATCGAGAACATCAAACCAAACAATGAAGTTTATCCTCTCCTTGCTCCTTATGCTGTCCAGTCTTGGGGTTGCTTTGGGAGGCGACAAAACTCCCTTTGAAAACATCGAGGAGGCGTACTTGGAAACAGAGTTGGATGGTGCCGCGACGAACATCTTTGCAGATAGCAGCGACATTGATGCAAGGTGCTTCAGTGAATACCTTTCTATCTACTACTGTCTGGATGCTCTTTCAACTTACGACTGTGTGTTTTGGGGGACCAGTGGTTGCAGTGTTTGTAAGCCTAAGGCCAAGTCTCGGTCTCTTGAGCATAGCGCACCTTGATGATCTCACTGCTCTTGTTCATTATTTCTTACAATCCATTTTGTTGCTTCAAGATGTGGATCCTGCTGGAGAGACTTCGTGCACTTGGTATGGCAGTGCCAATTGCGAACCGTACCTTCGTTGTTGTGGCGAGAACTACTCTTGCAGGGGAGAATACGAGGGTTTCCTTCGTTGCGTCAGAGAAAAAATCTTTGGTTGCAATGGTGATGTCTGTGCTCCGAATGGTGGAAGGATCGAATCAATAATAACCCCTTGCTTCTCTGCCACTGCCACTGTTGATGTCCTGGGAAAAGGCAATGTGGAAATGCAGGACCTTTCGCTTGGTGACATGATCCTCACCAGTACTACTTCTGGCATGTTTGAATATCAGCCTGTCTATGCTTTTGCACACCACAGCAAGGATACCGTTGCAAAATTCTACCAAATCAAGACCCAGAAGACCAACCCAACATTGGAAGTTTCAGGAGAGCACTTGGTCTATGTCCAAGGCAAGAAGAACCCTGTCAGGGCTGATTCCATTAAGGTTGGAGATGCCTTGGTTGACTCCCATGGTGCCCCCATGACAGTCTCCAAGATCGGGACCGTGGAGAAGCCTGGCATTTACGCCCCCCAGACTCCTGGTGGCAGGCTGCTTGTGAGTGGTGCCTTGGCGTCTGCCTATCCTGCCTTGCAAGATACTCATGCTGAGGAGTTGACCTTGATGGGTATTGCAACTGGATTGTCTCATCATGACATTACCCACATGGGAGCTGCGGTTCCACGTGTCTTGTGTGGTGGTATCTCCTCTACCTTTTGCACCCAGTACAATGCCAATGGTATGGCCTACATCTTTGGTATTGGATATGACTATCTCATGTGGGCCACAGACAGTGCCAAGCCCGTGTTTGTTCGACTTCTTTTGATGGCTGCTACTGTGCCTATTGTTCTACTCTGCGTTACCTTGGAGATGACGGTAGGAGCTTCCATGGGCCCCATGGTCTTGCTCCTTGCTGCCTTCACAGGATACTACTATTGCTTCTACACCAAGCGCGGCCTCAGCACGGTTGTCAAGCCTATTATGAATGGCGAGAAGAAGAAGGACTAGTTGTCCGCGGAGTAGTCCAGCAAGACTTCATGCTTGCATAGATACAAGTATGCATATGGAGATGGATTCCACAATGGCTTTGCCCTATGGATTGTGTGGTTTTGCATCCTGAACCTCAGCCTGCCGGAGGGGCGATGGTGAGGTTTTTATAATGAGACCAATGAGAAGAAGAAGGACTAGTTGTCTACGGAGAAGTCCAGCAAGACACCATGATTGCATGAATACATGTACGGAGAAGATGTTTCCACAATTTCTTTGCATCCATCCTGAATGAAACATGGCAGAATGATGAATTCAATCGAATCGAACCTACTTGGCCTACCCGTGGTGATCTATCATGAAACAACATTCCTGTACTGGTACCTCGTTATCTAGATAACTAAATAATTCATAACACCAAGGTTTGTGTAAACAAGTGAGTGACCTTTTTGCTGCCGGGTGATCAACTTTGTCTTGGCACTAACATCGCTCTTTGGCATACAAATGCTGCAGTAGAAGACGGCTTGCTTTCCCGCGGAGAGGCGGCCTGACTTTCTGAACATTTCGTTCTTCTTGCGATAGTTTACTGGCCTCGAACAATACAACGCAGTTGGTACCGGTAGGAGTGAGCGGTGGTATCAGCCCTTGTTGGGGCTTGGAGCACCTCAATACTCAGTAGTAGAAGCGAAAGACTTGTCTTTATCTTGATTGGTCCATCCGAAGGAGTTGCTGAACTGAAATCCATCGTTGGCTCTGTATTAAAAGCTCTAGAAAGAGGAAAGGCAGTGTCGATTCATAGCCATTTGAAATTCGAGATTCTTTAGTAGAGAACCCGCCAATTTATCGACACGACCCACATACGACAATCACCATGTCTTTGAGTAGTAGCAGCAAGGGTGCGGGGCGTCTTTTGAGTGATTCCTCCTCTCCGAATGTGGGTTATCCAGAAGCCTTTTATGCTCACACGCACAAGACACCTGAGCGCAGCAATCGACAACGGAAGCTACCCACCCCGCCCACGGATCCCATCACACCCGACTCCAATAATGGCAACAGCAACCGAAGAAGTAGCGGTCCTCCTGGGAACCGGGTAGTTGGACGCTTAAGGCCAAACCAACTGAACCTATTTGCCGGAAGCAGCGGTAGCAGCAATCCGAGTGTCAGTGGAGGGAGCGTTAGCGGTAGCACTGGTAGCAGTGGAGGCAATGGAAACGTGGGGAATGGCTACAGTCACATTCAACAGCAAATCCAACGACAATACCAGCCACAGCAACCGCCAGCTGCTCGTAGTAGTATCCAGGAAAGCACCGGCAGCAGTAGCAATCGAAGTGTGGCATCTGTGGGTTCCACTGCTACCTTGGCGGCTACCATTCCCTCCTCTCATGTCAACATTATCACTCAAGCTTACGGCAACAACGCAGATATCTACGAGGATATACTCAAAATACCAAGACAAATGACCTCGGAGCGTGAGATTCGAATTGCCTACTTTAGAAGAGGGAGACAAGTCCTGGCAGAACGACCCAATGCGCTACTGGGAAGTAGCAGCGTGAGCAGCGCTAGTAGCAAAGTCAGCACCAATGTGTCACACCTGGCCAAGATGAGGTTTCAAGCAGTCAGTATGGCCTACGAAATCTTGTCCAATCCAGCTTGGAAGGAATCCTATGATCTATACGGTCTTTATGGACCAGATGCCTTTCAAGAACCAACCGGAAGTGCGTCCATGTTGGCTGAAGATGCTTCCTTGGCGGATCCAACAGATGTGGCTCAGAGAAGGATACTATCGGCATCGAGTAGTAGCAGTGATCATTCAATTCACAGGAGTGACAGCAGTGGCAGCAGCAAAAAGCCTGATCCAGAAACTGCGCTTTCCAACGTCAGGACTACTCCTGACGAGGACAATGTGTCCAAGGCATTGTCACCCAAGAGTCCTCATTCTGACACATCTATGCAACCTGTGCGACAAGAACGTCAAACGCAGCAACCCAAACGTAACAGTGCAATACTACAGGCTTGGCAACAACGGCAGCAGAGAACCTTGTCGCCCTTGACTGTATCCACTCTAAAGGCATCGCAGCGCCAACAGCACGGCTCCTTGTCACCTACAAGTCCCACCCAAGAGTCTTCTTCACAGTCTGCATTACAACAGCAGTCGTCCTCGTCGCCCACAACTCATGGTAGTATTTCTCCATCGGCGCAACTAGCTGAGCAAATGTCATCGTCGAGCCTCGACACTGCCACTGCAATACAGGCTTTGCAGCTGCAACTGCTGGCATCCTTGTCATCGACAAGCGCGGATGCCCCCACTCCAATGTCAACAAGAGAGCAACAGAGGGATGTGTCTCCGGCAAATGTCAATTCCCCCATTCTACAACCACAAGAACAGCCGCAAGACTCACAACCTAACCCAAGTCCTGTCGACACGGCAATGCCTTTGCACGGACGACATCAGCCACAGCCAGACTCTTCGCAGGGATCCTCTCCGCCGCTTAGTAGCTCGGCGGTTGTTGCCATTGGCACGGGTAACAGTCCAATCCCCAATTATCCATCCATATCTCCATCAACGACTGCAGTCGAAAACAATATGAACGGTGACAACCTGTCTTGCGTTAGTCAATCCACGACGGGGACAGCGTCTTCTGGTGGGGTTCTGAGAAAAACGGGAAGTTTCTTGGAGAAACTTAACAAGAATAGATCGAACGGGCGGAAGAAAAATGGATCGTCGGGGCAACAAGCTGTGCAGACAAAAGATGTCACCAATGGACCCGAGCTTCCGCCAGTTCCATCAACTACAGTTCGATGGAATGAGGAAGTGGAAGAACTTATCTTTAGGCAAGATCCCGATGAAATCTCTTTCAAGGCTGGGATGACGACGGTGCCTGCCGAATCCACCAGCGATCAAGAAGCCGACAAAAGCCAAGAGGTGCAACTACCACAACCTCCCCAAAGGCAACCGCAGCAGCAGCAGCAGCAGCACGAGTACAAGCAAAGCATGTCTAAGCCGACATCGACCCCTGCATCAAATCCAGCAGCCACACGTGCTTTAGACCTCAGGCAGCGACAACAAGGATATCCTCCCAATAGCGCCGGCGACGGCGACGGCGCCCGACGTTCTGGTGCTCCACGACCTCGGATTGAAGGTCGAGATTCAGGTGGAAAACAAAGGGTTGTCTTGGATACTGCAGAGCTTGGATCTCATTTGAAGAAACTGGACAAAGTAGCAGACAGCATTGCAGGGATCTTTGACGAGTTGGAAGCAAGCTTTGATGACCTGCTGGGAGGGTTAAAAACGAGCCCGACTGCTGCTGGTGCCAACGATGGTAGTCCCAACCCTGCGTTCCAGGCGCCTATGGCCTCATCCAAGCTAGAGCAACCCCAATTGCGGGATGGTGTGCAACAGCAACACCAGCTAGGAAGTCAGCCGCCCCTGCCGTCTAGAAGACGCATCCAGGCACAGGAAGTTCCCCCGGGAATCGTATCCAGCAGAATTAATGCCCAGACGCAGGGGTTTGTTGACTCGACGCAGAAACCAGCAGGAAAGTCGGGACGACACTTTGAAGAAGCATCGTATCATACTCCACCTACTCCAATTGGCAGCAGCCAGTGGGTTGGTCAGCACCAGCAAGGTGACGTCGGGACAACCAAACTCTCTCGACAGGAAGAGTTGGAGGTGGAGGCACAGGCAATGGCTCTTCTTCGAGAGATTTCAACCAGCGAATCGATGCCTCCTTCGGATGTTGTGGTCAAGACAAAGAAGAGCAAACATCTATCTCTCCATCATCAGTCGAATGCGCAGTTTCATACTGTACCCGAACACAGCCATCATGAACATTTTGGTGCCGATGAGACGGAATCACCCCTGGCCTGCGATATGACTGCGGGTGGGGAGAATACTACCGTTGCAACATCAGTGGTGTCTTTGTTGGATGCAGAGAAGCATTCGAATGCGCCACTGAAACCAGCTGCAACGACGGGTGTTCAGTCAAGTCGAAAGCGTCTAAAGCACTTGCAACGTCGCCGTCAACAACAGCAACGTGCCAAAGAGAAGCAGCCAGATTTCCAGAATGATGACGATGTCATGATCTCTGTAGGAAACAAAGTTAAACTGTGGAGTCAGAATCAGCTTGCAAATCCAGCAGCCGAAGAATCGGAAAAGCACAAGAAGGACTCGAGAAAAAAGAAGACGGAAGACCAGTACTTCGAATCTTTGTATCAGAACTTCTTCTTGCTTCCAAAGGAGCGACTGCCCCATGAAATGACTGTCCGGATGAAGCCCCACAAGTCTTCCTGTTCTGTCAGTACCTTGAGTCACAGCGAATTCACCGAGCAACTCCCCACAGGCGACTTTGACTTGGAGGATTTTGATCCATGGGGTGCTGCCGGTAAAGATGTCAACGTGGAGAAGGAGCGTCGAGCAAAGCACCATCGAGAAGTCTTGGCTCGTGTGGACAAAATGCTGGAGGATCGAAATTCGGTTTCGGGTGTGGACACCACATTTGATTCGAGCTTTCCCGACGACGATGGGGTCAATACGTCTTTCGACTCCAATACTGCCGTCGACACAAGCTTCGAGTCATCCGCAGTCGACACTGCTTATTCATCAGCGCTAAGCCCCCGAAGACCCTCAGCGATGAACGGATGCGAAACCACCCCCGAACAATTCTTGAACAGCGTCTTCAATGTGCCCATTGAAGCACCTCTAGAGTTCTGGTGTGGAGAGCTGAAGGATTGCGCGTCGTCGACCAAACCTAGCAAGGAAAAGCGATTGATTAAACCTTCCAGACCGGAAAAACAACAGAAGCCCAGAAAGAGCGCAAGGAAAGTGAGGCCGCAGCAAGATCCAGCCGGCAGCAATTCCAGCAGAGACGACGATGATGAATCGGTGGATGAACCAAACAATCCGATTGACGAGACAATCACTCTTCTTGACCCACCAACACATGACAGCCGCATCGACTTGTCGAGAGGCGACGACTCCACGTTGAACACTCTGAATACGAACAACCTCGACGAAGTAGAAGAAGAGGAGCCGCGACGAACGGCGATCGACCCTTCGACTTCTCCTGTTCCGACGGGCATTACAGGCATTGATCCTTCTGTATGTTCACCTATGGGTATCGACCCGTCCACTGCAACCTCCCCTGTGCCCAGCTTGGACGGAAGCTTCTTTGTTCGAAGTCCAGGGATTAAATCTCCGAAGGAAGCAGAAGAAGAAGACGCGACGGATCCTTCGGAAGACGTCTACGCCGCCCACTTCGAAGTGATTCAAGAATCCGGTAGCGACGACACTTTAGACGAATTGGCACAATGCGGCTCAGATTCGAATCCAGAGATGATCAAATCCGCTCAAGAGGAAGAAGAGCGGGAAGGAGCGTCTTCAGTGCCGACTCCGGATATTGAATATGACCAAAGCATCGACTCTGGGAGCGTCGTTGAACTCGTCCCTTCTCCCTCGTCTCTTTCGGCTAGAGGAATCGAGATTGATTCCGAGTTTCCAAACCAAGATCAATTGATGGACGATGGAATGGATTCCTCAACAGCTTCAGCAGCCGTTTCGGGCAAGAGATCACCATCATCTTCTTCCATGATGGCGCACCTCTTGAAGTATGTCGAGACGGCCGCCGAAGACAACCCTTCTCTGGCCTGCCTCAGGGCCAACTTGAGTTGTGGGTTCGAAGCATGGCGGGCATCAAATGCTTGTCTGGAAGCCATGGTGATATCCGACGAAGACATGTCAGGGGTATTGGATATAATTGAGCAGGAGATGAAGGCGATGCCCTCGAAGACATCATCCGAATAACCACGATCACGCAGGGATTGATTCATCATTCAGTTTTGGCAAAGGCTCCAATGTTCTCGCCTTTGTTAAGCATTGGTTAGCTAGGCTCACACTACTAGAGGCTAACTTGTAGAAGGGAACGATATAGAATGTTGAAATTAGACTCACTTGCAAAACAAAGCATATCTGGCTATGATTGCTCCTAGTAGCTACTATCAATGGACCCAGACGCACAAACTGGCAAACCTTGGAGACCAGCAGCCATCAAAAAATTCTCGGAAACCTTTACCTGTCCTCGGTGCTATATTTATTGGTATCGTAGATTGAAGGTAAGCGCTGCTAAAGGTTCCTACTAACTAGGCAACGGCAGGGTGTGTAGCCGACGGCGGCCACTTCCCCAACACTCTCGCCCAAACGGTGGAAGCCGTCGCTGCGCAGCTGACGCGGACCCGTTTGTTTGCCCCTATCATTTTCGGTGTTTCATTCTGTTTTGCTGGCCACCACAACACGACCTCAGCGCACATGCAAGCGTTTGGTAATGTAACATGGCCAACCTGCTCCTGGCTACTCATTTACCTCTTTCCCAGACATCAAGAACCACGTACACAAACACGAGCCGCCTGTGCCGATTCCCCCCTCCGCAGCAGCTACAATGCGATCTCGTCGTGCTTCTGGAAGATTGTGTTATTCAACTACAGTTGTTATCTTTGCCCGCCGTACCTGCTGTTGTTCGTACCCGACTGTTGTGTCTTGAGCATGAGCAGTTCAGCATTTTGCCATTCTCCATCGTCGTCTTGCTTCTTTGGCGGTGGAGGCGGCATGGCTGCAGCCATCAAGGAGTGTAGGTTTGCATCGTTGTTCTCGCCTGGTTCGCCTGCGCTTAATTGTGACATTTGAGAGACGTCTCGTTGGAACCTCATGTTTGGAATTGCGAACGAAGAAGGAAAGTTTTGGGTTGGAAGCGGCACTGGCTCTGGTACACCGCTTTGCACAAATGACTTCATTTTCTCCCATTCCAAGTTTTTGTGTTGACTCCGCTGCGCACTTTGTTCTTCGTCGTCTGATTCTGTATCGCTGCAATCCAACAAGTTCACAGAGGATCGATTCTGCTGGAATAACGTTGGGAGTGTGTCGGTCGACTGGGCTGCCTTGGGTCCAGATGGCGGCGGTGGCATAATATTATGTTGATTCTGCTGAGGATCGTAGGGTTCTTCGTTTGTCGTTCCAAGAGTCATGGAACCAAAGCTCATTCCAATACCGTCTAAACCACCATCTACCATATTGGGTGTCATGTTGAAGCTCATGGCTGACCCGAACGACACACCAGTGGCTTCTAATTTGGCGTCTCCTATGCTCATGAGCGAGACGGATCCGAACGAAAGTCCTTGCGGCTCCAGTCCACCCTCTGGTGGCGGCGCGAACTTTGCCATATCGTCATCGGACATTTTGCCAAAGTTGGATGGCATATGTCCATGCTGTGCGAGTTGTTGTTGCTGCTGTTGGTACTGTTCCATGAACTGCTGTTGCTGCTGTAAGTATTGATGTTGTAGGAACTGTTGATGTTGGCGTTGAGCACTCATGATGTTGTTATTGTTGTTATTGCCATGTCCCACCGCGTTGTTGAAGCCCATGCCATTTCCATATCCGCCACCTTGTTGTAACTTGCTCATTTCGTTTTCCGTCATCATGATGGACCCGACCGACCCAAAGCTCAGCCCCCCCGCTTCCAGACCATCCGGAGGCAGGGCGAGTCCGTCCAGTTTCTGATCGAACTGCTGAAACTGGTTCTGCTTGGATTTGTTGTTGTCATGGTTGTTGCTCCCGTTGGCCTTGCTCTTTTGATGATGCTGATCGCCCGAGGAGTTGTTGTTGTTCTGATTGTTGTTATTGTTGCCTCCCTGCTGATTCTGCATCATGGCCGAAGGCGGTACCATGGACATGACGGGTACCATCATTCCTTGCTGGTTCATCATCATGGTAGGATACATGGGCATGGGACTCATATTGGGTCCAGCAGCAAAGTATACGGGTGTCCCATTCATCATTTGCTGTCCTGGTTGCATCATATGCGCCATTCCATTCTGCATCATGGGCATCATTCCAGGCATGCCTTGTGGGAATTGCTGTTGTTGTTGCTGGAACTGCTGCTGCTGCTGTTGTTGATGCTGTTGTTGTGCCTGACGTTGCTGCTGCTGTTGTTGTTGTGGTGATGGTTGTCCATTTTGCTGCTGCTGATGATTTCGAGTCTGATTGGAGTCTTGCTGCTGAGCGGCTGGTGGCGTGGGGAGAGGCGGTCTCATGGCAGGAGGTGGCATAGAAGAGGGTGGCATAGAAGAAGGTGCTTGTGGTGGAAGACTAGGTCCCGAAGCAGTGGCAGTAACGGGTCCCGACGGAGGAGGCAGAACCTGTCCGACGGAGGATGTGGTGGATGTTTGCTGTGCTAGTTGAGGCGCATTCACCGTTCCCGAGGCCGCTCTGGAAGGAGGATTGCTCGGTGCATCCGGTTCGGACGGTGCTGGACTCTTGGCGCCATCGTCACTGCGAGAATCGAGGGGTACTCCAGTTACACTGGACTTGCTGGTGCTTCTAGCCGGTGGCTTGTCGTCCTTCAATTTGGTCCTCAACTCCGGTGCTCCTTCTCTCAGCGCTTGCGACGTCTTTTCTTGCGCGCGCTGATCTCCAATGTCATACCAACGATCTGATTTGGAATCTTTCTGCAAAAAGCGTCCTGGTGGATTCTGACTCCTCACGGCGTGAACGATACTTCGACTCAGCAGCATTTTTTGACGTTTGGGAAGAGTCACGTAAAGCTGCTTGTTCGCCGCCACCAACATTCGCCAATGAGAATTTCTACGTACACCAGCAATAACCCAAATCAATAGAAGAGACCAAACAGAAGAGACCAAATAGAAGGAGTGAGTGAGTTGAGCTGTATCGAATAAGAAAAACACACTCGACTCGACAGATGCTGCGGTGGTCTCGTCCTCTCTCTGTAGGCTTCTAGCTACTAGTAGCTAGTAGCATAGAGACCCACAAAGAGACAGACAGCCAACGACAGCACCCAAAGAGAACTGACTAAATGGCACGCACCCGATCCAATTGTTGGAACCGCCACCTCTCCCGCACAAAACATCGTGCGGATGAGGATGAGGGATATCCTTCAGAGGGTAATCTCCCAGATTCGTGCTCTCCACCGAGTCCACCATGATCGGACGGTCAACTACAATCTTGCTATCTGCCGCTCTCTTTAGCTTTGCAGTCTAATGAATGATATAATGTGTGATAGTGTGTTGTTGTAATGTATGTATGTGTCGTCGTAATAAGGATGCGACTTTGTTGTGGTAAGTTCTCAAGTCCCAATAGCTTTCCTCACTCGCACAGCCAGCTAGCTCTACTAGTAGCCAATAGGCACCGTCGTGTGTTTCAGCCGCTGCTTCTAGTAGCACGTCGTCCCCGACATTGTCGGACTCTTACTGCATTCCTTGCTGCGGTTGCCTTGCAAAGCAGCATGCATGCCGTGTCTTGGCCATGTCGCACCACAACGCCTGGCACGCTGGATCACGACACGACCTGTGTGTACAACTGGGATTGACCCAGTCCACAACCAGAAGCAGGACCTTCGATCCTTGTAAGCTGATGCAGTTAGCATTGTCGACCCCCGGAGCGCTAGGAAATAGGACAGGGGTATGAAGAGGCTTAAAGGGGGGTGAGCTAGGAAAGTGTGTTAGAGGGATATCCCCCAAATCAGTCCACTGGTTACGGATGTGGAATGAACAATGTTGAATAGATGAGACGTATGCAGCCACCATCCCACCAACAACCGAACTGTGATCCACTGCTCTGGGTCAATGGTACTAGTCTACCAGAACCCAAGATCCCAAAGAGGAAAGCTTTAGTGCTATCTAATCAGGGTATCTAATCAGAGATTTGCGGCTCGGGTAGTCTTGGTGAAGCAATTGCCTGAGGTATAAGATTCGAAAGCCTGGTCCATACCAGTGCAGCCATGTACCGGTGTATGCAGCCACGTCGAGGCGGAATCGAATCGAATCATAGTACGGTATTGCTTCCTTACATCATTCTTCTACTTAGTATCTTCGGTTCATGAGCTACGGGTCGTTGAATCCAGGACCAAACAGTCCGCACCTCCTTTTGGCTTTTTCCAGCAAAGCTTCACCCCGAGGGTCCATAACCCTAGCTAGAAGATATGGGGGCATGTTGCTGCTGCCTTCCTGAAACAAATCTTTGGTTATTGGCCGCTCCAACGGTTCCAATAGGCGGCTATTACGTAGAAAGGGCCGTTGATGGCTCTTTTGTACTTAGTCAGTGCTCCTTATTCATCTTTAGTGATGAAGCTCCAACATAACAACCGCTTTCCAAAAAGCCGCGGAAACATCTACCGGAGCTTTGAAGCTCTTCAAATACCGCGGCACTTGGAGGGGCTGGGAGCGCTGTGGACTCACTCTTGCGACTCCTGTGGAAGGATCTTTCTCAAGTCCCACGAAGCCGCCAAGATTCATCCTTCCAACAAACCAAAGATATGGCTTCATTTCACGTTCTGTCGCTCGCATTGAGAATAGGGCTCACAAAAAGGCCATCACCCACAACAAAAGAAAGAATGAAAGCAAAGACTTCTTTGCTTACACTTGCTTTCCTTTCCTCTCCCGCGCGCTCCTTCTCGTCCCACTCTCGCCGAGCGTTCGTAGCTTCAGCTGCCATCCATTCTTCTTCCTGCCCATCCACTACGATGACCGCCAACACCGAAGAACGATCTGGCCAGACGGGGAAAATCTGGGATAGATTTGCCGAAGGATATGCCAAGAGCCCCATCGGAGATATGGAAGCATACCAAAAGAAACTTGAAATCACACAAAAGTACCTTCGCAAAGACATGCAGGTGCTGGAGTATGGTTGCGGAACTGGTGGAACCAGTTTGATTCATGCACCTTATGTAAAGCACATCTTGGCCACGGATATCTCCGGAAAGATGCTGGAAATTGCAAAGACGAAACAACAAGAAGCAGATGTCAAGAATGTTGAGTTCCGGCAGACGTCGATTGATCAACTGGAGCTTCCCAAGGAAAGCCAGGATGTAGTGCTAGGGCTCAGTATCCTTCATTTGCTGAAGAATCGAGATGAGGCAATCGCAAAAACGCACCAGTGGCTGAAACCAGGAGGACTATTTGTTACCTCTACAGTCTGCATTGGTGAAATGGGGGCAGGTGCCAAGTTCTTCATCAAAGCCCTTCTTCCTGTCGGTCAGTTCTTTGGATTCGCGCCACATGTGAGCGCCTTGACCAAGGCAGACTTGAAAGAAAGCTTGGTCAAGACTGGCTTTAGCATTGAGTACGAATGGCAACCAAAGGATGATGCAGCCGTATTTATCATTGGAAAAAAGGCAGACAAGTAAGTAGGAGTCCTACTCAAGTAGGTCATCAGTAGCAGCCCGAAACAAGTATAGCGTAATCAAATCTAAGTTTGTAGGTTTTATCATCAATTAGTTCTGCTTTTCTTATCCGCTGAGTACTGCAGAAATGCGCCGCAGTGAAGACCAAGCGCTGGCTTGAATCCGAAGGTTCCTCTGCCTTCAACTTGGTTCGTTCTCCCCTGCATTGCACTGCCATCAATCCAGGGAACTGTGGACATCACCCAATTCAGCAAACGTTCGTTTCAGAGCCAAAAACCCCACGCTAGCCTAGCTAGCGTTGGGGTGCACAACTGGTTTGTAGTAAAAGATCTATTGATCAAAGACATTCAATCCCTTCTCAAAACGATAGGTGTCTCGTTCAGCCTCTGCAGCAGCCCCTCGCCATTCCTCCGCCCAGTTTGCACCTGCAGGAGGCACGGGTCTACCAGCAATGACAGCCTCAATATCATCCTTGATATCTAGTGGCATGTATTTTCTGGGATAGCGTCTCAAAGGAAGCCCACTCCTGCCATCTAGCAAGAACTTTTCAAAATTACCCTTTGCAAAAAGGAGCCAGACACATTGTAAGAAAAAGTAGATGATGTCATTACACAACACACAAACAAGGCTTACCTGAACTCTTCCAAGTCCAGCAGGTGTCCTGGAAGTTCCCTCCAACCACCTCCAGAAAGGATGAGCTCCAGTACCCAGAAGGTTCACCTTGTCAGTAACAACAGAAGCAGGGTTGATACCATATCCGTACTCTGAAGCAAGTTTCAAACGGATCAATGTGGATGTGTCCGGTTCAAAGTATCCTTGTTCTGTTGGACAGCAAACAACCACAAATTCACCATTTCGCCCATACCTAAAGGTGAGAGAGAATTAAACGCAATAACTCTGATTGTGAGAATGCAAATGACCTCCTAACGGGGAAAAAATGTCAAGACGAGAGTAACATCTCCAAAATTTCACTCACTTGGTGACGAGGGAAATCAGTTCTGGAATGTCCTTGCGAGCCACTGGATCGTCTTGTTTGATATTCACCACAAGAATAGCCTTCACCTTGGCATTGTTTCCAGATTCATCAAATTGTTGTCGGACAATATCCGCGAGAGATTTGTCAGCCCCCTCTATGGGCAAGGTAAAATCATACATGGTCTTGTCGGTCTTGCGAACTTCCGATATGGAAGGGGCTGTGTCTAGTTCTTTTGAAATTTTGTTGGCACGGGCAGCAATCTCTGCAAAGCTTTCTGTTTCAGCTGCCAATGACATGGCGGGAGGGACCAGTGCGGAAAGAAGACCACTTGCACCCACCAGACCAATGCTGGATACAACGCTTCTTCTGGAAGGAGTTTCCATATCGTCATCACTGGTTGATGTTTTCAGAACACTTTCTCTTGCTGTGCCGTGAGCCCTCACGGAAACCATATCGGGAGAGAAGGATAGCACTTGTGGAAGTAGATTTAATGCACTGGACAAGGAAAGTGCCAGAAAAAGTGATCGGAATGCCCACATGGTGGAAAGCTGGCTGAGTACAGAGAGAATTTGCTTTGCGGTGTGGCTTGTGCCTCGAGCTAGCTAGCAAGTAGACTGTTTCGATAACTTGAGTTGTGGCCGGTAAGATCTGGTTGGGAGTCGAAGAATGAGGTTCAGGCTTGCAACTTGCAATGGATCTATCGTTCACATCCCTCACTTTTCTTGGTTGGAAACGGCAGTGGTACGTCAGCCAACAGCCGACCACAGGACGTGCTGAGTCATGAGTGGCGAACCTGAATTTCATTCCTCCACTTCCACGCACAGTACCGGTACCGCTATGTGTCAATACTCATACAGTAATAATTGTGCTCCTCGCCAGGTAGCTGGTCAGGCTAGCTGCTAGCTAGCTACGGTAGGATCTGTACCGGTAGCCACATTGCAAATCTCACTAAGAGAGTAATACAAAAGATCAGCTACAACATAGAGAGCAACTCATGAACTATGTGCAAATTCCAAATCTTCTTTTCGGAAGGTCTCTGTCGTTACGTAGCTGGTGGGCACTAGACAACACCCCTCTCTGGCTCGGTTTCTGTTTTCAATTGTCAGGTCTAGTAGGCTGGGTAGCAAAGCAAGACTTCGACAACGTCATTCACATGGTACCGAGTAGAGGGACGTCTCCAAGTAGTCCACCACTGACGCTAACCGGGACGCTTACAAGCCAAACATTTTGGGGAATTGTAGTGCGGGAGCCTTATTTTGCTTGGACCCCTTGGCGGATGCCTCCTTGGCAATGCTTAGAACATTGTTGATATCAGGATGATCTCCTGGTAACCGGTCACTCCATCGGTAAACAATTTCGTCCCCGTTGACCACAAAGGTGCCTCCTAATCGCAAAACTCCTTCAGGGATATCCCCAAACTTGAGACCGTCGGGGATGGGTGATACCTTCATCACAGTTGTCATATAGTCCCAAGCTCCTTTCCAACCTAGCTGAGGTGCCTCCATGTTCTTCAGGCCTTCCTTGGCAATTTCGTCACCTTGGTCGTCAAATCGTCCAAAGCCAGCAGCCTTGTAGGCTCCAAAGCTATAGTCGTCCACCAAGGCGTCATCTCGGTCGACGTACTGATTCTTGTCGAGAAAAATCTGTAGCTTTTCAGCGTCTCCAATCGAGACAAAAATGGGACCTTGAATACCATCATTATTCAAGTCCTCTTGTTGCTGGAGCTCACACCAAGACTTGGCATATGCCCAGCAGTAGGGTCACCCGAGGTGTCGCAAGAAAACCACAATGGAGGTTCCGGGACCCATTTTGTCGCCCAAGGTGACGGATTGACCATTGACATTTGTCAATACGGCGGAGCGCAAGACTTGAGCCGTAACACCCTCGGGGATTTCTACATCTGGGGTATCACAGGGTGCTGCGTTTTCCGTGCTACCAGAGCTTTGGTGCAATAGGGAGCTTGTGGGAACAGAAACGCCATGACGGGAAATGGGAAGGCTTGGTTGGAATGCGTTGGTAGCTGATGCAAACAATACAGCCACCAAGGCGGCGGTAATTGAGAACAACCGCATGCTGTGGATGATTTATTTGTGATCACTAAAATGATTTGAAAGTCATGATTCCAATTTCCAGGATACATGCAACCAAGGCGTTGGTTCAGTTTTGAGAGTTCGATGGGTTGCATGATGTTTTGTCAATGCGACTGACTCAGTCACTCATCCATGCGTGGCGCAATCGGTAGTCGTACCAGTATCCTCTTCGATTACCGGCTCCAACACTAGCTAGCTCATTCCGACCCAGCAGAGGCCAACGGTGCGGTAGAGTCACCTATTCGTGCACATCATTGTAACCACAAACACTTACTGTACCGTACAAGCCAGAGCTGGCCCCACAATGGATGCTACTATGATTATGAAATAGCCAGTACAACTACGACTGTACAACTACAACTACCACGAAGAAGACATGATTTTTGTTTGTAAAGATTGTCTACTATGAGTTATTATTCTATGTTTATGTAAGGTTGTATTTTTAAGATTGTAGCATAGCATCAACAATGATAGAGGTTGGTTGTCAGGTGTCACGGGTATTAACTTTGGACTTTCGTCTCGTGGAGGACGTTCGGACAAGCACTCTGCAATAGAGGCTGCCTAGCACAGGAACCACAAACCTGGCTACCTTATATGTGACCCTTCAATTGAACCAACTGTATTCATCTCCGCAATTGTTGTATAGCCCTGCACCCCACCAGATGCTTGCTCCTTGTGTATTGTAATAATGTGTTAGTAGTTCCCCCAATCCATCGTCGTTGCCGCCCCCACTCACCTGTTGTCCTAACCTGGAATGTACCGGTCAGGCTTTCGTACTCGCCGTCCCGAACGACTTGTTGTTGTTGTCTGAACTGTTGTTTGCTGCTGTGTGTCCGTCACAGGTCTTGCTGTCGACTTCTTCTTGCCCTTCGCCTTTGGCTTTGTCGGCTTTTTCTTCTTGCTACATTTAATTCTAGGTTGTTCTGCCACCCGCCGTGGCTTTGTCTTAATTTGCTCTGCGATTCTCTGAGATGCAATCGCCGCCATGCGTCTCTTTGACCGCCGCAATGTTGATTGTGATGTGTCCACATCATTGTTCTCCTCTTTGACTTGGTTGTCGACCAGTGGTTCATCAGCATCAACCTGTTGTTCTTCCTCGACCTCGACCAGTGGTTCTTCAGCTACCACTTGGCCAGTCACGAATTCGTAATCTGTATCGTCCGAGGCAACGCCTGCCTCCAATCGTAGTGTCTTGTGCTGCCGCATGAATTCCTTGACAAGGACTCCACCATCCTTCATCAACCCTGCGAGAATGTCGTTGGGTGCCACTCCAAGTAGCACACCATTCATCATTCGCATCTCCAATACAAATGGCTGTTGTCCAAGCACACTGATCTTGAAGTGTTTCACATGCCACTTTTGAACGTATGGGACCACTGCTGTGCATGTGGGAACCACCGCAGCTTCGCATGTGATCGTGGCATCGGATGCCATCTTGTTGTTGTCAATGGTGGAGACTGTTTCTATTGCCTCAACATCTTTAGCTGTTGTTGGTTGTTGTTCTACTACTACGGGTGCTGCATCTTCCATGCAGACTTCCTTGACCTTGCGATAGACAAATCGTCGTTTGGCAATCTGTTCTCGCGTATTCAAGGTGCAAATTTCGTCGTCAGCGTTGCGCTGAATTCCACCATGATGCAAGTGGCACATGGCGAGTTCGAACATGTAAGGGTTCTTTTCGTTGACCATGAACCAGTGCGAGACTTGCTTGTCGTTTCCTTTCTTCGCCTTGATGAAACGAACAAGTGCCTCAAGGTCTTGATGCACGGCATCAATTTGAATGTACAGTTTGGCTTGTTTTAGGTACGCTTTGTCGCTTTGGAACCATAGGTTGTTGGTGATCCGTTTGGCCACTTGTTGGTATCCGTACTCTTGAATCAACTGCACGATATCCAAGACGCGTTCGTGGGGTGTGGGTGTGCCGACGGAAAGGAATTGTTGTTGGGCTTCATGCCAGAATTCGTATCGGGCCTGTGGCACATGTTGGTTCATGGCTCGATAGACACAGCTGTTTTCCTCTTGTTCGCTCTTGTCAGAAGAGTACCCCACTACAGTGTTGACGGGAGCAAAGGATAAACGGTTTCCATTGCTCCGTTCGGTATCTTGACCATAATAGGCCTTCCAGCGAGCATTGGCTGATTGACTGGGTTTGATGTGACAGCCCTTGGGCCGGTGCTGGTTGTATTTGTCGTATCCATAGTGACCATGCTGATCCGCAGGAACCAGGGAAAGGTCGTAGGCACCTAGGTAGCGACCGTGCTGCTGGAATTCCACATCAGGATGCTCTCCGTGCAACAGTGCCGCGGTCTCAACGACCGACTTGTCCAACTCGTCAAGTTGGAATGTTGGGACTTCCTCTGCCACAGGAACATCCTTGTTGTTGTTGTTGCCCGTCATCTCCTTGGCGACCTGGAGAACGGGGGTCTTCTTGATGTTGCTGTTGTTGTTGTCAGTGGTCCACGACCACGAGATCAGCTTGATGATAGAAGAAGAGAACTTCATTTTGCAATTGATAGGTATTGAAAAGAAGATTGATAGAAAAGGTAAAAGTAGACTTGAATAAGGTCTGGGGGTTGAACTTGCCGAAGCGTAACAACAATCGTAAATCTTCCTTGTTCGGTTGGGTATGCAACTCTAGCAATCCGGTTGAACAAAAAAGTGAGCTCATCATGGTGACATTCCATTTTTCCACCCCAATTTGCAGATGACAGATTCTGCCAGATGGAAAATGACAGGTGATGAGACGAGACTGAGCCACTGATGAGCACTGATTCCAGCCCCATTACACCCCATAACACCCAACAACACACTTCCAGGGCCTCGCTCCCTTGCCATGGTTGGTGTTCTCGGATTGGTGCTCTGTGGTGTAGTTGCCGAAGCTGGTGTGGTGCTGCGGAAGGATCGAGGTTGCGGAGTTCGAAGCAGCGCGTAGCATCTGTGATGCCATTTACACGACTGAAAGAGTTAAAAAGCCGTCACGACTGGAATGACAGCGCCTCTGCGGACGCGGGGCGACGTCACGACTTCCTCACCACCAAAACACAGAAACTGCCTCCAAAAGGCAGAAGTTTTGCCTTCACTGGCTAGCTAGGTCTTGCGCCATGAGGACAGGTGGACATACCTTGCCCTTTCTTGGCATGGGCCAATTTGCCTTTTTTGCGCCAGTCAGCCACACTATGAAGGGTCTCTATGCAAAGTACCTATTGTGAAACTGTGAAGCATCCTACAATTGCAAAACCTAGTTAGATACTGCGGCCAGGAGCGACCCGCAGCCACTACCGATACATTCTACTCGCGCGTTTTTCTCCAGTGTACCCCAGGCAGAGTACTGGAACCGCCACGACCGCCAGTCTGGTGAACGGATTCTTGACAGTTTTGTTTATGCCAAAGCTGCCAAGGTTGGTAATATTCAAGTTCTTCAATGGTTCCGGACTAAAGGATTGGGTAGGAATTTTCCTTTCAATCTTCCAAAAGAGGTATTCTTCCGATTCATCTGGTTAGCTACCTGGTAGCTGGTTAGCTACCTGGTAGCTCGTTAGCTACCTGGTAGCTAGTAGCTATGTCACGTTGCGGGGCGCCGATAGCCTAGCTAGCTACTGTAGTAGCCTGATTTGCAGCTCCTCCCTACCGGTAGCTTGCGGTCCTTCGAAAGAGAGGGGGAGTTCGACCACACTACGGTACTGCGGTCTTTGTGTTTCGTGGCTTTCATGAGAGAAGCAGAGGATCCCACCGCAAGACCACAACGAAAGACGGAAGAAACCAAATCTCGACGACTGTACGTCCCACCACCGCGAGCGCTACCGGTAGTACGTCAACCCGCGGGGCATCGATAGTCTAGCAAAGTATTACGCATACTAACTAATAAAATCATTCATGTATTATTTATTGTGTAGGTGGGTTAAAAAGTACAACCGGCGGTCGGTTTCGCTCTGTTTGTTTGTTCATCTGTCAATCAATTAGTAAGCAATCAGCTAGCAAGCTAATGATGCGAGTGCTTGGAATGCCGGCTGCTGTTGAAACTAATGTTTTCGTTGAAACTCCTGGTTTGATCGTCAATGGATCCATGAAAGGACCCGCACATGCCATGCCTTCGACTGGCTTCCTGTTCTTCCCGTTTGAGTTCGGCACGTAGCTGTTGAATTTCACCCAGATCACACGAATGCTTGTGATTGTGATGGTGACAATCCTTATTCTTGTGATGATCGTGTTTCTTGTGATGCGATCCGGACATTCTTCGATGAAAGGAAGATCCTGCGGCGATTCCGGAATGATCCTTCATGCAGTCCTTTCCATCGGGGCAATGGTGATGACTGAGGGGCTTTGTCTTTCTAAAGACAAATTTGCGCCATTCGCCTTCTTGTGTGAGCATGTCCGAGCCAATGAGTTCTTCAATGATACAGGAAATTTCCATAAAGGAGGGTCGATTCTCCGGAATGGGACTCCAGCTATCCTTGAGCAAGTCATGCAGGAGTACCGAAGGCACAAACTTGAGGTTGGGACGGTAGCGTCCTCGAATGACCTTGTCCTTGAACTCGGAGACGAGTTTGATTTCGGAAAAGGGGACCTGTAGCGTAATGACTTCAAACAAGAGAATGGCAAAACTGTAGACGTCGGCGGAGAGTCCACACGGTTTTCCCATGGCATTTTCGGGACTAATGTAGCGCAACGTTCCCGCGACGCCGGTATTGCAGCGTGGCAAATTGGTGGTGGACTTTCCGTCGTACGCGACTTCCCGCGCGAGACCAAAGTCAAAGATGCGGACCTTGCCGGCCTTGTCGAATCCAATGTTGTGTGGTTTTAAACTGTGTGCAGTGAAGAAAATCGCAGTTGAGAGACCAGAATGATTCGATTCAATCCATCCACATGTTTTTCTGGGCTGACGAAAAACTTACTCTCTGAGCATAATGTTTTGTGAGTGACAGTACTCCATTCCTCTGACGACGCCCAAGATGGTGTCTTGCAATCGATCGACAATGCCTTGGAGTCGCTTTTGGGATTGTTTCTTGCGGTTGAAAATGGACATTAGCAAATTGTTTTTTTGAGATTCTTCTTCTCTCCATTTTTCGAGTCTCTGATCGAGCGTTTCCTCGAGCAAGTCCATGACGAGAAAGAAGCCACCGCCGGCCTGGGAGTTGGAGAATGATTCCGCAATACCGCCACCCTTGACACCGTAGATCTCAATGACATTCTCATGCCGCAGCTTGGACAGAATCTTGGCTTCGAGCGCGAGATCGATGGACCCGGTCATGAAGGATTCGTTGCAACAAATGGTTTCGGTAGAGAGTTGTTTCAACGCGTACAGCTTGTCCTTGGGATTCGGGTCGCCTTGTTTGCGGGCCAACGACGTGACCTTGCACTTGTACACTACCGAGAAACTCCCCGTTCCCAACACGGAATCGATCCGCACGTTGCTCCATTGCAGTTCCATGGGTTCTTCCGCACCCGGCAGAAGCTTCAAATTGGACGCCGCTTCAAACTCTTCCACGCGCTTCTCGACGGCGGCGGCGGTCTCTTTCAAGTGCGAGGGTCCCGCACCCGAACACATGACGGGAGTAATCATCTGTGTCATCGTGCTTTGCTTGGTTGGTTCTATCAATCGATACTACTAATACTACTACAACTGAACTCAACAACGGTATTCACACACACAGAACAAAGAGAGCGCTGGCGGGTGATGGATGGATGGATGGATGGATCTATGGGATCGAAGACAACAACAAGACAGCAGTTGCAGTCGGTACTGGGTTGGTTTGTTATTAGCTGGAGAGTGAGTAGCAAGCAGCAGCAGCAACAGTGGTAAGCGGCTCGACAGCGCAGCACTTTTGGCTGTTCATCGAAGAGAAAGCCTCTCGTCTTGAGCAGTGGGAGTCTTCTTTTACGTGATACAGTACGTGATAGCTTACCTGGAACTGGCCTTCATCTTCTAGCTAGCCTCATCTAGTAGCCTCGAATAGCCTGTTGTTCGGATTGCTTCTTTCAAATTGCCAGAAGTTTGGTCGTAGTCATAGGCTACATTCTCACGGTACTGCTATTCTGTCCAGGGGCCTATTTCTCGTATTCTCCCTATAATCCACAATCCTCCGAGTTTGCGGACACTGTGACCGCGATTGATATCAAGGCTTATTGCTGAGAACTCCAGTTTGGGACCAAATTTGTCTTTTACAGCTATTTACACGCGTACGCCGGCTCAAAGGGAAAGGCTTGAGACCATTATCGTTTTCGGATCATCGATGATTGATCACGAAATTGACGGATTGGATGAAGGGCAGACGCCCCAACTACCCTGGTACGGTACCGCTATGTCATGGTAATGGTACCACTGTACCATGCTAAAATTCCCTATGCCTGATGAGAAAAATGAAGAGACGAATGCCAAAGTAGTCCAGTCAGAAACTAAAATATATTGGCGAAGTCGCACCAAAGATCATCCAAGCAAATCAAGACTCGAGCTATCATACTCTGGATGGAGTAGAGTTTGTTTCGTTTTGTGTACCGGTAGGTACGTCTTGTTATACGGTACGGCGCGTCCAGCCAGCCAAACAAAACTACTACCGGTGCGTACTGGTGGAGCTACGGTGCGTGTACCTGATTTTCTAGAAGCGCACCACGCTGAACTTCGACTCCATCGCTCCTTCCTCATTTAAAACAGTACCATGCAACATTGGTGAACATGGTTGGATACTCTTTACTACATGTACATGTTCATGTAGACTACATGTAGCTTGCCCACTACTCCAACTCCTTCAGCCCCGGCTATGGTCTTCGTGCCCATTGATTGTCCCGGTAACTGTCCCGGCATCCACAATCCAGCCTGCATTGAAAAGGCTGTGTGAGTGAAGTGACCGACCTTCCGAAAAGTGCAAAGTGAAGCCCATACTCTAGCCTTAAAGCCTGTAGGCCATCAACGACTGTGTATTCTACGATCAGACCCTTAAACCTTCTGGTACCGCATGGGAGGCATGGTACTGGTTGCACTCAGTGATGACTGACTGGATGCTTTCTCCTTCAAGGTTGCATCCACTTTTTGGGTTTTCTTCTCTCTCCTTGCTCCTCCATGACATGATAACCGGCATATCTCTTCCTTTGTCACTCTTTGCAAGGCACAGCAACAACTACCAGTACTCACACTCCTATCTACTAGCTAGCTAGTAGCTATTCTATCTAATCACCATGGTCGACTTTCACCAACGCCGCCGCGTGCAACCGTCTCGGTCGCTGCCCATGTCGGCGCTGAACCAACGCGAACGGTCGGATCACACTCGCTCGGATGTGAAGTCTCCCGTGCAAGTTCGAGGACGCATTCGGACACTACGGACGACTTCCAATAATAAAAGCCAAGACAATGACGCTCCCAATCCGTATCGACCGTCCATGACTCGTCGAACACCACAACGAGCGCTCTCGCATTCCCGTGAAGCCATCATGGCCAGTGTCATGTCACACCAATCTCTCGAGCATGACGATGACAGAGACAACTCTCCTCGCGGCATGGATCGATCCAGCAGTCCCTCCAAACCTTCCACCAAGTCACAGCACGATAGCAGCAGCAGTATCTGTTGCAACACTTCCTCCCCGGAACGATGCCTGATTCCCCGTCGCCAACAACGCCGCAGTTTTGGCATTTTCCACGCTGTGCTCAAAGCCCTCGTGCTCATGATTGTGGGATTTGGTGGCGGCATTCTCTACAATCGTTACAATGGCGCCAGCAATAATAATGTCATTGACATTGAATCCATTCCCTCGGTCCTCTTGACGGATGAATTGGTCAAAAAGTTGGCCCACGACAATCAATTGCAAGAAGCCGAAATCCAACAACTCAAACAACAGGTCAAACAGGCACGCGTACAGGCATTGCAACGGGAAATTCAGCAGCAGACTACTAGCGGTGCTGGAAATAAAATGGAGACACACCAGGACATTCCCGAGGTCGTGTCGATGGGAGATGGCAAGGAATATAAAAATACCAAACACAAACAGCCGCCACAAAAACGCGTCATTAATGGGAGTTTGCGGGCCGTCAAACGATTGATCTGGGATGATTTTGGAAATGTCCAAGAAATGGATCCCAATGCGGGAGTTTCGGCAGCTGTGATGCAGAATCCACATGAAATTTTGCAACAACAACAAGCAGAGAATCAGCAGAAACAAGAAGCAGAACAACCACAGCAGCCATCCAAAGAGCCGCAAATAAGAGAACAGCAAACACAACAACAAGAACAACCTCCAAAAGCAACACAAGGGCACATTTATGTTCCCGAAACCAAGCACTCCATGAACGAACAAGAGTATCAGGAACATTATCATCAAGAAGAACAAAAGAGACGTCGTCAGCTCACCCCACAAGGTTTTCGCTAGCAGGAAGTCAGAAAAAGACACTACTGCCTTGCTTGGCCAACACTATTTATATATATATTTGTGTTGGGTCAAGCTGTACCGTACCAGCACTGATAGTATAGACACACAGTTTTGATTTCAATATTAGTAGCTCTCCAAGTGGTTAGTTTAGCTCAAAATCAACGAGGCGGCTAGCAAGAAGGGCTGTCTGGTGGGCACCCCATCAAATGATTAGCTAGCTCTGCAACCAGTTTATTCCGTGCCGCTACCTAGCTGGGGTCTACGGTACCTGCAATCAATTAATCATTGTCCTGACTGGACTTGACTTGACTTTTAGCTGAATTCCTTGTATCGTTCTTACTCACAAAGCAGAGCCAGTGCTGGGCTATTATTACTCAGCTTTTCAAGGCTGTAACCTTTTCGCCCGATTTCGGTTTGCGTGAATTCCCCGCACGGCTCCTGGTTCACGTGTCTTCTTGGTAGGTGATGTGGAGGTGGAGGGATCCAGTTGCTTTTTCCTGGGGCTCCTTGGTATCCCAGGCCCTGGAGACATGGCCCGAGGTCCCTTCTGGTTCTTCTTTGGTGGAACTTTGGCATCCTGTATCTTCTTCGCTGGCGATAGGGGAGAGTTTGCAGGCGAGCTCGGGATCGGCACTAGTAGGGAAGAGTTGGGATCTACCAACATTTTTGTGTTCGCCCGAAGCTGATCCTTGAGCTCGCGGTTATGCTTCTCGATTGCTTCTATCCTCTCTTGGAGATTTTGTAACATTGGGTTTGGAGCTATAGATACTTCGGTCTTTGGTTTGGATTCGGCCGCTCCCGGCTGGGGGCTGTCTTCCTTCGGGGCGCTATCTTCCTCCTGAGCTGCTTCCGAGGGCGCTGAGAATCGTTCAAAAAAGGCTGACAGTTCAGCTTGTAGCAGTTGTTGTTCATCATCTTCGCTTGCGATTATTTCCCCCAAGGCCACGGACATCCGGTGAATCTCAGTTAAGACCTTCGTTTCCAGCGTTGAATCTTGCTGCTTGCGAAGCTTCTTCAAAATGTATTTCAAGTTGGATGGTTTGACTGCCATTTGAAGTTTGTGCAACGTAGTGTTGAATTCCTTAAAGTGAGCCGAGCGCATGGTTGAACTCTTTGCAAGGCGTTCCTGGAGATCGTTGATTTCGCCTTTCGACATCTCGTCTCCTTCGAGAATTGTTGACAGGCCAGCCGCCTCAGTTGGGGTACTCTGTTTGAGTTCCAATTCAGTTTTCAAGGCTTCAATCGCGGCGTCCTTCTCCTTTCCCATCTCCCCAAGCTCTACCAGAATGTCTTCGACAGCTTTGTCTCGTGCAGTTTGCATATCCTCGAGCTCTGCTAGAACGTGAAGGAGGTGCATAATATGTGACTCTTGCTCTCCCTCGAACTCTTTTTTAAGAGTGCGGACGTCTTCTAAATGATTCTTGAGCCACAATCGGAGGCGCTCCTTCTCCTCCTTGTATTGTTCTTCTTGCCTCTTCGTTTTGTCTTTCCAGCTCTCTATCTCCGCATCTTTCTTGTAGTAGTCGATAGTCTTCGTCATCATCTTTTCAATCTCTTCGGCATGCGCAGCCTGAAGCTTGTTCGAATCTGACTTGATCTTTCTCTGATTCTCTTTGGCCCGTTGCACTTCCTCGTTGAGCTTCAGCAGTTCTTCTTCGTGAGCTAGCTCCGCTGCATTGAGCATCTTGCACAGCTCTTCCTTTTCGTCTCTGAAGTTCCGTTCCTGCCGTTCCAGCTTTTCCTCTAACTCTGTAAGGGCTTCGTTTGTTTCGTGAAAGTCGTCAAGGCAATCAATCTTTGTCCTCTCGAGCTCTTCGGCGTGCGAAGCTTCCATTTCGCTCAGCTCGGACTTCAATTGCCTTTGGTTCTCTTGTGTCCAGAAGAGTTCCTCGCGCAGTTGCCCCACCTCCTCCCGGTGTCTGCTTTCGGCTGTATCCATGGCTTCCCTTAGCCGCTCTTCTGCAATCTCCTCTCTCTCTTTGTGTTGTTCGATCGCATTCCTCAGCTCTATTGCCACTGCTTGAAGTTTCTGATAGCCAACTTGGTCCGCCGAGAGCTTCTCCTTTTCCGTTTTTAGCATACTTATTTCAGATTTCAGCGCCTGATGAACTTCCTGAGCAAGCACAAGGTCATCGTGAAGCTTGCCCTTCACTTTCTCGTTAGATTCCGCTAAGCTTTTGATGTCTTCGTTACTCTTTCGGAGTCGGTCAATCTCTTCTGCAAACTCGTTTTCCATTTGAACGAGTTTGTGTTCGGCCGCTATCTTTCGTGTCTCATATTCGGTCAAGTTGGAAGCAAACCTCGTTGCGGCGGCTTCGATGTCCTCGTCGTATTGGCTTCGAAAATCATCGAGTTCAGACCTCAGCCTGTCCTGCTCCTCGTTCGCTTGACGAAGCTCCTCCTTTAGATTCTGGCTCTCTTCTTTGTATTTGCCCTCCGACTCTTGAATCATTTTGCAGAGTTCCTCTTTTTCGGCTCTTGTACTCTCATCTCGCTGTTCTAGCTTTTCTCTCAAAGTAGCATTTTCCGTTCGGGACTTCATCAGGTCGACTTGAAGCCTTTCCAACTGCTCTGAATGGACCGTTTGAGAAGCGCTAGCCTTGGACAAAGCCTCCAGTTTGTGCTTTTCAATGCGATCCAACTTCGCTTCAACCCACTTCACCTCTTTCATGTGAATCGCCTTCATGTTTGAGACTTGATCGAGATGAGCGGCCTTTGTCCTTGCCATGTCCGCGCGATGAAGAGTGTCTTTTTCCCTGAGCAACTTCTGGAGCTCGTCGAGTTCCTTCTTGTGCCTTTCATCGTCGAGCATGATCTGTTGGTTCAACTTGGCCAACTCTCCTGTCATTTTCTCAAGGCCCTGCGAGCCTGAGCCACCTTTTTGAACTCTTCTCGTCTCCCTGTCGAGCAGATTGTCTACGGTGCTCGCCATTTCAGCTGTTGCTTCTTCCATCTTATCGCACTGGGCTCTCAGTTCAGAATTTTCTTGTCTGAGAGATTCTAGCTCCCCAATGTCCTGTGCCTTGGTCGTTCTTTCTGATCCCCCGGTGGATTGATCAGTCTCGTCTACAGGTAGCTGGGAGAGTAGCGTTTCAAATTCACTGGAAACCGTACCGAGAAGTCTATGGAAAGGAATAAACAGTCAGTGAGAAACAGCGAGCGAGACTCTGTCTCTTGAGAATTGCGTCAACGTACGCTTCTATCTCCGCCAGCAACGAATGATCCGCTCTTCGAAATCTGGGGATTGAAGCTTTTCTAAGAGCCAAATTCTTTTTGGCTTGTGACATTGCCCTCAAAACATCATGGCTTTCCAGTTCTGTTTCCTCCGCTACTTCAACTGGATGTTGCATCGGCAAGGGTTCTTGATGCGGTTGCAGGCTCGTGCGCTCTTGCGAAGAACGAAAGGCTCTCTGAACAATAATCGCGGCCTCCACTGGATGTGGCATCGGCAGGGGTTCGTGATGATGTTGCAGGCTCTTGCACTCTTGTGAAGAACGAAAGGCTCTCTGAACAGTAATCGCGGATTTGCAAAGTTTCCAATACCATGCCTGTGCACGGAAAGCACGCCATCTTGATTGGATCGTTCCAGCTGCTTTGTTTGCTTTCTGCTTTGCCATTTTTGAAGCTCGCATTGCATGTAATTCTGCCTGCTTCATACGTAATACTCTTAGCTTTGCACGGAAAGCTCGCTGAACCAGGTGACCACGCCACCACGACACGAGAAGATGCACGGCTGCTCTTCTTTGCCGGGATCTCCGTCGTGTGAGGAATCTCCGAATGGCAGCTTGTAGTAAAATAGCGTTGCTCCGCATGCGGTGATACCTTGTCTTTGTTAGCCACCGTCGAACGCGCGCTTGTATTACCATGGCCCGAAGAAAGAAAAATCTGTATCGTAATGTCTCGAGGTGTTCAAGTGCTCCCGCACGTAGGTAGGCCTTCGTAGTGCCGCAAGCAAACGGCATTGAAGGGGGTGCACCATCCGTCCCTCGCAGCGTGGGCATGAAGAGATTTGTCAGCATGTAGACGATTTGATCTGAAACTTCCATTTCCTTCATCTTTTCCCTCTCTGAGGGCCTGAGCAAACACCCAAATCGGGCGAGGAGTGTTTTGTATGAAAGGCTATCGGGAAGACTTTCCCTAGTCAATGCGACTGATGTCATCAATCCGGCATATTCTAGCTGCCTCAGCGTCATGAGATGATCTGTGACCCCCGGAGATCGCGTTTCGTTTGGAATGATGCACCTTATGTACCTCGTTTGCGTCCCCTCTATCTCCAGCAAGAGGTCCCTCAGTTCCATGCTGAACTTTTCAATTAGTGTCATCGTCGCAGTATTCCTTCCTGATTCATCCATTCTGGATTTCACAGCAAGTTTGCGCGAAGACCGTTGTAGCTCGTTGCGGATGAGATTGTTTGTCGATCTCGCAGCGCAGTATAGGAGATCTTCAGACACCCTGTCCATGTTGCGATCGACAAACCGAGTGGCGTCGTATGTTACTGGGCCCGCAAAATGTCTGATTCCAAACTCCAACTTGCTGTAAAGCTTTTCATTGACGAGGCGAGGATGTGACTCATTGACCTTCTTCATCTTCTGGACGAAGGATTCGTCATTGGCCATGGGACGGACACACTCTTCCTGCAATGCCACAAAGACACCTGAACGTCCGTCCATAAGGTTGATCACATCGGAATTGTCGACAAGGCTAAAGTCAAAGATGTCAATGCCCTCTTGGTCATATTCCTGCTTCAGAATGCGAAAGTTGTCTGCGACATATTTCTGCTGGAGCTGTTCATTGGCATAGTTGATGCAAAGCTGTTCGAATCGATTCACCGCGAGGCGCTCGAATCCATAGATATCAATCAGAGAAATTGTGCCAGTAATGTCATCTTCGTTTGATGAGTTCATTTGCCCATTGATTTGTCGGACAATGAATTGGAAGATTCTAGTGTAGATTTCTTTCGCCAATGCATCGACGTTTTCTTTCGCTTGGGCTGGTTGCACCGGAGCGCGGAGTTCTTCAAAATTGGTTTTGATAGCGCGAGATGTAAGTGAACTCTCAAGATCTTCTTGGCCAATGCCAATCATTTTACAAAGTCTGTGTAGCTCGTCAGTTGTTGTAACTACGGTCTTTCGTTCACCGTTTGTAAAGAGACTTTCCCCAAACCTTATATTTCCCAGCTGTAGCACAATTGCAAGGGCCCGCATCAAAGTAGATTGAAGCTCTCCTTCAATGCCAAAAGTACGAAGTGCATTTACGGTGCTCTTCCATTGATTGGCATCTCCCAGGTTCTCCAGATTGCATTCCCCGAACTGAGCCAGATAGGAGAAGTCTGTTGGCTTTCGTGACGCAAAAGATGGCCACAGAGCTCGTCTGAAGTCCTCCGGCGCCGCCAGAAGCTGATAGAAGATGTGAAAACTTCGTTCTCCCACTGCATGAGAAACCACCCGTGTTTTCTCCAACAGATACGTAGTGCAGCGGCTCCCCACCAATGAACATGACGATGGAATGGATCGGTTGCTGCTGTCCATGTCCACCCCGGTTGTAAACTGCAATTGCAAAAGTTTCCCAAACCTTGAGCTGTTGTTGTTGCGTCGAGTTTTGGCATTTCCAAATGCCTCCAAGACCACTGAACTTTCCATGAGTTTGTTGACTACATCAAAATTGAAACTCGGTACTGCCATGTGCTGGTCTGGACACAGGAATTCCAAAGTTGCTAGGTGCTCCAACAAGATCTTCACCGTCTCTGTTTTTCCTGACCCCGACTCCCCCGTGACAAGAATCGTTTGATCCTGAACGTCTACAGCAACCCCCCTGTATGCCAAGCACGAGATTTCGTATATGTGAGGTTCAACTTGGACTGTCTTCCCAATTGGGTCCGACGATGGGAGACCTTGTTTCCTTTCGTCTTTGAGGCACAAACCCGACAGAACGCCAATCAATAGAAGCAACGTTAGTCCACAACTTCAACTTTTATTTTCATAAAATGGCAAGTCAATATCCAATGGCACCTACCTGGAAACCATACCAACTGCTCAGCGTATGCTTGTTGCATTTGTAGACTGTACAGTTCTTCTATTCTTGCAAATGGATTTACCGCCACAATGACATCCTGGACGCGTGTGTAAGGTTTCTGCAAAAGATTTCTCTCTTTCAGGTTGTAGAGCATTGCTGCCTCATGTAAGTGTGGAAGACTGGCCATGTCGCCTTTGTGGCCTGCCTTGTTCTGTAGTGGGAGTTGACTATTGGGGTAGGCTGCCAGTGGCACCGAACGAAAGGCACTGGCAGTCTTTTTGCTAATGGCATCTTGACTGTCCGAACTTTCTGCAGCAGCCAATGCATCTTCAAGTTCTTCCAGCCCAGAGTCTTGGCACAAGACAGTGCTGTTGTGCCAATCGCTCGAGAGCTCAATTCGGACTACGGCCTTCCCCTCCTTGATGAGCACAATAGACCCAGGAAGCCAGGCATACGCCTGATCCCGAATGTACACCTTGGGTGCTTCTTTCATGGCCATTCCATTGACGATCTAAACAACTAACCAAAAGTAATGGCTCGGTTCTTGTTGAGGTTGTTCCTTCCAGGTGAGCCTGACGACTATCTCGTACAGTACCTCTCTTGCGATTTGGTCGATCTGTTCGGAGGTAGCGCGCAATTCGAAAGGCAACGACTACTTCAGGATTCAATAGAACCTTGCCGATTGCTACATTTCTCATACTTGCAAGTCGCCCCTGAATTCGGTGGGGCGTCTGGGGTGATGGCGCACATGGCCAAAAAATGAAAGGGTTGTGGCCGTTGGAGGCATTGGTCAGCTCCCAGGTGCTCGATCGAATAACAATAAAATAATGATGCCACTCCCGTCATCCAGTCACAGAAACGCAACCTTAAAGTCCGAAAGTGCAAAGGACTTTGGCGAGGAGACGACACGTGCCGGCCCTTGTACCACCGGTACCAGCATTTTTGGCTCTACTCGAAGACTGCACGACGGTATGCCATGCTAGCAAGTACAGGTGTAGGCATACGGTACCGTACTTTAGAAACCAAAGGCATTGTCAAGTTTGGTTGGCGGCCCAGTACTTGTGTAGTGAAAGGCAGGGATTGATCATTCAACTTGTTCTAGAAACATCAATGACAATAATCTACAAAACTACTATAGCAGTGCTCTCAACGTGCAGGCGTCCTAAGTGCGGGTCTGTTCTTGTATCATCCAATCGTTTCGGGATGTGTACTGTACAATAGTAAGCAACCTCTATATCGGATGAAAAAAAGACCAACCGAGGAAATCAAATCGGCTCTTGACATGACATGCTTGCCCTCTGGAAGAAACAGAAGCAAGAGACTTAACTTTTAGTCAGTGCTTCGGTCAGATTCCAAGCCATCTCATGCACCTGCCTGCCAGCCAAAAACGAGTACTGCTATTCTGGCATTTCCACACTCAAACCAGACGGCAACTTGTGGTCTTTGAGGTAAATTCGCCTTTTCAATTCGCGGTCTGGGTCTGCCGAGGATGTTGTTGTCGTGCTCTTTTCTTCATCAATCTCCATGACTGGTTCTGGGAAATCATCATGAAGATGATGTTGTCTTGACTTTTTGTGGCTATCACTACTGGGAGGGCTGTCTCTGATTTCATCGGAAGTTGGAACATAGGGAGCCACTGAAGAGCCCATGATTTGGCCACTACTGCAGCAGACATGGCCACAAAAAGAGCTTGACACTGTGCCGAAAACGTAAGTGTAAGATGCAACATCTCCGTGCCAAAGCTTCCGGCCAAGCGTTCCTCGTAGACTTACTTTCTTCAATACTGGAGACCATTTGTCCCACACCCTTGCGTAGCTTTTCCGACATGGTTTCCGTATGTTGTCGTTCGGCTATTCGTTCCGTGAGTTTCTCCACGTCTAGAGTTGAAATGTAACTTGTGTCGTCTCCAGCACCGCCATCGGTGGAGGTATTATTTGCAGCGGTACCATCCGACTGAATGAATCGTTCGACTGGTAGTGTGGCCTGGAGAAAGGCCATCATGATATCCATTCCGTTCTTGTTTTCAAATTCTAATTCATAGGATCCACGTGATCCAGTGACAAAGAAGATGCGATATCCCCGAAACAGACTGGATACCATCTTTTCAACAGTTTTAATGGAACAGCAGGGTACTGAGAACGTCTTTCGTCGCTTTTTTTGTTGTTTGCCCAAGGATTGTCGTCGTTGGCTGGTGGTCATCATGCTACCCACGGCAGGATCGGTGTTATTGGTTTCAATAGGATCACTGACAATGGAGGGATCCAAGGAGGAGTCATAGGAGGAGACCGAGTGCAAGGAACAGCATGCTTCCAGAGTATGCCCACCGTAGGTTCTGGTTTGAAAGAAGAGGGTTGGTGTCACTGCTGCTGCCACCTTTCCAAAGGGAATTGGATCGACCTTGTGGCTGCTGTTGCTCTCAAATTGGTTGGCTAAACTGTGTTGTTCTGGAGCTGAAGAGCCTGACTTGCGACGGGGAGCTGTATTGTCCCAATTGACAATAGTACAGACCATATCCTGAGGTTCTCCATACTGCAGGTTGGAAGTGCAGGTAGCCCGTCTCACACGCTAATAGATTAATTAACACGGATAGCAATAAACCAAGAGGATAAGAGGTAGCATAGAACACTCAAATGCATCAACATAAACATCATCAAAATGCTGTTTGAAGCATCGTGCCAATTTCCCAGTACCATCGGAGCGTCGCTCTTTCATCGGCATTCACATAACGCATATACCCGACAGACTCGACTCGACTTACCAGTCGAATGCTGATACCCTCCGCCATTTCTGCATTTTGAGCTCTCATCATTATCTCTCCTTCTCTTCGACTCAAATTGTGCTATCGGATAACAGCAAACAACATGCCAAAAACAACAAAACAACAGCCCCACGGTCGGAGGATGGAACCAGACAACAGTAAGGGTCCAATGGGTATTTTTTGGTGGCAAGGTTGTCGCCTCTCGACAGATTTGTTGCCGGCTCGATCGCCATCAAAGAGAGGGTGTCCGTTGGATCTTGGAGGTAGCACAGTTGATCGGAGCTAGGGGAAACGGCGCACTCCGTACTGACAAAAACCTTAGCTAGCTAGGTCCACATGTACCGGTACCGTACGTACAGCGTACTCGGGCTATCTACTACACTGTGTACCGTACTCCCTCTGGCTAGCTTGCTACGCTAGTCCGGTAGAGCTTCAGAGTAGAGCTGCGAATGAAGCACTACCGGAACTTTTAGAAAAGGGGATCTCGAAAGTATTCTGCGGTATTAGTACTGCATTAGGGTACTATGCTACCAAACCTATCTAGCTACTGGTAGCCAGCCATAGCAAAATTGGCTCTTGTGGTGCCAAGAGGAGGCAAGGACAGAACGTCTGGCTTGTACATTTAGTAACAGTTTATGAGCTACTACAGGGTACTGTTGCTCACTGGCAGATAATGCTGCTACCAACCGATCTAACCTCACACCAGTTCCACATTGTCTGGGGTGAACCGGGGAGGCATACACTGTGTAGTTGTCGAATTCTTGTCAATTACCTAAGCAAGGCTGCTCTACGAGGTCTTTTTGGGAACATGCTTCTTCATATGCTGTCCGTCTTTGCGGAGTGACTTTGTGAATGTGCACCTCTTCTTATGCCTCTTCCAGTCCGTTTTTTGACACTCTTTGCTACAGTACCGAGCAGACTTGCAGTTGGCACATTTTTGCAATCGTTCCACCTCGTCCTTCAATTTTCCGCAATTGTTGCAATGCTCCATTGCTGCCCTGACATACTTATCAGTCTCCTCTGTTAATTCACATGATCCTTTAACGATTTGTCCATTGGGGTCCATGATCTCCGGAATCGTCTTGTAGCTGTTGATGGTGATGACCTGTCCCTTGAATATTGTGTCATTCCTGGACGGAGAATAGACGCAAGCCACAACCACCACAACCTCGAAAAGTGGGTTGTAGGCTTCCAACAGTGGGATGACAGCAAAATAGTCGATCTTCTTTGCTTCTTCATACGGAAGATACACAAGCGGCATAACATTTCCTGGTCCAATATTGGACAGGTCTTCTGCAGAGGGATAATGAATATAGAAGATTCCTTTTCCTAATTGCAACAGGTTGGACACGATCAAGTGAGAGAAAGTTGTTCTGATTAGAGATTCGATTCAGCAGCTCCGATGATGTAGAAATTGAAGAGGGCCTACCTTTACTAAGAAAGCTCTCTCTGCCTTGAGGCACCAGAGTTCGAGAATGGTAGACCATTTCGTTCAGAACGAATTGAAGGCTAGAAGCCATTACTTTTTCTTGTGTAGCCATGGTGACTGTTTTCCATCGTTGTTTCCTATTATCCAGAGGCCATGCTACGTCAGGTGCGGATCCGGAGGACCTACCGGCACACAAAAATCCGCAAGTTGTTTCAGGTTTTTGTGGGAAGTTGCGGGGAATGGGCTCTTGGACTCTTCATTTGGGACAAGGGCGTGTTGATTTGATCTTCCGCAACCGCTGCGTACAGGTACCGGTAGCTGGTACCAGGTAGCTAGGTAAAAGGTAGCACAAAAGCTCCATTTTTGGAAGTATCTTTTGTGACGTGTTGTCTCAGAACACAATGACAAAGCACCAGCAATGTTTCGCACTCAGTATCATGAGACAAGAGAGATGACAGTAAAGCCCCAGTTTTCGGTTCTTTGCCTTTGTGGTTGAGTCGAGTCAACATGGCGGTGAATGGAAGCAGAAGGAGACAATGGACTCTGAAGGATGTTTTATTCAAACTGTTGTTGGTGGCAGTTCTGTCGATGATCGCACCATCGGCGGCATTTTCTTTGTTGTCCTTGAAATCCCGCGTCGCGAGAGAAATGGGCTTCCTTCACCAATCGTCACAACCTTCAGTATATTGGCAAACAGAGGGATCATTATCTCTTCTAGCAATGCGTGCCCAGGCAAAGGATGCTGCAGAAGTTTCCAAGGAAGAAACGTCGTCCACACCAATGAAAGAAAGCCAACAGCATAATTTTACGCTGTCTTTTCCACCCTTACTGGAACTGCAAGACATTCGACGAGGAGATTTTGTCACGTCCTCCACACTCCAAGTTCCGTGCGGTGACCGCCGGTACGAATTCCGAGTGTTGCTGTATCCTCGGGGAGGTGGACACAATTCGGCCCAACAAGGGGATGCTGTCGAAGATCGTGTGGGAGTCTACCTGCAGTTCTTACCCCAGCATGACAATGACACTGTGGATGCTACCTTTGGTCTTCGTCTCAAGGGCAGACAAAGCCAGGGACCCAGGTTTGACGTGGAGTGGAAATCCGGTGTGAGGTTTGTGCCTTTGGACAAGGCCAACCTCAAGGATGGAACCGCCAATGACTTTGGTTCCCACATGATGCAATCACATCTACTAGAAGACTTTCTAGGAGGCGAAGACAGCGAAGAATCGCTAGATGTTGAAGTGACAGTGAAGATCCATCCTGCTAGTGAAAGCAGCCTCAGTCTTGCCACAGGCAGCAGCCTTGAGAACGAAAAACCATCATCCAATTTTGGCTTCTTTAGGGATATTCGAGAGATTGAGGACTGTGGTGGTGGCGGCGAAGGGAGCCTCCAACAGCACAATCCAGAGAATGTCCGAGTTGGAAAGATCATTGTACCAATTTTGCAACGGCTTTCGCAGAGGCCCCGCATGTTTGAGCTGGGAGCCTATCCGGGAGTCGAGTACAGGATCATGCGGATCCTGCATCCGGAAACTGGAGAGGACATTTTCACGTCCATGCATGGAGCAGATTATGAACTCAAACCAATCTACCCATTGGTTGCTGCTTTGGAACGGAACTGGCCTGTGCGAGTCAACGAGAAGGAACTGCCCAAAATCTACACCATGACCATGTTCAACGTCATTTCGGCTCTAGGATCGCTCTTTACAGCAGTTGCTGGCCTGACAACCGCCTTTATCATTTCCCAGCTGGTTTCCATCTTTTTCATCCCGTCCAAGTCGATGGATCCGACTCTGCAGGTTGGGGATGTACTGCTGGTGGAAAAAGTGACGCCACGCGTATTCAACAGCAACCCTCCCAACGAAGGCGATGTTGTCCTCTTCAATCCAAACGACAAACTTCAAGCCATTGTCAAGGCAAATGGTGGTAGAATCTCGGATCGAGACTTGTTTGTCAAGCGCGTTGCAGCGGGTCCAGGAGACTACGTGTCGGTCGAATCCACCGGTAGTGTGTCTGTCAATGGTGTGGCTGCCAAGGGACGTCGAGACCTTTGTGAAGAAGAACCACTGAAGTTGATTGAACGATACGTTCAGCCAGTCGACAAGCAGGATATCAAGAAGGATCAAGTTTTCGTGTTGGGCGACTGCAGTTCTGTGAGTGTGGACTCGAGGGTCTGGGGTCCTGTGAACAAGAATGAAATTGTTGGGAAGCCATTATTTCGAATTTGGCCTGTGGAAAGATGGGGTCCCATCCCAAGGATTCCAACGAACGATGATGCTGGGAGTATTCCGATTGAAGCTTCCGCAACAGGTTCGTTGGTTACTGAGTGGACCGAACGATGATAGGCAATCTATAAGAAACACTCTAGCTGACTAGCTAGTACATGTATGCAACTCGAACGAGCTACTGAGAGAATAAAGGAACGTGACTCGAGCCCAATAAATGGCAGCTAGCTAGTCAGATAGGCAAGCACCGAGAGAGGACCCGCAACACCGTTTACAAGTTTTGGGCGTCTACGGCTTCTGCTTGCCACCTTAGGCAGCACATCAGACAGCGTCCACTTGAGTTTTCTATACTTTTCATTGGTCTCCATGACCGCACAAATGCAGCCTTGCCATACCTTCATCCATGGATGTCACTTTGTATTCACATCCCCAAGAGGAGTAGAGGTCTCGTGCCTGCTTGTAAAATACAAGTGCTCTCGGCTTCTGGTGGCCATATCTTTCAAGCATCCTGCCAGCCATCTCATTTGCCAGGGCTTCTTCATTGATATAACCATTCTTTGCAGCATACTTGATTGACAATTCGTATTGACAAAGAGCATCATCATGGCGTCTCTTGGAAGCAAGTATTTCGGCATCCAAAAGGTGCACTTTGTGGATTACAGTCTCGGGGCAATCCTTGACCATAGATCTAAGACACTGGTTAGCACTGACAAGACTGCATGGCAACAATTAAGAGGAACTATATCACTCCTTTCCAGAGTCAACATACCTGCGTAACACTTTGAGTTGGTTACGGGCTAATCCAATTTTTCCTTGTGCAACTGCAACCAACCCTTCATGAAAAACATGTAAGAGTCCCATTTGGGGAAGAGGTGATTTGTTGTAAGGCAAAAATGCCAATCGACGGTCTCTCTTCAAAGCCATTGCTGCATCATGTTGGTCGTGGTAAAAAGCCAGCATGTACTTAAAATATGCTGCTGCTGACAAGAACATGGTTCTCTGATTGGAAAGCGCATCTGCTGCAGCAGATTCCTCATCGACATACTCCCCAGTTACTTCCAGTGGGTCTTTCCCCTGGCCCATCAAATTCAAACCGACCTGGTGAATGAAAGCCGCCATGGTGAATGGCATCCCCTGGTTGTAGTCAAGACATAGCTGCATCAGATGATACAAACGCCTTGTCACCGTTGAAAGAGGGTCTCCCACCATGATCCGTAGAGTAGAATGCAGCACTCCACAGAGAAAACCCGCCTGCATGGTGTATTAGTTCTGGTTAGCATACATCGGTTTGGTGGTGCCTTTGGAGCAAGAAGCAGACCCACCTCTAAGTCCCCACATTTCAAACCCAGCTGATGCCCCTTCATGAGATCTGGCAAGATGTCCCGCAGAGGCTCCTTCATGCTTCTCACTGTAGCTGCAGAGACGAGCAAACTTCGGCCCATCCATGCCTCAGATGGGAATTTATCAAGGATGCGGAAAGCCAGCTTCATGTACCGCAAAGCACCATTGGTTTCACCAGCCCTTGCCAATGCGGCCCCATAAAAGGCAAATGATGCACTACCTGCAACCCACACGAAAGAATAGCACAGTTGACCTCCTGAGAAACCGGAGCTTGGAACAAACTGAAACCTTGCAACAAACATGCACATGCACAAACAGGACAAACACACATAAATAACTCACAGACGGAGCTCAAGCCATGCTTCAATGTCAACTGTACAAGCCGAAGAGCAATCAAAATGGAGTAGTTTATCTGTTCCTGCTGCACTAAAGGGAACATCTGATGAATGATATGCATTGCAGAAGTTGTTTGGGGGTCTTCAAGAGTTGGGAGACTCATGATTTCATCGTCTGTGTACCGTGAAAGAAGAAACCTTGAAATTGCAGTGGAAGAGCGTCAGCATGCCACCAGCCCAAACATGAGATGAAGGACACTTTTACAGCATTTACCTTAGCTTCAGAAATGCCATTACAGTCCTTGGTAGAGTTGCCGTCCTTGGAAAGTGGTGCCCCATACGTCGCAAGATTTCAATGCAATAATCTAGAGCAGCTCTAGTCTGAAGCCTTGAGCCCAAAGAGTTCACTCTTGTTACATGAGCTGTCAATTTGTCGTCCGATTTAAGAGCAAATTTCAAGATTTCTTGAGTAAGCTCATCAACCCTTTCATGTTTGCCACAGCAGTAGGCCATTTCAGCAGCACTGTTGTAAAGATCCAAACTGAGGTTGTACTGATCTCTCCAATTCCGGCGTCCCAACAGTTTGATGCCTAATTCGGCATATTCTAAACCAGAGGTGAATGAAGCAGACTTTCCAGCTTTTCGTGAGGCCCGAAGACACAAGAACGCCCATTCTTCTTTTTCTTCTGGGTCTGTCATTTGGTCCAAGCCAAATGTGATTTGGCTGAGAACTATGGGAAGTTCTTTCTTGATATTGGAAGGTTTGAGTTGTCGTCTCAGGTTTCGCCCAATCTGAAGATGAAATGCTGCCTTATCATCAACAGGTATCAGTGAGTAGAAAGCCTCCTGAAATTTGTCATGGTTGAAGTGGCCAGTGCCCATCTCAAAATCATAGGTTATGAAACCCATATCATCTGCAACATCCAGGGCAAATGATATTTGTGTAGCAGCAGCTGCCCCAGCATGACATAGAATGTCTTCCGAAAATTCAGTTCCCAAGCATGCTGCCACCTTCATAACTTCCTTCACATCTGAGGAGAGTTCCCTCATCTTGTGAGAAAGCAGTGTGATGATCAAATCAATGCCTTCATCATGCCCACTCTCTTCGAGTGACAAAATCAATGCATCATCTTGCCAAGACCACTTCCCAGGTGTCCCATTGTTGCCGCCTGAATAGTATAAGATGCCATCCTGCTGTAGACTGCGAAGATACTGGATGGAAAAGAAGGCATTTCCTTGTGTCTGTGTGTACACCACTTCTGCTAGGGACTGACATTCCGTTATGGGTAAGTTCAGGATAGAAGAGATCATTCCATTCAATGCTAGCTGGCTCAGATTGTTGACTTGAATATCAGTGATGGAAACTCCTGCGTCCTCCAGCTTTCGTAGGACCACCGCCAGCTGGTCATTCATGGCCACTTCATTTCCTCTCACAGTAGCCAGGAACAGGAAGCCTGCATTTCTGTTCTCTTCGGGTGCCTCATGGGCACGCTGGGATAAAATTGTCAGCGTCATGGCATCAGCCCACTGCAAGAAGAGCAGAAGGATTATCAGTGAATGAGAGTGATAAAGGCTAGTAGGCAGGACACACACCCATCTCTTACCTGAAGATCATCAAAAAACACGACTAATGGCCTCTCTGTTTCATTCAGATTGATCACGGTGATGAGCGCCTAGCAAAGTCACGTAGATCCCACCATGCGCACACACACACACAATGCTTGTGGGCTCACCTGGAGAGGAAACACAGCGCAGAAATCTCCTGTAGACCGATGCCACTTTGGATGGGCTATCTGACAAATCAAATTCCATGTCCATACCAGATGAGGAGTCCATTCCACTACCATGAGCAGCTTGTTCTTGTTGTTTGGTAACCATGATTTCCCATTCCTCTGGTGTCAATATCTCTGCCAATTCTGGGATAATCTCCAGCAATAAGTCTATTTCTCCCTGTCCCAATTCAGCTTCCACAGCCTGTCGAACCATTTCTGCCTCACCTCGTGCCTTTATTATCCGAGGAAAGGTTCGAAAGGCTGCAAAACATGGAGATTGGGTAGTCACATACTGGTTCTGATCGAATTTGCTCTTGAACATGAGTCCTTTATCGGCCTTGACGTGGGGTAGCAATGTCTTGGCCAGGACCGTCTTGCCGGTACCACTAGCTCCTGTGATCAACACAATTTCAGCTTGTTGGAGGCTTCTCTTGTAGGCTGATAACAGGGCATCTTCCTGTTCCTTACGATCATAGAGGGTGGATCCCTTCCAATCAATACGCTTGGCCGATGATTTTCGTCGAGACGTTCGACGAATGTGGTTGGATCCCGCGTAGTCACTGTCATCGTTCAACCAACTGGAGCTTGTACCGCTACTACTGGGTATCCCTCTACTACTAGTAGTTGCTACCGGTTGCATGGTCAGCTAGCTAGCTCTCGCTACCAAAAGAGTCAACGCCGTGGACTATGCTATTGGGAATGGGTATGGGCTGAGGATAATGGTTGAATGCTATGGTCCTTCAGATTTCCAAGCATACCCATGGAGATGCCCTCGACCCCCCCCCCAACCCAACCCCCCTATTCGATGAAGGCATCAAAGCCAGCACAGCTGTTTTATGAAAGCCTACACCCTGACGTCAGTGACGAACCTTTTCTCCCCAAACAGCTCCTCACCATTGTCAGCATGCACAATGCTGTGAGAGAGATCGTCTCTCCAATCTCCTGCTGTGGGAACGTATATCCATTGCTCCTTTATAAAGAAAAGGAAGGACCATGGCGTCGTCATCTTGTCGTTTTCTTTTTTGGCTTCTCTTCGCAGTTCTCAACCTAGATTGTGGCCGTGCCCTGCAGGTTGGAGGCTTGAAGTTTGAAAATCCCTTTCAGAATAATAACAACCCGACAACCGACAAATCAGGACAATCAGCTACTACCTTGCAACCTGGTGATACAGTCGCAGTGATTGGTGCCTCGGGCAATGTCGGAAAGCTCGTGGCATTGCGTCTATCGGATACCTACCGAGTCCATGGCATTGTCCGAGATCCTGCTTCAGTGGCACCCTTCTTTCAAGGCCGCGACGAGAAAATAAAACTCTTTCAGTGCGACTTACTTCAGGAACTATCCGGCTCATCGTCGTCCTCCTGCCCGGAATCACTCGTCCCCGCCTTGAAAGATGCCAATGCCATTGTCATTTGCACCGGTACAACGGCATTTCCCACCAAGGCGTGGTCCCGATCAGGAGAAGCTACCGTTACCGACAATGTCATTAAAGCCTTATTGGACACGCAATTCAACGTCAAGGACGCCATTCGCAGTCTCGATGAACTCGGTCTCAATACACCCAACAATGTTGACGATCGAGCCAATGCCTTGATTCTCCAGGCGTGGGATGCCGTCTGCACGGTACCACAAAAACGAGCCATTATGCTCAGTTCCATTGGCGTACAGCGACGAGACTCCATGCCATTTCCTATTTTGAATGCCTGTGGAGTATTGGATGCCAAGGCAGCAGGAGAGGAATCGCTCAAAACAGCGGCGGCCAAGGGCAAATACAGTTATTCCATTATCCGACCCGGACAGCTCTTTGGAGGACCGTACGACAACAATTATTATCTGGGAACGCTATTTCAGTTGGATAAAGATGCCGCCACACAAGATGTACAAGTGGGCCAGGGAGATGAGCTATTAGGAGATACCTTGAGGAGTACTCTGGCCGAAGTCACGGCGCAAATCTGCGAGGGCGACCACGCCAAAGACATGGATTTTGCTTGTATCAATGTCAAAGGAGAGAGTCCGGCCTTGGACGCGGTGCAAGAGCGACTTTCGGCGCTCTAGCTAGTAGACAAGCTATCTGTTCACCCAAGGACAGTGCCAGTTCTGCAACGTTGGTTGCTTCTCTTTTCTTTCTAGGCAGAAACAATAGGCTGTATGATCATTCGCAGTAACATCGAATCAATTCTCATCAGAAGGCAAGAAAACAAATAGAGGAGGGGCACTAGCTAGGTCACTGTAAGCATAACGACTCGCCCCCTTTTCTACCATCTTCGAAACCTGTATATACTGGTACGGCACATAGTGACTGCCGTACCGTAGATCTATCTTTGGATCCGCAGTATCTCCATCTGCCACCTCTTAGGCGGCAACGCCTGTGCAATCTGGAACGAACCGTACGGTACCCCATACCGGACTACTGTAGTAGCGTATGGCACTGCACCGGTACAAGCACCTACCGGTATGGTACAAGCCTCCAGAATTTGGAGTGCGTCGCATTATTGCAAGGTGAAAATGCATTTCCGGTACATGCGTGATGTCTCCATGAAGTCTTCCGATTGGCAGGCTGTCGACGTGATAGGAACGCTTTGCTGGTTGATCATGGCCATTTGGAGGTCCTGAAAAATGTCATACCGGCAGGCCAACCAACTTGAACATTGATGCCCCTGGGCAGCTTTTAACTGGTCAGTTTGTTCTTGATAAACTCTGAAGTGGGTTCATGAGAATGATCGTCCATGGGATCAGATCAAATTGATAAGTTCTGCAAGAAGCCATTTATTGCTGGCTGACAGGACACCAGTGCTCACTCTTCTAAAGGCAGGCCAATGATACCCCCTCTTGAGCCAGTTCTGGAGTATCCGCTACCGGTACCAGACGAGGTGCATGTGAATTGAATATAGCCTCCTTTACTGTGGATTCTAGCTGCTAGTAGTCTAGGGGTGTAAAATACTCGTTAGTTTAACAAACTATGGCCACGGAGTGGCTTTAGTGACGCGGGTAGTCTAGCACTTCCTTCCTCTGGGCCAGGCAAAGCCAGCTACGCTCCCTCGGTATATCTCCCATGTGCCATCATTAGGAAAAACTAGCTACCGGTACCGGTACCGGCAGCAGAGGTCACACACCACAGGTCACACCCCACAAGTCTTGAGTAACTGTGTCCGTAAAACTTCAAAGGGTTAAGGCTATTACAGAAGTCATTGGCTTGGGGTGACTCTCCCAAGCAGCCATTCTTCAGAATTTTCATGGTTGTTACCGTCATCAAGATGGATCTTCCTGCCAAGAACAAGGCTACGCTGACTTCCGTACATCTTTGGCGTAGCCCGTGCGTTAAAATGCCTCACCCACAAGACTTCCCTTTGGCTGCGTTATTGCGAGGGTATCTCGATCTCATCATCAAGCAGCAGCGAGAGAGGGTTGTGGTGACCAATCCAATTGGCCAAGACATCAGTAGGACGAGGAAGACCACCTTCCTGATTATCACTGAGCCTTAGCAGTCATAGACCATTTGGAGGAGCAAAGCAATTGAAGTTGTTGGAGAGCTGTTGTAGCGGAGGTATCAGGAGCTGAGTTATTTAGTGGAAGCCATTCTTTCGAAGTGCAATCTACCCGCTGCCTTGCTGTCTGGTCAGAGCGATCTTCGGTGGCATTATTTTTGATATCTTATCCTTGACTTGATACCCCCAATCAACTGAACGTCACTGACCAACGAAACTCCTTCAACACTGGAAACAGCAACATCAAGATGTCGTCCAAACGGTACGACCGAAGCATGATGGAGGATATTGGCAGGCGAGCCTGGAAGACGGCCTCTAGGGCTGCCAAGCATATGAGCAAACACTCGAAGATTGTGAATCCTTCTATGGAGAAGTGTATTCCGCGATTTGAACGGGGTGAAGTGGTGCTGGGCGAGATGCTTGGGTCGGGTGGTTTCAACGATGTCTTTGAAGTGGCGCGGATTGACCTAGTGCCGGATGTGTCCCAGGCTGAGCATGCCAAGAAGATCTCTTCACCGCTTCAGAGCGAGCATAGAGCCTTTGTGTCCAAGCACGTTTACCGTGAGTCCTCGCAGAACTGTAGGTATGCTGTCAAGTTCCTCTCGGTGGATACCATTGAAGATCCCAACAGGTTTTGCACCGGAGCTGCCGATCTTGTGGTGGTAAGTCACGTCATGCTACCCTCGCTAATGTTTTCGTGGATACGTCTTCAGTGAAAACTGTGGATGATATTACCTTTTGCATTTCGCTGGAGAATGTGACTGATATCTTTTGGGTATCATTATTTTGTTTCTGTATGTACCATTATCAGGAGGCCAAGTTTCTGGCATCACTCAATCACCCCAATATCATCAGGCTTCGAGGGATGGCAGCCGCGGGTACCTCTGGTTTTGCCACAATGAACGAAAGAGGGTATTTCTTGCTCTTGGATCGGTTGCAGTGTACGCTAGAGAGCAAAATTGATGATTGGAAGGAGCTAGACAATACACTGTCGCCCTCCCAGAAGCGTGCCTTCTTGGCGGATCGCTTGCACGTTTCTTTCGATGTATGTGCCTCTCTGGAGTTCCTTCATTCTCATGATATTATCTATCGTGATTTAAAGCCCGACAACATTGGTTTCGACATTCGTGGTAAGTGTGGATGGACGCTGTTTGCCTGGAACTACATGTATTTATTCAATCCAACCGTCTTGCTTTGCCTTGACGATCAGGTGATGTGAAGTTGTTCGATTTTGGATTGGCGAAAGAGCTGGATGCCTCCATGAAGTTTGGCTGCACGGAACTCTATGAGCTTTCGGGGAACACAGGATCTCTGCGTTACATGTCACCTGAGGTAGCAAGAAGTGAGCCCTACAACCTCACTGCGGATGTGTATTCGTTCGGACTGCTCCTGTGGCAGATTTGCTCCCTGCAGCTCCCTTACGACGGAATGAACCGACAAGACCACTCTGAGCTGGTTGTCCACGGTAACGAACGCCCACAATTAGATTCGAACTGGAGTACCCCTCTGCGGATCCTCATGAAGAGAGCCTGGGAGCCGGACCCATTGGTAAGGCCGTCGATGGACAGTATATACAAGATCCTCAAGCGAGAAATCTGTGCATTGAGAGATGGAGACGAAAGTGGACTCGAGCATACCCGTCGTCGCTCTACCTTTGTTCTCAATAGGCCATCCCAGGCAAACCACAGCGGCAACAGAGCACCTTCAAGATCTGCCGCCGCCCAACCCATCAGCGAAGATTGATCGGGACCCTTCGCTGCGCTTTGTCTTAGGTTAAGTCTAGTCGCTATCAACGCAGGACAACAAGAAAAGGATGTACACGCAGTGGCAAATGTGCTCGAGAATGGTGTATTATTAGTCACGTCTCTTTTTTCCCCACATACACACGCACGTGAGACTTCTACCAGATTGCCAAATAGTTCATTGCAGCATTTGCCGTCGCCTTTTTCTGTACTAGTAGCTAACTATCTAGAAAGAGCCCTAGTCTTATCCGTGAACACGCTTCACAGGAGCAGTGCAATCAAAACTAAGAAAATTATCTTTTTCGTTATTGGATTGGCGCATCCTTTAGAGACGATGTTTTGACGCACCCTTCGCTCGTGATCATTTTGTGTGCCTCACCCTCTTGCAGATAGAGAGCTTCACCGGAATCACTAGCTCGAAGTGACGATTTTACTCGCTCCCAAACTTTCTGCGCACCCTTGCTCTTGAGCATTACATCAGGTTCACTCGGCTGCTTTCCATCAAACGATATGAGCTCTCCATTCGGGACAGCGTCTGGTACGGTCAGCAGTTCTACCTCATCGCTTTCATTCGATGCTGCAAGCAGCATGGCTCCACTTTCGATTCCGCGCATCTTGGCAGGCTTCAAGTTCGTCACTGCAACGACCTTTCGTCCCACCAACTCGTCCAGAGGGATCTTCCCTGCAAGTCCAGCAACAACCGTTCGAGGCTCACTTTGGCCATCTTCGGTAATATCACCACAATCAACACTGCATACCAAGAGACTGTCAGCTTCCGGATGAGGCTCAGCAGAGAGGATCGTCGCAGCGCGAAAGGCAACTCGTCGGACATCTTCCACCGTTCCGGCTCCGCCTTTTGGTTGCTGGTTTGACTTCTGGCCACTTCCACGGTTTCGTTGGCCACCTCGCCCGCCTTGCTTGGGAGCTCCCCAAGTATCTCGCAAAGTAACAACGCGATTGAAAACGAGGTTGGAAGCATCGGTGGACGACTCATCCAAGGCAAAGTACCCGCTTCGTTCAAACTGGTACGCCAGCGATGAAATGCTAGATGCGTCCTCTTCCATGGCCTTGACCGCATCTTCCACCACGCTTGGTTCTATTACAACGTCTGTCAAGACCTCCAAAGATTTCGGGTTGATATCCTTCAAAAAGTCTCCACTTTCCTTTCCGGGTTCTTCTGCCAGGAACAACCGATCATACTGATTGACACTACACCGTTGGCCTTTGGAAGCTTCTACCCAATGGATGATTCCCTTCACACGAGCCATCCCTTCCGGTGTAACACCTGCCCTTGTATCCGGGAAGTACTCACACTTGAGCTCTATCGGTTCCTGTGTTTCCGGATCACGAACAATCTCGTTACACTGAATCACATAAGCATATCGCAGTCGAACCATTTGATTTGGAAGGAGCCTCTTGAAACCTCTTGGTGGTCTATTGTCGTTTGCTTTGCCCTCCGGGCCCTCCAAGTCAAAAAAGTCGTCTCTTTCGATGTAGACGGTCTTACCGAATGGGATTGTTCGAGTCCCCATCTCCTCACGTTTTGGGTGCCTTGGAACTTCGAAATCTTCCAAGTCGTCGCCTGTGGTCACGAGATGTTGCATGCAATATCAGACAACAACAGAACACTACCAAAAACGTACGCTTGCCAAATACATCAAGTCAATATCGTACCTTGCCAGTTTGTGATGGTCACCTTCAATGGTTTCAATACACTGAAAGCTCGCAAGCATGTGTCATCCATCACTTCTCTGACACAATCTTCGAGGACCACAGCGTCAATATTGGAGTCTGCTTTGCTGATCCCCACTCGTTCACAAAACATCCGGAGCGCAGCAGGTGGCACACCACGACGCCTCAATCCTGACATGGTTGGCATTCTGGGATCATCCCAACCATTTACGTGCTTTTGTTCCACCAACTGGATCAACTTGCGTTTGGACAAGACCGTACTTTTAACATTCAATCGACTAAACTCAATCTGCTGTGGAACCTGAGTGATAAGGCCACTTGGAAGTAGCTTTTCAACTGTCCAATCATAAAAGGGTCTGTGATCCTCAAATTCCAGTGTGCACAGCGAATGAGTGATTCCTTCCAAGGCATCAGAAATGGGGTGGCTAAAGTCATACATGGGATATATGCACCACTTGTCGCCAGTCTCTTGGTGAGACTCATGTTTGATTCGGTAAAGAGCTGGGTCTCGCATGTTGATGTTGGGGGAAGACATGTCAATTTTCGCCCGAAGGACGTGCTCTCCTTCCTTGAACTTGCCATCTCTCATCTTGAGTGTTTTGAAACCAAACCGACGAGGGAGCATGATGTATGAGGCACTCATCAAGGCCTTCTACTGCCAATGCTTGAAATTCAAACCCGCATAGTACTTACCCCTTCAAAGAGCTCTAGATTCTCTTCAATTGACCTGGAGCGATGAGGGCTATCTTTTCCAGGTTCTGTGAGAGTTCCTCGATATTCTCTCATTTCCTCCGCCGAGAGGGAATCCACATAGGCGTCACCTTGCTTGATCAACGCCACAGCCGCATCGTAAATGACATCAAAATAGTCGGATGTCTTTCGAACTTCGCCGTCCCACGGTTTGTCGCCTTCAAAGAGACCTGATTGGATCCACTTGACGTCTCTCAGGATGGATTCGACATATTCTTCGTCCTCTTTACTAGGGTTGGTGTCGTCCATTCTCATGTTGCAATTTCCACCAAACATTCTCGAAACGGCAAAATTGAAGCAAACCGCCTTGGCATGTCCCAGGTGAAGATACCCATTGGGTTCTGGAGGGAACCGTGTTGTCACGGGCCGATCAATTTTGTTGTTTGAGCTGGTATCGTCATCATCACTACTGTCGTCTTTGGACTCAATTTCCAAGAGTCCAGTGGGTTTGATTCCAGTTTGCTCTTGCACAATCTTGGTGATAAAGTTGGGAGCATAGGCAAATCCACATGTTTCTCGCAGCAGCACCAGCAAAGCAGCAATGCCCCAAACAAAAATCTTGCCTAAGGAGCCCATGGTTGATGCTCTCTGATTTTGACCTCCTTATTTGGTTGCTGACAATGATGGCGCCGATGATCCTTCGAAGCTTTGCTCATCTCTCCCTCGCCTTCGATCATCCCGTCGTTGCTCTGGGAGATTTGTTCTTTCCAAATGGAAGCAGCAAACTGACGTCAGAAACTTGAGGCTACTTTTAGGGATAAATGATGAGGGCGCAGTCCGAAGTGGGAATGCTTGAACGATCTTTGATCATTCAATCACACGAAACTGAAACTGTGCGCGAATGTTGCCCCAGCCACAAAGGGCAGTCTGGGTTGGGCTGGTACTCCAGGTTCCGGGTGTGGGCCACATGGGCTCAAGCCCGTCATACCAAGAGCTGCAAAGGCAAGTCTCGACTAATTTAGTCTCCCTGATGAACTGGTACCAACCTTCCTAGCCAGCCACAGCGCAGACCCAATGGCTCCGTTTCGCCCGAGCAAGATCCAGGTCCCGTCCAGTCGAACACTGACAAACCAACAACAGACTCACAATCTTCAAATTACAACACAACAACACACACACAAACAAGGAAAATAAAAGCCTCGAAATGTATCTTACAAACTGCCTTCCAATCTTTGCCATCCTTGGTGCCGCGATGGCTCAAGATAGCTACACTGAGGTCCTCCGAACTCCCAGCAACTTTGCGACCACATCGGAAGCCGAGTATTCCTGCAAATTCACAAATCTCTGGTCAGAGGCCAGACACCCCAACTTGTATCCAGGAAATGCCCACTGGAGCCCTCCTGTCTTGGGTGCTCATTCCAATGGATACTCCATGTGGGCTCCTGGGGCTCTTGCCAGCCCAGGCATCGAATCTGTGGCAGAGGTACGTGGGGAGGAAGATACGCCTGCTGCAAATTCCAATATCTTGTTGCTCACCCCTTTTGTTGTCTCTTGATTGATAGACTGGTGCTGTGGGGACATTGCTGAATGAGTTTGTGGCTGCCAATGATTTGACAGGCGATATTGTCACCGGGGATGTGACATTCAACAGGGTAGTCAATGACCAGGTCCTAGACAACATTATCTTTTCTCGCGAGCATCCCTATCTTTCCAGCATTTCAATGATTGCTCCAAGCCCTGATTGGTTCACTGGCTTCTATGATTACGATCCACGCAGTGACAATGGCAACTCCTGGGCAAGAGAATTCACTCTCCTTACATACCCATGGGACGCTGGAACCGAACAAGGAACTGGATATAGACTGGGGAACTCTGCCGAGTCCCCTCACAAGGTTATTTCCCAGTTCACAAGAGAAACAGTGCCAGAAAATGGAATCTTCCTTAGCAGCACAGGCAATGAAGTGCTTCCAGTTGCATCATGGTGTTGCACTTTGGTTACAAACGTGATGACGCCCTCAGGACCCCGTGTTGGTGGACCAAACCCAGATAACATGGACTTTCCCTAAGCTTTGGCTCGCCTCTTCGAACAAAAGACAAAGATAGATATAGATAAGATCTAGAAACGAGATGGGTCCAACTCTGCTGGGGAATATCTCCCTTTCTTCACGACGAAATCACCGTTTTCCCTCCTTTGCCCAGTCCTTCTGGAAACTAGCTACGATGTACCGTACGAAGTAGATTTCAAAGGGAAAGAACTGCTCAGGAACTGGCTCTCTAGCTAGAGCCACAAGTTTTCTCGTGTGCGTGTGGATTGTGTTTTTGCCTTTCTTGTTCAGTGGTCTGGATGAATAAATGTGCGAAACTGCATGACAAAGGCCGTTCCCACGGCGGCCACAACCACAAACACCACGAGGACGACTCCATGGACATTGGGTTCAAACATTCCTCCTTCGAGCAGTCTCATATTCCGAAAGTACCGATGTGTGGCCATCAATAGCACCACCACTCCCATGACGGCAACCAGATACCCTTCGGCAGCATTGCCATTGTCATCCCATTTCAGTAACCCCAAACTGACGCCAATCAATGCCAAGCCCGTTCTCATCCATGCCAGATACGCTGATGAGTAAATGAAAAAAGAACGAAAGAAGAAACAGATCAGAAAAATCTGATTTCATTATAACAATACTGCTCTTGCTCGAATACCCACTTCGTTCATTGGCCAGATGATCACGGGCAGTGGATCCAGCATTGGGGAGGATGGCACCCTCTGTTAGAAGCGTTGCCATGGTGGGAAATCCACCCAGCTTGGTCTTTGACGGTTGTGGCTGATGGAACTCCCCATCTTCACTGCTGCACCCCGTCAGCAAGGGAGACGTTTCGGTGGCGTTGCTCATGCTATGGATGCTTTCTCTTTATTCGATTCAATTACATGTACTTCGTCAACTTGCAAAGGATGTTTCTTTGGCCTTTCGCAAACAAAGATAGATATGGGTACATCGGTACCATGCACATCTTGGATCTTGGAAGTCTGATTCTCTGATTCTCTGTTACATTAGTTTCTTGGGCTCATTTTTTTAAGGTTAGAGCTCCAACCACCAACTTTTCACGAATGCCACGCAAACGAAGAAGGCCATGGACGCCATGGACGCCATGCATGGACCACCACAATCTCGATCATATTTTTCCAGCACGGTATTCCATCGTAGCTACCAATAGATTACCCAAGACTATCTGTAAGGCACCATTCCCAATTGAGTGCTCAGGCTGCATCCTTGAAGGTAGGTACCGTAGCTCCCAATGATCCGATACCTCTGTTTTATTTCTTTTCGTGCATGTTACTAAAATAATGAGATAACCATTTTGCTGACCATGATTTCTTTCTTTGGTTATGTTTGTACCTGCCGGTATCCAGAAATCAAAAGGAAGCTCCCTTTTCTTACATAAACTTCTTCATTGCATCTTGATTATCCCCTCAACTGAACTAACCCACAGGACGAGATAATGGATTTTTCGTCTCCCTCTCGCGCCTTGCTGTCGCTGGACCGACGCCGTCCTGCGTTGCCCGAGGATATCCTGGCCATTTCGAAACCCATGTTTACCGGATTGACCAAATTGACAACCTCCTCCAAGTCTCTAGATGGCCAAGTGACGCAAGAATTAACCCAACAATACCTCGATGGGGTCGACCAATTGCTCACCAAACCCGACCTTCGCTGGGAAGCCTTGGCGGTGGGAGTCTATTGTGGAACGGGATTGTTGGAGGCGCAGACAAACACCCCAGCGTCTGCACAAGACAAGAGCACCAGCAATACGACAGTCTATACGGATGGACCTCGCGTCCCTTCCTCCACTCCGTCTCATCCTGCCGTGGCCAACATGCCCTCCATTCCGTCGCCTCCCACCAAACCGGTCAAATTGACCAAGGAACAGACACTCCAACTTGCCACTACTCTGCACAACATTTCATTGGCGCATTTGGAGCATTCTGAACCACGAATTCGAACGTTGGTGGCCAAGGCAGTCGGAGCTCATGCGGCCTATTTGGTTTCCTGCAATGCAGACGACGATAAAGAGAGTGCCAACCTATTGAAACAACAATGTGCCGTGTTGCATCAACGTGTCGCATCGAGTATTGAAGAACACATGCAGCAAGGACGAGAAGTTCCCGTAGAGAACGTCGAGAAATCGACGAACGACGACAATGCACCCAAGACCGCCGTGTTGGATGATACCACTGGTTGGAGAGCCCTCGAGACGAATTGGCAATGCCTCGCTTGCTTTGTCCAACCACTCGGGAACCTCTACTTTGAACTGTTTCCCCTGGGAATCTTGTTGGATCAATGCGAATCCTCGGCTATAGAACACGTCAATCGACACGTTCGTGCCGCGGCCATGTTGGTGCTGGAACAATGGGTGCGGGCGGCGGCACAGGCGGACAAGGAAAGTCCCATTCATGCAGCCCTCTGCAAGACATTGACCAAGGTTCTCAAGGAAGGATTAGGCGACAATTGGTCTCAAGTCCGAATGGCCGCCAGTGTCTTGTGTCGTGCCTTTTTCCGAGAATATCTCATTCATCATCCCATGGAAAATCCCAAACCCATGTACGCGGTCGTCATCCCGCGCATGTGCTTGAATCGATTCTACTTGGCACAAGGAGTCAAACTCTATTCCCATGACACCTGGCGACAAGTCTTTAGTGAAAATGGATTGGAATTGGTCGCCGAGAATGTCGGGGCGGTGTGTAGGTACTACGTCAAGATGTGCGATGCCAACAATCATGTCGTTCGCGAAGCAGCCTGTCAAGCCGTGGCGGAACTGGCTGTCAAATTGTCCCAACGCTATCCCGAACAGTTGCAGCCATACGTGTCCATGTTGTTGCAGGCCCTCTTGATGTGTTTTCATGACGAATCGTGGCCGGTCCGTGATGAAGCTTGTCTGGCATGTGGGATCTTTTGCAAGGCGTATCCTGAAGAATGCCGGGAAGAATTGAAAACGTTATGGGACCGATGGACCGAACAACTGACAGATCAAATCTGGTCCGTCCGCGAGGATGCAGCGGCAGCGTTGGGAGATGCCATGCAAGCGTACGGCAAGGAAATGGTGGACAAATGTGTGGCCCTGGTCAAAAAGTTGATGCCCAGTGCCAAGGACCAACCTGCAATGACCATGGATGAATACAAACAAAAGCAAAACGATATTGAAAGCCACACGGATGCTCAGTTGTACAGTTGTGGCAGTTTGGCGCCCAAACTGGGCAAGAAGAGTGGTGCTGGTCGCATTGGTTGCTCATCGTGTGATGTCAACAGGCCGAAATCACCTTGGGAAGCCACAGATGGTTGTATCTACCTGCTTCGTGAATTGGTGCTTCTAGGAAGTGGAGAAGAAGGCACAAACCCAGAATTGGCCTTGCCGGATGATCAGTTACTGCCTTTCTGCAGAGAACTGGCGGATGTGTGCCGTGTCCAGCATTTTCCCCAAGGCGACGACCTAAGGGCAACACTCTGGAGACAGCTTCCAACCATGGCACGTTGTTTGGGCAAGCAACGGTTCAAACGATTGTACCTGGACATTTTCACGGACCTCTTAATGTCCAATTTGGAACGTAGCACTGCTTCGGCCCTGTCCAAGCACGCTGCAGGTCAATGCGCCGAAGAACTGGCACAGTTGGTTGGGTATCCCATCTTTCGCGGTCGATTGGACGATTACCAACAGGCTACGTTTGACAAGGCAATGCGAGAAAGGCAACACAATGCTCCCAAGGGCCCAATGGATGGGGGAGCCTTTAGTCCTTTTGGTCCTCCTGGAATGATGGACCCATTCATGATGAACCCTCCTGGTGGCCGTGGTTCTCCCAATTCTGCCACGGGTGTCCGTTCCTAGATCTGTCTAGCTAGCTAGCAAGATGATTTGATTCATTCGAAGTTTCTACCCGTATATAAAGCCTTTGTGACCTGCACTTACTTCCAAAGATTAAAGCGTAATGGTAAAGCAAACCACCCCAGAAAGCTACCCACCCTACTAGCTAGTGACTGTACTGTAATCTAAAGCGCAGCTACCGGTGTATTCTGATGGTTTCTCTTCATGAGGCCTCAAAACTATTGGCATTTGTAGGAAGCCTCTCCAGTAAAACCACGGATAGCCAGCTGCTAATGTATCAAAAGATACCCACTGACGGGACCGATCTTGTTTTTGTCATTGCTGGCCTTTGATCTTGCCGACGTAGAATCTTTACCGTGACCTACGCATATCTTTTAGTGGACGGAGGATCGCGCAAGAACCGCGCGTTGTGGCCTAGCAGAGCCCAATGCTCAATGCCCATGTTGCCGTGTGACCGACACCCTCCAACAAAAAATAGTCTAGCTAGCTTTGGTTTCTCGATTGTTGTTGCTGCCAGTAATATCACTTTGAGCCACCATCTTATTAGCTCTCTGACCTTCCAACAACCTGCAAACTACTGTACCCAAAACAATCCACCATGTCTGCTCCAGCTGCTGCTAAACCCGTTCTTCTCCCTCAGAAGGGAACTGCTCGCGTGAAAAATGTCATGTCAGGTGACACGGTTATCCTTTGGGGAAAGTCTTCGGTTCCCAACCAGCCTCCGCCTCAGGTCCAGTTCACGTTGGAAGGATTGATGGCTCCACGGTAGGTTCAAGATAATGGCGCTGCCGTGAGGCTCTCTTATCTTTGTGATTGCCCAGCTAACCCAGTTTTGTCTCAATGCTACCCACTCGTTCGTTATCTACAGATTGGCGTCCAAGAACTACCCTAACGACGATCCTGGCGCGTTTCCATCCCGTGAGTTTTTGCGCCAGATGTTGATCGGAAAGATGGTTACCTTTGAGACAACCCGCAGAAAGCCCCAAGGTGGAGGAGGAGTGGTAGCAGCCACAGCTGGAAGTGATGCCGCGCCTCAAAACTACTACCATTATGGTCATATAATTTTTGAGAATGAAAATGTCGCAGTCAGAATCCTGAAGAATGGACACGCCAAAGTTCGCGATGATTTCTCCCCGCCTTCTAGTACCGACAGCAGTGGAGATAATGGAGATTCCAATGGCAAAAATAGTGATATGTCCGAGCAGGAAGTGGCTTACCGTAAGAAGTTTGCCGAGGCACAGCAAGAAGCCATTAGTGCCAAGGTAGGAATCCATGCTACGGGTCCTCTGGTGCGAAAACCTCGCAATGTGGAAGATGCTCAGTCTATGGTCAAAAAATTGAAATCTGTTACGGCTGTGGTCGAGTATATCTTTGATGGCAGTAGGTTTCGTTGTCAGATTACCCAAGCCAACGACAAGGAGTACATTCATTCCACTTTCACCCTGATTTTGGGAGGAGTGGTTTGTCCCCGATCTCAACGGCCTACTCATACTACCGGTAACCCGCCGCCTCAGATTGCTCCCAATGCTACGCCTGAACAAGAATTGCAAATGGGAGCCCGAGCTAGGCTCTTTGTCGAGGAACGATTGTTGCAGCGCGAACTGACCATGGTTCTCCATGGAACCGACAAATCGGGTGGTGCCGCCGTTGCCACCATCCAACATCCCAAGGGTAACATTGCCGTGGAACTCCTCAAGAATGGAATGGGTCGCATCGCCGACTGGTCTGTTCGCCTCATGGATCCTGGTGTTGTGCCTCCCCTCCGAATTGCCGAAAACAATGCCAAACGCGGAAATCTCGGTGTGTGGGCGCATTGGGAGGCTCCTAAACTGTCGGGAGCTGCTGAGATTGTAGGAACCTGTGTCGAAGTTATTAGTGGAGATACCCTCACTATCTTGCCCCAAGGGGTTCTCTACGATTCTGAACAGGTCCTGCAAAAGATCAGTTTGGCTTCCATTCGGTCTCCGAGGTTGGGAAGCGAGCGTGCTGGACGAGCTGATGAACCTTATGCCGTGGAATGCAAAGAACGATTGCGAGTTTTGTGTGCCGGGAAACAGGTGAAAGTCCTAGTTCACTACGAGCGTGACATTCCTTTGGCTCCCGAAGTGACGGAAAAGCGTAGGTTCGGTACCGTTTCTGTCGGAAAGCGATCTGATGTCGGCGAAACATTGATCCAGGAAGGCCTGGCAAGTACCCAGCGCCATCGTGACGACGATGAAAAGTCTCCTCGTTACGATGAATTGAGAGCCGCTGAAGCCGTTGCCAAAGCTGCCAAGAAGGGAATCCACGTCGAAGGAAAGGAATACAAGAAGAACGCCATCAACGATTTGACAGACCCTAAGAAAGCCAAAGCCTACGCTGAGTCGCTCATGCGAGGTGGCACTCTCAAAGTTGTTGTCGAGTTCGTCTTTAATGGAGCTCGATTCAAGGTATTCGTTCCATCCGAGAACTGCTACATCATGTTTGCGCCCAACAGTGTCCGTTGCCCTCAGCCATCTCCCTCCGCAGCTGGAGCCAAGCAAGGCAAAAAGGCAGAACCTTTCGGAGATGCTGCCAAGCGCCACGCTCGTTTGTCCGTGTTGCAGCGCACCGTGGAAATATCGTGTACTGGTGTCACCAATGGCGGTATCATAACAGGAGTTTTGTACGTCGGCCAAGGTCCTCAACGTCGTGATTACAGCCTTGAGCTCGTTGCTGCTGGACTTGCCAGCGTCGACCAGCGCAAGATTGATTATGGAGAGGCTCCCAAGTACCTTGTGGACGCACACAACAAGGCCAAGAATGGCAAGCTCGGAGTCTGGTCTATTGAACAAGCTGCACCTACAGAAAAGGCACCAACCGAAAAGAGCAAGGTAAAGAGTGTCAAGATCAGTCTCAGCGAGATCCGAAGTGGAAGCCATTTCTTCTACACAGTGGTAGACGACGATTCTTCGAAGGCTATGGAGGAAAGCATGAAGACCTTCACAGAAGCCAATGGAACAGACGGAGCTCCTTGTGAAGTGAAAGTGAACAGAGTTGTTGCAGCGCTGTTTGACGACGGAAACGGCAAGAGCTGGTACCGTGCAAAGGTTGCGGAACGTCCTGCTGACGGAAAAGTTGCTGTCCTTTTTATTGATCACGGTAACGTTGCTACTGTGCCAGTGGCTACTCACCTTCGTCCACTCGATGATGCGCTTCAAAGTGATAAGATCCCTGCTGTGGCCAAAGAAGCCGTGTTGGCCCTTGTCACGACTCGTTCGCTGCAAACTGATGAAGGACACGATGCTGCAACGATGCTACAGAGTTTGGCCTGGGGCAAAGAGTTGACGTGCACTATGTACGGCCCAGATGACGACAATAAAATGGCTGTGACATTGGCAGATGCGTCGGGTGGTGAAACAATCAACGAACAACTTGTTGCAGCTGGATTAGCTCGTGTTGCCAGCCGATTTGCTGTCACTGGTTTGGCTCGTCGCATGTCCGACGGAGGTCCCGCAATTGAACTCTCTTCCACGTTGAACAAGGCTCAGGGCATTGCTCGCAAGACACGTTCTGGAATGTGGCGCTATGGTGATATCGGAGATGAAGATCCCACGGATTTCTAAGTGGCTAGAGGCCCAGTTGGTGCTTGAAAGGCTATGAAAAGAAGACAAAGATAGTCACTGGCAGCTAGCTACACTCTTACTAAACGACTAAACGAAATGTTGCTTATCGACCATGGTATTCTTAGTTTGAGAGTGTTCTTGATAGGCAGAAATACTGTAGGAAGGCGACGCAGTAGTTGGTCAACAAGTCGAGTAAACTTCTGACAACAGTAGGGGGGCAGTCAATACAATACTGGCGGCGGTAACAATGTCATGTGGGTTAGACAGTACATAGAAGTCAGTCTGAGGAAGTTGAATCTTCATCTTTTACAGATACCAGGTCTATATAGAAACATCCAAAGTAATCCGCTCCCAGCAATCGTCGAAACTGTGGTTTGACAGCCAAACCACGACATTTTCAGTTGATATTCTCATCGGGCGCCTTTTTGTTGTCTTCTCGTGGTTGTTGTGAATTACTACTAGTAGTAGAAGTATTCCTCGCCACGGCATGTCGTTGTGGATGGTACTGATATTTGGTATTGCAAAAGTCTGGAACAGGATATCCCTGCTTTTTAACATCATAATTCGTTTGCAATCGCAGCACGGCAATCACTCGCTTCATGTGCAGTCGTCGAAATCCATTTCGCAGCAATTGTCGAATGTGGCGTTGGACCACATCCATGCGTCCCGCCACCAATGGTTCCTTCCATCGAATCAACGATTGGAGATGATTGTTATCCGTGATATCTTCCAAAGCTCGTAGCTCCACTTTTAACGAAGGTGATGCGTATTCCCAAATGAAATTGCACTGGTGGTCCTTTTTGTCAGGTGTTGTTGTCGTGTTGTTGGTACTATTGTTGTTGTTGTTGGCTCCAAGACAGTGGCGACACTCTTCCAAGAGCCATGCCAATTCTTGTTCTGTTGGATTGAGAATGGTTTCGTAGGGATCATTTGGGAACCATTCTTGCAATTGCATTCGACTATTGTCGTGATTATCTTGTGAACTGCTGGGGGTGGGACTGTCACTAGTAGTAGTAGCAGTGGTCTCATTATTTTTGTTGTTGTTGTAAATGCTGTTTTCTTTCCGAGCAAAGGCTGCCAAGAGGACGTGTTGAATGGGTTTCTTGCTGGTGGTTGTTTTGTCGTCGTCGTCGTGATCAGTAATAATAGTGGGTTTGCTGCTGCTGCTGCTCTTTCTCTTCTTTAGCTGAATTCCATAGCGGTTAGGTTTTTCCTTGGCCAGTTCTACTTGATCGTATTGTATCACTACCGGCCTTTTCTTGTTCTTGGCCGATATTCTAACAATGAGAGGCTCCTCAAGTCTCTTGGCTTCAGGAGGCAGTAACGCCCAGTTGTCAATTTTGAGCTCTCGTCGGTTCTGTGGTTGAAAATATAAGTAGGTCTTTAATGCCCAAGGAGCCAGGACTTTGTTGTTTCCATGAAACAAACGCTCCGTTTTGGTTGGAAGAGAGATACAATCGATGGCAGAGCCCCTCGGTCGTTTTCGGTTGGCAGTAGGAGGAGGGGTAGCAGCGATGGGGGCCACGGTACCACTATTTGGTAGTTGGGTATCTGGAGGAGAAGCATCCTCCATGATCACATTATTGGAAGATAATTGGATACCTTGGGCCACACCAGCAGTATCATCTGTGGCACCATTATTGGCAATAGCATTCCGTGGCAACTCCGTGTTGGGCTCAACGTCTTTGTCTGGTCTTGGATGGTCTAACGGACCCTCTTCTTGGTCGCTGTCACTCGACAACTCAATGAATTCGTTACTACTGCTTTGACGGGTTGGTCTCACGACGGGAACATGCTCACGCTTCACACCAGGATAACCTCTCGAGGGAACCATGACATGGTCTCTCCCTTGCCTTGCCATCATGGTCAGCAGTTTGGGTTGGTGGTAGTAGTGTCAACGCAAAGCGCGAAAACCTAACTTTTAAAATAAGCTGACAAGGCTGTAAGAACATCATTTAAAGCCCGCAAGGCTGTTTTATTTTCAAAAGGAAACGAAAGATCCGACTGCCTCCAACAAACACTGATGTCAGTCTGAAAACCAAAGATCCGTGCATGCGACTGCTCATCATTCCAAAGAAAGGAGGTGCCAAAAGACCTAACTTGGAAGCCGTTGCTGTTCTATACCAACTGGCAGTTCGAGGAGGGCAAGTCAGAGCAAGAAGACCAGACTTACTCGTTGACATAATTCCAGAATAGAATGAAGGTCCTATTTTTATTAGGTGCCCTCTGGCTGCAGCACATCGCTGCCTTTTCCAATGTGGTGCCCCGCAACGATCCACGTTCCGTCTTGAGGTCCACCACCAATGTGGCAGGGGAAGAAGGAGACGGCTTATTATTGGAACGGCGACAAGTATTTCAAACGGCTGCTGCTGCTAGCTTATTAGTAGGCGGTATCCTTTCCCCTCGCCCTGCCAATGCCGTCAAAATGACGGGACCCGGAGACGGCTTGTTGGACGAGCTTCCCCCCGAAGCAGTCCGCTCGTACACACAGTATCGCATTCCCTTGCAAATCTTTGCCGACTTTTACATTTACGACTTGCAACGATTGGTCGAAAACGTCGAAGAATGGGGCGACGTGGGGCAACTCTTTGTCGTCAATCGCAATCGAGGACAAGGATCACCATCCAGAATCGAACGAGACTTTACCAATCCAGTGCGCATCCTAGGACTTAGTCTGCCGCCCGAGTTTTCCGATCGAATGATTGAAAGTCAGTACAAGTTCGAAAAGGCCATGTCATCCATATCCAAAGCTACCAGTGGAATTCGGAGAGATCTACCCGTAGAGATTGACAAAAATGCCGTCAAGTATGCCAAAGCAGGATGGGAGGATGGTCGAGTTGCCATTAATGAAGTATTTGCGATTATCAATGAAGCCACAGGGTTGACAGAAATGAAGGCCATTCCAGAGGCTGGAGGAAAACAATTCGAACAGTATGGAAGGAGTCCTCGTCGATACTTTGACCTCGTCAAAAAGACAAAGCTTTGCCAAAATAGAGGCGGTCCAGCGCTGTCCTCTGCGTGGGGGGGTCTCATGATTTCAGGATACATGCAAGATAGTTGCGGTATCCCTGACCTGGATGATTACTTCTATCAGACCTAATTACCGTACCGGTACCATAAAGTACGAGTGCGCTACTAAGCATTAAAACATTTTCTTGTTCTATTGGTCATGTCAGCTTGCACAAATGATGCTGATACAAGTGGTCATGGGTATCTGTATGGTTGCGATTACAAGGGTTCAAAAAGCACGGTTCTACTAGTATTTGTTGCTGACTGCTTCTGATGCCTACCGTACCTGCTATTCTGTGACCAGGTCCTTTGGTTGTGGCGGCAGGAGCAGCGAGAAAGAATCCATCCACTGGATCCAAACATTCAAACTTGACTTTCGGGAAAGGCTCCTTCTGGGCATCGAGGAGGAAACTTGAATAGCCTCCCGTATTTTCCTCGTTTGTGCAACGATGGCAGATTTTGAAGGCTATCTGGACGATTGTCGTAATGATACCAACGAGAGCTGGTACTCGAATGTGGGCTCTGAATTGAACCTGGGCTCCCACTGGGTACGGGGAATGGCGCTGATTGTGAGCCCTGGTGAGAGCTTGCATTCGAGAATGGACTTCCACTAGATCGCACAGAGCCCGAGGAAGATCCGACCTTGCTCGCTTGGTCTTCCTGATCGTAGAACTTTGCCTTTTCCAAGTTGACTCTTGGGGAACTGGAGCCAGCGGATGTCATTGATGCACGGATTGGAACATCGCCGTTGTAGCTTGCGCCGTCGCTGTCAGCAGACCTGTCGATTACTCCAGTTGCCATTCTAGCCAAGCCTCCGAGTGCATGGGCATCTCTGTTGCGCGTGCTGCTTGGTTGCGTCTGCGAGCTCTTTGTGGACTTCTCGGTCGAATGCCCACGATCGGTTGCAGGAGGAACTTCCTCTTCCGGTGTCATTTCCTCGGCCCGTCCACTAGCAATGGAGCTTTGTGCAGAATCAATTGACTTGACCGATCCATTGGCTGCTCGTTTGGCAGGCGTCTGCTGTCTTGTTATGACAGAATTCTTCGACTTGTTTGCCCTCCTGGCTGGAGTTTTGGCGCTCTTCAACAGAGTTTGGCTTTGGCTCTCTGCTTCACTTCTAATTGAACTCTCTGCTGGGCTTTTGGATGCACTGCTGGACGGTGTTCCTATTGAACCTGCGGCTGGACTCTCGGCTGCATGCACAGCCGGGCTCTCATCCATGTTGGAATTGTGAGGTGATGATCCAGCCGTGGTTGACACTGGTGATTCCAAAGTTGTTGTATGCTGGGAACCAGACTTGGCGGACGGCGGCGATACTGGCTTTGCTGATAGTGGTGATTCCAACTTGTCGTCGTCCGTCCCATCACCGTGATTCTCGTCTGAGGGGGAAGGGAAAGACTGGAAATTGTCGCTATCATCCTCCAGGATTGTGTCATCTTCACTGTTACTCTTCTTCTGTCCTTCAGTTGTGTCTGCAGTACTATCTTCAAGTCTACTATCAGCTGCCGGTGTATCTGGAGCAAACGAGGCCGCTTTCTCTCCTGATGCATCGTCAGCATTGGCGTTCGCTTTGCCCCCCTGCTCATTTCTTGGTTCTGCCTTGGTGGATTCAGCAGGCTCTGCCGCTTCTGTGTTGTTGCTTGAGCTGGCACCACGCGGTTTGGCAGATTGATTGCTTTCGGAGGTCTCCGATGAAAGGTCCATGTCGCCACCAGGAGACTCATCCTGGGTTTGCTTCCTGGTTGTATGGGGAGATTCCTCATGGTTATCAGTGCCTGCAGTGGGCGCGGAGGGGGGCCTACCGGTATGCTCATCAGTTTGGCCTAGAAGATCAAAAACCAGTGGCAACCGGAAACACTCCGGTATGTGTACTTGAGAAAGTGGAGGGGACGCCAAGATGTCGTCATCGTCGTCATCGCCATGCCAAGGGAATTTCTTCATCTTCAATAGGGACGGTGATGCCAGACTAGCAGTACCTTCACTCATCCTCACTGGGTGTCTAGGTGCCGGACTCACTGTCCCTGTTGCGCATGGATGCTTGAGTGCCTTTGGTCTTTGCGATTTCCGCCGTGTATCATTCGATGATGCCAGGCTGTGGCTGCGATTGTGGTGGGAACCCAAAGAGGCTGTAGCCACCTTCCTAGTAGGCTTCCCCAGCACTGCATCGATGAAGTGTTCGTCGTATTGATTCCGTGAGAAGGAAGCAATGTCGGGGTTGCCTGCTCTGACAACCGGAGGCACTACTTGTGCTCCAGGATTGGTTTGACCCACTTGTGGTCTCCGCGGCAGAATCACTGGGCAGTAAAAAGTGGGTTCACGCTCGGGGTGACAGTAGAACGGACGGTTGAGATCCTTGGAGACTCGCAAGGTCCATCCAGAAGGCAGAGGAGGATGCAGGTAGCTTCTCCCATTCATTTCAAAGCTGAATTCCATGGAGGTAGTGCTTGCTTCGTCGTCTGGTTGCGTCCATATCTCAAGGGAATCCTGTTCCACTGCCCGGATTCCTGGCTTGTGTTGGCTCCCATCTACATGATGAACAGGGTTTTGTTGGACCGCATGATTGGTCAAAACGCTGCCATTGCTATCGGAGCTTGCTTCACTGCCACTGCCCAAATCGTACAAGTCCTTTGTAAAATGATAGTCAAAAGAGTTTTCCTCTGTCTCGGACTCTGATGATGACCCAGACAAGAGACTGTCCAGGGTTACATCATCTTCGTCAAGAGATGCCACAAGCTGCGTGCGACGACCGCCAATCTCAAGGCCATTGAGTGGTTCCATTTTCGGTCTACCACTTGCTCCATAGAATGCTGCTTTGTCATCAGGAGAAGGTTTGCTGAGCAAGTGAGTGCCACGGTACTTGTCCGAATATGCTGTGTGCTGAGAAATGTTTGCTCTTCGTCGCAGTGTCGGGTTGTGATGACCTGTTGTTTCACTCGGCCGCCCACCCAAAGCCACTCTATTTTGCTGTGCTGCCACTTGTCGCATTGGCATCTTGGAACGCTGGTCATTTGACGAGAGCTTCTCATTGGCTTTCCACTCATTCCCAAGAGGATTTCCTCTCGCATCATCGTCCAAGGCCTTCCCTGCACTGGTTGTATCCGAATCAAGGTCCATGTCAGAGCCGTCGTCATTCAAGCGCGATTTCTTGGATTGACCCACAAGGCCGACTCGACGCTCCTTGTAGCCTGTACGATCTGTCAAGTGATTCGATTGTTGTTCTTCAAGTGTATGGGTCGACTCCTTCCAGTTCGATGGATACTGGTTCGGAGGCATGCGGTGGTCGTTCGGTGCTGCTGCAGTGCGATTGCTCACTTGAGGTGTCTTTGTATCAGCATTCCATGGAAGCGCCCAACTGATACTTCTTTCGGAGCTCTTTTCCACTGTTGGTTTGAACCGAAGCTTGGGCGTCTTGGCTAAAAATGACGGCAATGACGGACGCCTCTTGGACGAAGATCGGATGAGGTTGCCATGAAGCGGGGTCAAGGCAGACCGTTTCGAGCCCCTTCTTCCAGGCGTCTTCATGGTGCTGTACTGTGGCATTCGACCGCTTGTTGCTGTGCTTCGGACCTTCCCGGTGTCCTCTGCTGCTGTAGTTCTGTTGTCGGGGTTGCCTTGTTCAAGGAGGTGTGAAGAAGAAAAAGTGGGGAAAACAACGCTTTCGAATGTTAGCGCTAACCTTACAGTACTGCATTTTCAGCGCTGAAGATTCGAAAGCGTCAAAGCGTCCGGCCATGGACAAACGATGGACGGCACAATACCACCACCACTACAAGTCTCTCCTTCTCTGGCTTCTGCTTTAAACCAACCACTTTTCTTTGCTACCGTAGTACTAAGCTTGGAACAATGCCGCGAGCTCCTGCTAAGCCAGACCCCGAGCGTCAGCTCATGATCAAAACGAAGGCTTGTCAAAGGTTAGTGGACGCACTGCCTCTCTGAAAAATACGATTCCAATGCTGGCCACTCACTTTAATTTCTGGCATCCATCGCCTCTCTCTTTGTCGTCTCAGACTCTTGAAAGAGGTGGGTTACTACAAGAAAGAAGTCAAAGAGAACGAGGCAAAACTTCAATCCATGAAAGACGAGCAACGAGATCCACATGACATTAAGAAATTTGAGGAAGTTTTAGGTGAGAGCTACATGATGGTGCCGGATAGTGAAACTCGACTGCGAAAAAGCTTGGAGGATTTGATGCAATTTATGCAGTCGGATGAATATACGCAGCGACAGCAACAATCGCAGACGAGTGAATGGGAAAGCACGGCCCGAGAAATGTTGAAGCAACAACACACAGGCAGCAATGACGGTGGCAAGAATGCTGATTCTTGTGATGTCCAGGAAACAGATGTGACTGATTTGAAAGATGATGAAGCTTTTTAGGATCAGTCTTTCCGAATGGCTGGTGGTGATGATTGAGTCTACACTTCCAAATATATGTAGATCCAGCTGGATAGCTACAGTACTGTTACGAATCGCAATAGACTAGCTAGCTAGCACAAGGACACACTGAAGGCATACTAGTAGATTGATTATTACTTAATTACTACGCATACATCATATAGAAAACAATGACCAGTGAAATACATCGATGGGTAGAACCAGAGACACATCCAATGAAGACGACAGCCATTCAACAGAGATACAAAGCTACACCTGGATTCCAAATCCTCCGTCGCCGCCGCTGGAATTGCCCTGGGGCGATGGGCCATCGTCCTTGTCAGAATCACCCAACTTGAAGAGACCCAACAGAGTCCCTCCCATTGAACCATTGAGGTCGGAATTCCATTCCGCTCCGGACAGATCAATATCCGAGAGATCCAAAATCTTGGGTCCGCGGTTGCCCACGTCCAAATCCACTGGTTGGTCCACATCATCACACGACGTTTCCGCACAGGGTGCAGGACAAGCGAGTTCCTCGCACTTGTACTTGCTGGGCCACGCCGACAGCGACTTGTTGCCCATGGGCTGGACCCCGTGATAGCACTCCACCTTGTCACCCACCACGAAATCAATGTGAGCAGATCCATCTTTGGGCTGATGGATAATTGCCTTGTGTCCACATTTTCCTTCCAGCTGATGCACATGGTGGCCGTTGAAGGCATGTTCGTGCGAGTGGTTATGGCCCGGGTCATGACCGTGCGAGTGGCCGTGATCATGGCTACCATGGTCCGTGCCCTGAAGGGAATTGTCATGATGATTGTGACCATTTCCATGGCCATGTCCGTGGCCGTGTCCATGGCCGTGCCCATGGCCATGATTGTGGCCATGATCATGTTGGGAGGCCGCCTCTTGTTTGAACTGCTGCTGCTGTTGTTGTTCCTGCAGCTGTTGCTGTTCCTGCAATTGTTGCTGTTCTTGCATATGTTGCTGTTCTTGCAAGTGTTGCAATTGCTGCTGGCGTTGGCGCTGCAATTCCTGTTGCTGCTGCTGTTGTTGTTGCTGCTGCAACTGTTGTTGAGCAGCTCGGTCACTGACAATACTGTCCATTTGCCCATTCATTCCACCAGAGAGACCCGACAAAGTGTTTCCATTTAGACCGGCTCCAATGTTGTTGTTGCGGCTTGCGCCAAGCCTAGCAGAAGCATTGGCTCCACGGGCAGCACTGTTATTCTCGTCTCCCATGAGCTCTTGCAAGCGCTTGCCTTCCATTTGCCAAGCCGAGAAGGCAAACTGTAGGTGATTCTGGGACTTTTCTTCGGCATCCTCCGGGCGAAACCCCGCCAGCAACATGCATCGCTGGTACAGGGCGCGTGATTCGTTCCGGAACAACCGCAGGGCAAGTTCCTGCTGCTGCTCACTGCCAGAGTTATTGGACAATACCTTGACCAAGTTTGAAGAGGACGAGAGTGCCACAGCCAGCTGCTCGAGACTGAGGCCGACAGTCTGCGCCGTATTCGACAAAGACGCAACAGCGACGCCTGAGGCGTGACTGGATACACCACCGCCGCCACCAGCATTAGCACCAGAACGACGCTGGGACAGACTGTTTTGTGCTTGTCCCAGCAAGCCAGAAGCACCTCCCGAGAAGAGAGACGAATTGGAAGCAGCCGCAGCCGCAAATGTCGATGGAGGAGCTCCAAGTGGCGTCAAGGGAGCCGAAAGGGGTCCGAGCTGAGGCGTACTGCTGGTCAGTTGAGATGACAACTGAGAGGACCCCGTGGTAAAGGAGTTCCGCAATGAGGCTGCTCTGGGGATGAAGAGGGGTTGGTACTGAGGGTGGAACTTTGCCACTCTGCGCTTGTCATCCATCAGATTGGTCTCGTCCTCGTTTGGGTGCATTTCGGCGTCAGGTCCTAATTCTGCCAATTGAGCGTGATTGCGCTTGACACCACTGCTCAGTTTGGCTTGCTGAGAATGCTGCATCAATTTTTCCAACTGACGCTGCGCCTCTGATGACATGGCCCCGTTGGCAGCAGCTTGTTGCTGCAGCTGAAGCTTCATTTTGGCATTAAGAGATGATGCGGCATGATTCATTCCTCCCAGTCCAGGCATACCTCCTAATCCACCGCCCAGCTGGGCAGTAAGAGAATCGTCCAGCATGCCAGCAGCGCCATGGTGATGATCTCCCATGCCGCCAACTCCTCCCATGCCCACGCCAGCTCCACCACCTGCGTTGTTCATGGACTCCTCTTGTTGCTTTCGCGCCAAGCGCAAGCGTCTACTCAGCTGATTCTTTCGCTGACCCAAGGTTACTTTCTCGGAATCCATGATGCTGGCATCTTCATCTGCGGGATAATCGAATCCTCCAATTCGGAGAGCTTCAAAGAGAGATAATTCTGGATTTTCCATGCGAGCCGCTACGGCACGGTGCATCCGAGGGTCGCCCTTCCGGCCCGTCTTGGCCTGACTCTTGTTCATCTTGATTTGATAATGCAACAGGGGCAACACCAAACCTCGGTGGGTGAAATTTCACTTACTTGTGATAATTGTAATGGTGAATGGCCTTGATATATATTATCGGCGAACCCGTCAACCTCAGTCACCGATTGATCGAGACAAAAGGTAGAGGCAAAAGGTAGTCTGCAAGGAACAGAGGACGACAGAGAGGACAGTAGAGGGAAGATAATGGCAGTGGTCAGCATTGTTCCGTTCAATCAAGGCACCTCAACACAGAGAGGGGAAGAAGTGGTATCGTCATGGCGAGCCCACGGTAGAGCGTCATCGTGGCATGCCCAACTCCGCAGGAAGATAATGGCAGATACAGCAATCAATCTCCCAACACAACAAGATCAAGGAACAGGAGTAGCACACTTACCTCCTCACTCCGTGAAACACTTTCTCGAAGACGGTACGATGGTACCTTCGATGTATTGTTACCAAGTTGTCTGAGACCTGGGCCTATTATGGCCTCGCTGTTGGCCTGGTGGACGGCGAATGTAATCGTTTGTTTACCGCGTTGTTTGGAAGTTTTATCATTTCAATTTCAACAAAAGTAGAAGAATGGGGTGAATAAGAAACAATACTCTCATAATTACAATCCAATGGCAAATACTTCCAAAATTTGTTGAACTGTACGGTATCTCATTGAGGTATCATTTTATTAAGCTCTTCCCAATGGTCTCCCCCCTAGCAGAAAGCAATGTCTACCACGATCCATGATCTTATTGATACATTGATACAATGAATGATAAGATGTCAAGAGGTAAGAGACACTGGTGCTGTACTAGTTGTAGATTTCTACACTCCGCACAACATTTGTCATATTGCTGGCAATCTGGAGGTAGCATTTGATCAATGGTGTCAGTGCTTCAAGCCTATCATCCTTTGACATGGAACAACCTAAGAGAAGTTACCGGTAAGATACTATATCAATGTGCGATTTGATCAGCTACTACACTTACCGGTATGTCTCTGTGGATCCCGCAAAGCCAAGCCTTTTGGCCCCTAATGGTCCTCAATTTATCTCCCCTGATCCCACAGAACCTAGTCCCAAAATTCGATTTTTCTTTGCTTTTTAATTAAGCAAGGCCCTCGCTGGCTTCCATACCGTACCGGTAGATAACCTGCTTACTCTAAACCCCTTTCCTGCTACCGTAGCTATTTTCTCCTTAGATTGTGAGGCAGTTCTCTTCGTGGCTATTGTGATCTTATAAGAAAGGTTAATTAACAATTAAAATATATTTGATTATTTTTCATCTGCTAAGAACTCAAGAGACATTTCAAGGAATAGCCAAATTAGACGGTAAGTAGCTGCGGAGCGTGCATTCCAACGAGGCCATGTCCCTTCTCTCGAAATGGCCAGTTGCTCCATGACTCCAAGGTGGAGACATTTCCAAAAAGCAGACCAATTACCCGTGACTGAATCTGGGGATGGGGAAATCATTGCATTTCCATAGTTCAACACTTCCAACAAAGTAACCAGGATGAAGCCTCTTAGCACCAATTGGATAATATAGGCATTGGTTAACACATATTTCATATTTATTTTACCATACCCCTGGATTTCAAGTCCCTAGCCTTTTCACCTTTGCAGGAAATCCAGCTGGGAGTCCAGAACACGTACCGGATACGGTACCAGTCTGGTACGGTACGGTACGGTACGGTACGGTACGCAATAGGTTCCCAACACAACACAAAAAGCAAAGGAGCCAATGTGGCAAACGGAAGGAAGGTGGTACCACCAGATTCTTTACAATGATCCTGGCAGCTAGCTAGCTAGCAAGCAGCTAGCTACCGGTAGCCAGAAAGAATCGAGCTACTGTGGGCGCTTTTTCTTTTGCAGAGCCATCTTTTTCTTGCCTGTTTTGGTGAGCAACGAAAGCAGGCTGCTGCTGGCAGAAGGCAGGTAGAACAACACAAGATTGCCCCACTTGAACGACAATAGCAATAGTCAGTCTCTGCGGGTTCAAGTACAAGGTATCTTCTATGCATACGACTTGCTTTACTGGCATTGCTTATGACAGTAGCCAGCAGAGAAGTTGGAACAAGAGCCTGGTCTTGCTTAACCAACGATTTCGATGTGTCTCATCGCGCCTGTTGGTGAGCTCCTGAGCAGAAGACCTCTAACAACCCAGCTACCGGTACCGGTAGAAACTTGTAGCCAGGCGATTGCTTGCTTCAAGATTGCTTTGCTTCACGGTCCTGATCAAACCATCCATGTTTGCCAACAGCCAATTACAACATTCGAGTAAGAAGAGCACGATCTGCCGCCATCAGGTGCTGTCTGACCTTGGATCCAGTAGATCTACATTATACATGTAGAAGGTTGGAGGTAAGAACTTGAAAAGGGCGGATCGCCAACCGAGCTTTGCTTGGCTGCACCCCCAGTCAACAACGCCGTAAATACCAAACAGCTCACATGAACCGGTTTTCTTTCAGTTTACTAAACTTGGTAGCATGCCACATGCCACAAGTTACTGGTAACAGTAGTCAAACATAACAGTGGATGAAAGACGCCTCTGCGTCAGATACAGGTTGTTCCAAGAACGGACAATACTACAGCGCACAGGCAGCTACACAGGCTCCGTTTGCAGGATCGCATCATCGTTGTGTTTAGGAGGTGGTGTGCCAGTTGAGGAGGTGGTGCCAACCTCTCAAGCAGTTTTCGTGCTGAGGACAAGATCGTGGAATGACTGTACGGTACAGTACCACAGCACAGACAACCACACGTACGAGGTTTCTACGTGTTTCTCAGTAGGATCTTAGTAGGATCTTAGGAGTAGGGGTATCCATGTTTGCCACCAATGCCGAACACGTATGCAATTGTTCGCGGTTACCATTCACAGAACCCAAATTCCCACCTTTTGTGCTTACTCTGTGTTGGGATGTTGTTGGGTCAGCAAGTTAGCAAGGTTTGCAACATTCAACGTCACAGGTACCACCGCACCTTTTATTTGAACCCAAAGGATTCTCACAAATAGTGGCTCACTGTTTACTCTAAAGCAATCAACAACCCTTTCAAAACAATATCTATCCAACGAATCCTCGAGTACTTATCTAGTATATCTTATTTGAAGCTATGTGCAGGAACACAAAGATCAAGGAATCCTTTCCCTCAGTGGAAACCAAGCCTACAACGGCCCAGGAAAGCAAGCAAATCGCCCCCACTCACTCTGAATTCGAACGCAACACGAGCTATGACTGGTTGATCTTCTTGGCCCCTCTTCTCGGTTCCTTCTTTACCAATGTTTTCCCAATCTACGTCATCGGCATTGCTCGAATCTTTGTGAACAATGCAATATTGTCTCTTCATTATCAGTTCATCGACAAAGACAACTACCTCAACAAATGGAGTCAAAAGCAGATTCGCCGTGAAGGTGAAGATTACATGACCGGTGTCTTGCTGCACATGTGGACGCAAGTCGCTTTGCAGATTATCTTCCCTGGCATGTTCTTCACCCCTAACTCTGAGCTAGCTGCTTGCTTGTGGCGCACTTTCCTCAGTCATGTTTTCATGGTGGAACCGATTTACTACTTTGCTCACCGGTGGTTGCACGTTCCCGAAGTCATGAAAAGGATGCATGGATTCCATCACTTGTCCATTGTCCCCATGCCTACTACCGGATTGGTTCAGAACTTTGAAGAACACTTTATCTACATTGCCACCTTTGGACCCGCCTTTCTTGCACCTTTCCTACTCTTTGGCTGTCAGCACTGGATGGCCATCGGAGCGTACTTGGTGGCATTCGACATTTGCAACGCTTACGGGCACACACACATCAAAATCCGCTCCTGGATCTTTGAAAGCAAGTACTCTCCAATGCACTATCTGTTCTACACCCCCGAGTTCCATCTTGGACACCACGCCTACTTCAACGCCAACTACTGTCTGTTCATGCCAATCTGGGATTACATGCTCGGGACGGCCCGATCATACAAGAAGAAGGAGGTCCAGTTGCTCCCTGCAAAGCAACAGAATTTCGTGTTCATTGGCCACAACGGCGGTCTCGGACACATCCTGACTATCCCTGAATTCTGCTTCTACAATGTCTACGACAAGTACAGGACTACTGGTTTGCCCCTCAAGCTTGAATTCTTCATCATGCACATCCTTTGTCATATGACAAGGCTCTTCATGGACTTCTACTACTGCACTCGTTACTGCGTGGCGAATGAGTACATTGGTCGTATCATCTGTCTTACCAGATCTCCCTGGGACTATTTCTCCCCCAAGTCCTACAATGCCGTGAACAAGGAGATCATTGAGCTAATGCGCAAGGAGCACAAGAACTGCGGAACCAGATACTTTGGTCTCGGAAACCTGAACAAGATGAAGCAGCTCAACGACGGTGGAGTGGAGATTGCCAAGATGATTAAAGAAGATCCCTACCTGTCGGATAAGAATATCAGAGTTTGGACCGGTGATACCATGACTGTGGCATCTATCTACCACCAGATCGCGGACATTCCCAAGCTAGACAAGTTCTTCTTCATTGGAGCCGGTGGAAAGGTCGGCACTGCCGTCTGCAAACTGTTGACACGATCACACCCCAACTTGAAGATCAGGATCTTCTCCAAGAACCCAGGCATGGAGCATCCCAACATCAGCTACACCACGGACTTGAGCGAGATGGCTCAATACAAGGTAGTGATGGTTGGCAAGATGTTGTCTGGTGAAATGTATAGCAAGGCCTTGTCGAAGTTGGAGTCAGTGGAGACCCGTTATTTCTTGGATTACACCGTTCCCTCCCTTCCCATTGCTGCCCTGGAGGTGAGACCGGAAGACGTCCAACACGTCCGGGTTGGTCTGCTCAAGACATACTCCAACAACCCTTTCTTGAAGGGTTCCTATGACACCTGCATGGGCCATGACGAGAATCACATCGTGCCCTGCCATTTTGGTTGCCTGTTGAACACGGTGCAAGCTCGTGAAACCAACGAAGTGGGCGAAGTTGACTTGAATGATGTTGAGCGGCTTTGGAAGCTGACCGTAGCCCGCGGATTCGAGAACATTTCGTTTGACTACAAATGAGTCCATGCATGCACCACCACATGAAGATGGCGTTGGGCCATCATCAAAATATTTCCCCTGTATATAGAATACCGCCACAGTGAAGATATCCATTCAAAGCCAACGTGATGATACTTCATTGCTAATAATATGTGTTTAAGTCACAAAGTTACATCACAAATCACTCGACAGTAGCTAATATTGTGAACAAATCGTTGCTACCGATAGCGGTAGAGAATCACTCGAGCAAGCGAAGAGCTACCGGTAGCAGGCTAAAGTTGGCCAAACCTTCAGATGTACGATGGACGCCGAAAATTGATGCTGACTCAATGGTTATAATCGGCACAAATCTCTATCTGGTTTCTCTATCTAATGCAGGACACTTGCTTTTCATCAAGCTAGCAACGTGTTATGCAACCTCTTGGTATCAATCTAGACTGTTCCCTGTCCGTTCTGCCTCTGGCTCTGCCTTGCGTTTTGTCCCCCCCCAGCGGAATCATGGCCAGGAAGCTTCCAAAATATACCATCCACTGGGCCCCGGAAACTCCGAGCTCGCTCAACAGAAACGCGCGAGCAAACCAACATGCCGCGACCACGCCCATGTAGCGGTGGTACCAGAGATAAAGATAGTTGGCTTCGTTCTCATCGACCGGAGTGAAGTAGTTCAATAGGACTATCAACATGGAGACGGCAATACTGACCACAAAGTAGAAGGAGGGATCGTCGTGTTCCACCCAGTACTCCAAACTCAGTGGATAGTACGTCAGGAACAGCACCATAAAGCTCACGCACCATACCTGCGCCAAATTGAAGTTATCGGGTGAAAACTTCATGAAATGTCGCAAATTGACAAATATCACCATGACATGAAGGTAGCAGTAGATGGACAGCAGCAGGGGCCTTGGGTCTTCATCAGCTTCTGTGGCTTGTCTCCAACTGAATCTAAAGACCAAAAAGGTGACGGCAAGCGAAGTCATGGAATTGAAAAAGTTGACGAATCGTCCCGCTTCAAAGGAGGAAAATGCTTGGGGAGATTTGGCGTCGAGGTAGGCCTCGTGCAGAAACTCCTTCCAAGATTGTTGCTCTGGTTTTTGGGGCGATAGTGCTTCTTCTTCTGTCTCTTCCTCTTGCGTTGGATCGCTGGCTTTGGTGTTTGGGTTTCGTCGTTCCCCTCCTAAAGGGCAGAGTCCCAAGGAAGGGAGCCACAATGACCATTCGTGCAGCGGGGGTATCAAATCCGCCCTTAATGTCCAGTATCATGGCAATGCCGTAAAAGGTGAGCATGAGTAGGGGACACACTCGGTGATGCAGAACATAAAGATTGTTGCACTTGTCGCTTTGGAGCGGTGAATTGTAATTGAGCAACGTCATGCAGACAATGAGGTAGACGTTGATGACAAAGTACATACTCCGTTCGTCTCCTTCAAGCCAAGCATCCAAGCTGACCGGATAGTAGGTGATTCCCAAACAGAACAGCGCCAAGAGCCAGAATTGAAGGATAGAGAAATTCTTCATGTCCGTGTACTTGAGAAAATGCAGGACATTGATCCAGTATACCATAATGTGAAAGAAACAGAGGCCAGCTACCAGCAAGGGCTCTCGGTCCGTGGAAAAATCGACCACGCCTTGGAAGCCCAGCTTAATGGCGAGAAACACGGTCGAGAGCGCAATAATTTCATGACCATAGTCCAGAACATGCCCTCCATCGTAGGGAGAAAAGACATTGCCTTGCCGCAAATCTTGCCATGCTAATGGGAACAAGGAACAGCAATAGTCCTTTGGTGGGGGTGCTTCTGCCTCATCTTCCAACTCGCTCATTATGATCGAATCCATCTCTTGACTGGGGCGACTAGGTTGCAAAGACAAGCTAACCGAGAGTCGATGGAAGTGCTTTTGTGCCAGGCTTTGTCGTATTTGGCGATTGCTGCCGTGGCCTAGTTCGGTGGATCTGGGTGGTGGATCACTCTCTGCATCCACTCGTATTCTTTCGAGTTGGTCATCATTATCTTCATTATCCTCGTGCCCTGGAATGCCGTTGCTCTGCTCTATTACGGATTCTTGTCGAGTGTGTTGCGTGTGTGATTCTTCTTGTGGGGTAGCGTAATGTTGCTCCCCGCTCGAGTCGCTGGTAGCTTCCTGATGCAGATCATCGCTCCCCATGTCTTCTGGCTGGACAGATTTCAAGGATCCTCGCTCTACATCCAGAGTGGGTGTCATCTTGCTCTGTTGACAATTGAAGCAAAGAGGAATGAAGGGTTCGCACGGAGCATTATCTCATGTCACGGTACATGTAGTAGGCGTTGTTTGGGTTGCAGCGAAGTTCAAAGGACTGCTCTAAAAGGGCTCTACCGGTACCGGTACCGGTACATCGTCCTCTCCCGTAAACGCACCGTTGCGGCCGCGCCGGAAGGTTGGTCTCGAATCGTCACTCACTCGAGACTCGACTCGAATTCCGACTCCACTCGCGACTCAACTCGACTGAGGACTCTATGGCACCCAGGTGCCACGTAGCGAGCAATCCCAGATGCCCGGCGCGCTAATTATTTCGCACAGATTTTGGCCCGAAGATTTGAGCTAGCTAAGCGTGACCGTTGCTAATTCAAAAACAGTCAACTCGAAACAGCAAGGGCAGGGTTAGCACCGCAAGAGTATGTAGATGCTGACACCGCCCGAGCTGGTTCGAGTTGACTTTTTTTGACAGAGCTAGGTTACATCTTAGCAAGGGTATTTGTGAGCACCTTCACCGAGGAACTCGAACACTAAAGCACGGAGAAAATGTGCTATTTTCTATAAAGACTTAGAGGTTGTCGTATCATGACATCATGAGATTGAAACGCTCACATTTTCTTGACTGTCGAAACACATTGGCACTGAAAGGATCGAAACGGACGGATGCAGGGGGTATGCTCGTGTTTCGATCTGTTGTTGTGCGCAAGGATGTAATGAAAACCAATACTAGTAGCTGGATAATAGAAATAAACAGTGGCAATGGCATCTTCTCTTTCATCTCTATCTTCCAGCAGCGGCAGCTCTAGAAGGAGTAGTCGCTTGAAGAGGGGCAATGGCGCAGTTGTCGAGAAGGTCCCACCACCGAAATCCATTCGACGGATCAAATATTGCACAGAATGGCCACTCGAACGAAACCTGATGTGCAGTTGTTGTGTTTTCTATGTTGACGCATCTGATACCAGCAAGAAGGGCCTTCGCCATGACACTCATGGAGGGGACAAGTTCCTTTGTAAGAAGCCATGGACAATCAAACCTGCTGATGAGGAGTACGTTCCTGAGAAGTTCAACATGACCGTGGATTGGATCCACGATGTGAATGAATACTTGTCCTCGCATTTCATCATGAATGGTAGCCGCTTGCATGAAACACCATCGTCCACATCGCATTCAGCCACGAAGACAGCAGTGGAGAGCTTGCGAAATGAAACCACGCCAGAAAGTTATGTGGCTTTGGAAGAAGATCTTCACGCGAAAACCCAAGATAATCGAAAACGAAAGAAGGAAAAAGATGAGATCCAGGTTGGCGAGATGACAGTCAGCAGTCAAGGAAGTTCTTTTTCGATCTCGGATGTCCCACACACACACACACAGTTGTACTGAAGTGCCAACTTGAACGTCTGAAGAATGTCGACAACCAAATGAAACTTCTCCATAAGGGGTTCAGCCATAAACTTTTCAGTGGTGGATCTCCTTTGATGCGATCGCTCATTGGGGTAGCACTCGCCAGCTGTCCAGCATTGCCTTTGTCCCAGGCAGGTGTCATCATACCAATTATTGTTGCCGCTTTCTTGGTTGATGTTGGTCTTCTGTGCAAGACAAATCTTGATACCTTCTCAAGATCGTTCCCTTCAGAGTCATACCTACGCGACTTGATGTACACTATGGCCGCTGAAAATACCCACCAGTTGTGCAACAAGTTGAAGGGAAAAGTTGTCTTTCTCTCCTGCGACAAAGGTAATAAGAAGAATGTCGGACACTTTGTCAAGATCTTGTCTTGGTATGACATTGAGAATAAGCGAGTAGTCAAAAGACTGTTGGATATTGATGCAAGCGAAGGAACAACTGAGCAATGTGCAAAGGCGATCGAGGTGTCCTTGAAGAAAGTTGGTTCGCCCAAGCTTAAAGGTCAAACGACTGATAGTGGAGGAGGCGGTGTGTTGGACGGATTGGCTACAAGTCTCCAGGCAAGAAACCAATGTCATCACCCGTACTGGATTGCGTCATGTTCTCTGCACTGTTTACAGCTTACTATTGCGCCTGGTGCTAAGACATACTTTGGCGAGGGTGGTTTGGAAAAGAAGAATGTCATGCAATTGATTCATGCAGTCTATTATCTACAAGACAGTATGGACATGGATGTATGGAGGACACATGTTAATCAGTCGATTGAGTTTATGGAAGGCTACTTGGATACCCCCTACATCGGACAAACAGCAGCTGATGTTGCATTTGCCGAGAAGTGGGAGAAGGTCAAGACGTTTGCCATCTTCCAAAAGCTAGATGCCGATACAAAGAAGAAGCTTCACCTGAAGATACAGGCACCGGTTCTTACAAGATGGTGGAGTGTGGGAGATTGCAGCCGTACTGTCCTTGCCGCTTACCTCCTTCTGCTGCGACTGTGTCAGACTGTCATCAATGTGGATGGATCGAACAAGTCTGGAAAGACCGCCTCTGGTCTCCAGCCCTTGTTGTGTGAGCAAGAACTCTTTTCAGATCTGAACCTGTTGGTTGACTATCACACTGGGTTCCTCTGCCCTCACTTCAAATGGATGCAGGAATGTGATGACCTCTCTCATATTGTTGGATTCCAGACACACAGTATGGTTGGGCGCTACTATCTCATGGCAGAAGACTTGAGCGAAATAAAACAGAAGTGGAACACAACTTATGCATCCTTCCAAGGTTTCCGTGCCTCCTTGACACGCATGGATGCAAGTCAGAAGGCGCATCAGGAAAAGAAAGCGGTTCTATTTATTGACATGGCTATCAAGCAGGCGAAGAAACACTTTAGGCGGTCATGCACTCAGAACTTGTTTCCAGCCGGACTACTGTCAGAAGAACCACTGGCACAATGTGTTGCCACTGTCCTATTGAAGCGACAAGATCCCCCACCATTCCATGCTCCCCTATTTCAGTCGGATGTCCATGACCGGACGTTTGACATGGCAAAGTTCTATTCTTTTGTCAAGGAAGAAGTGTCGCTTGCCAACACAGAAGAAGCTGTCTACTCTCCATTGGCGGTACATGCAGCTGACTTGCTTTTGGGTGGATTGGACTATCGCGACGAGGACAACATGGAGAACGCCTTCAAACAGTACTTGCTAACGTCTTATCTACCTCTTGCACACCAGACACACTTTGTGGAAGCGGCAGTCAAGGAAGCAAAGAATGTCTCCAGCACTGACAGAGCTGAGCCACTGCGTACTGCCTATGCAATAAACAGAGACGCAAACGTCCATTCTATTGGCAAATTGAGAGAGCTTGGGAGTACCGATCGTGCACGCAAACTGATGAAAAGTGCAGAAGATCATTGTGCCCGTATCAAGGAAGACACTTTGGAACCTGCCATGTACAAGAATGTCATACAAGCTATCGAAAGGTCTATCCGACAGGACCATTTCATGCATGACCGAGTAGCATCCCTGAAGAATGATGTCGTGGAAAAAGCAAACAGGAATAGAAAGGAGAATGAGCGGCAGAAAAACACGGGCGTCCACAGCACTGTTGCGATGTTGAACTGCGTCGAGTACTCCAAACTCAGAAAGAAAGACCACGCAGAAGACCTTCTCATCGAGCTTCAAGCAAGAGTACCAATGCAAGAGGTGGATGCAATCAAGGCCATGAACTTCACTGACAGAAGAAAGAGACTAAAACAGGAGGAGACAATGAGAGTCAGGAAACTGGTCGCGAACTTGCCTGAGAATGAGCAAAAGGCAAAGATTGAGATAGCACAAAAGGGCTTCCAAAAACAGTCTGCTGCTCCTTTTGACACCATGGCGGCATAGGATCCCCTCCGGTGATACCCAAAGGATGTTTCCATCCAATCTCTTATGGGGCGGAGCCAAGGTGTCAACCACAACAGCAGGATTTCCTCTTTTTTGGTGAGCGACAACAACCTCATTCTGCTGTTTGTACTGCTTCTTTCTCTTGATTTCACTGCTAACACCTTTAATGTTTTTCAGGGCGTTTGTCAGTAAGTGGGTATAGAAGGGATACCCAGGTCCTCAGCACCTCTGGGGTAACATGATAATAGCGCTCTGTTGCCATCTTTACTGCCATGGCATGGTCCATGCTTTATTTGGAAGTGTGTTGACTGGTGGTTGGTTGCCGTTGTTTCTTTTTTGGCCAGAGAACAGTGACGTCAGGTGTACCAGGCCTACACAGGGTTGGCGTAGCCGGTTTCTGAGTACCAGAAAAAAGCTGTTTCTACGTGAGCTGGGTGCCATAGACTCGACTCGGCTGGAAAAAGTGGTCTCCCCTCCGCAACAGCACGAGCGCTCCGCAAGTCCGCATGCAGCTCCGGCAAGAAAGACCATCCAAGCGTCCAAGAGCAGCAGCAGACAACACTGACCAAGGGTCTACTAGCTATCATCCAGACTACTCTGAGAGACCCAGGAAGTGGGTTGTTGGGTAGTATAGAGCATGAAATCGGTGCTCATCAGTGGCTCAGTCTCATCTCATCACCTGTTGTTTTCCATCTGGCAGAAGCTGTCATCCCAATTTGGAGGTGGAAAAATGGAATGTCACCATGATGAGCTCACTTTTTTGTTCAACCGGATTGCTAGAGTTGCATACCCAACCGAACAAGGAAGATTTACGATTGTTGTTACGCTTCGGCAAGTTCAACCCCCCTACTTTCAAGTACCTTTCTATCAATCTTCTATTCAATACCTATCAATTGCAAAATGAAGTTCTCTTCTTCTATCATCAAGCTGATCTCGTGGTCATGGACCACCGACAACAACACCAGCAACTTCAAGAAGAACCCCCTTTTTCCAGGTCGCCAAGGAGATGACGGGCAACAACAACAACAAGGACGTTCTTGTCGCAGAGGAAGTCCCAACATTCCAACTGGATGAGTTGGACAAGTCGGTCGTTGAGACCGCGGCACTGTTGCACGGAGAGCATCCTGATGTGGAATTCCAGCAGCACGGTAACTACCTAGGTGCCTACGACCTTTCCCTGGTTCCTTTGGATCAGCATGGTCA